GAATGTAGTCTTTGGCCATGGCCATAGTTTTGCTCACCTCTTGAGAATTTCTTAAACTTAAACATAGGCATAGATAGGAAATGATAGGAATAGGACTAGGAAGAGGACCAAAAATTTGACCTAAAATTTTTTTTTAATATTAAATAGTATAGTGTACCCCTATGTCCTTATACTTATAATTTATAATACTAGTTACACTATAGTGAAAATTGTAACTATAGACTATATAATACTATATTATATATTATATACATTTATTATATACTTAAACTGAACAGTTTCAGAACAGTGAACACTGTCAGTTCAGTAGTCGTTCACTAGCAGTTTGGTGTTTTTTTCAGGTCTAAATTATAAAATTTTTAAAGAGGCCTTTTTTAATATACATAACTATTACTTACCACACAAATAATCCTTTCAGACCTAAAATGCAACTGAAAGAATGTGTCAGGAAAAATATTTCACCACACAAAATACTCAGTTACTGGAACTAGAAGGTTTGCACTCGGTACTACAACACAAGTTTGTTTTTCACTCGTCACTCCGAAGACCGAGTGCACTCAGCTGCACTGGACTCTATTTTGGTTAGTTGGTATCCGCGACGAGTGCAAAATAACTGAGCTTTGTTTCATGTGTAGCTGTTGTTCGCATCACAAAACAAATATGTATACAAGCTAAAAAACACTAACAAATTATACATACCAGCCAACCCCATGTTACGAAATTTGATAAATCATCATGGACCATGTTTTAAGTTTATTGATCTTCGTTCCGCTATTGCTTGAGCCGCAATTTTGCTTTACATCAGAAAGGGGTCAAGGTTGTTTCCTTCCTTATATAAATGACGTCATTTAAACTGAAGCTGTTTTTATACTTTTTATTTTTATAATTATCTAACTACAATATATTATGGCATTTTTATAAATAAATAATTTTATTGATAATGAATTTGTTAAGATTTTTTTTTTAAGTAAGCAAATCTTGATTAAGTTGATTGAATGTTGAAAACTTAAAACTGTCCGACACAGTCCGACGACGTCGACGTGAAAATACACCCTCAAATCTATTATTATAATATTAATTCAGTTTATCATTATGGAGATCATTTATTAATCCATTATTTGTAAATTTGTGTTTTCTATTCATCTCTCCACCAGGTTGAGTCAGTTAGTTGAGATTTAATAACACTAGTACTGTGTGCAACGATATTAAAATCTGCACACGTTTCTCCCCAAAACTTTTTTTTCAAGCGTTATTTTAAATTAATCACCTCGTTCCCTCCCCCCCCCCCCTTTTTTTTTTCCCCTGAATAATTTTTAACGGGTTTTTTTGTGCACAAAAGAATGTATGTGTGCCGGAGACGGATTAAAGGGGGGGGGGGGCTGTGTGTGGTCCGTCCTAACGGCACTATCCTCCAATTATTGGTAAAGGTGTAATTTTCGGTTCACTGCAACCTGGGCCGGCGCTAGGGGATGGTGAACGGGGCGATCGCCCAGGGCCCCGCGCATGTGCTTAGCCCTTATACTATAATGCTAGATATTATTAATATAGTTAGACCCTGCTTATTCATAGTTTGTCATTTCAAGAAGAAAAAAAAATGCTCTGAGGTAAAGGTTAATCAAATGATCAGTCTGTCCATTTCCTTTACGATTCGGTCGTCAGCAGGGTTCGGTTCGGGTTCGGTCATCAGCAGGGTTCGGTCATCAGCAGGGTTCGAGTTCTTCATGTCTATTTCGGTTGATTCCCATATCTACTATTACTATTAAATAGTATAAACTATCGCTTTAATCGCATGAAGACACATAAGTGAATTTTTGTGAAGTTATTTCTCTTACAAACTACGACTTGGGGATTTTTTACATCTCTATTTGCCTTGGTCATAGTATTACTGACCCTGTCACGAGCTCACTTATACTTATGCTGGGTGATATTTTCTCAAATTTCTACAATACTCCTGACATCACCTTTTTTTAATGTGCCCATGGAAATACAACAAACATATAATAAATAAAAAGAATCCTCCACTTAACTCAAAGTAAGGACAGCTATTTTTTTTTGTACACATATACTGTGTAAATGTGATATGAAAATTGAGTAAAAAATTCAATGCACATTGTAATGTCGAAGTTTGTTCATCCATAAAGTCCATCAAATATATATCTACAAATATGTTCATAAAGAACATGAAAAGAGCATGATGCAGCTTCGGTTACCTTACACCAAGAACATCCTAACGGTGACTTGGTTTATGATGAAATCACGGCACGCTTGGATAGAAGATATGCCAGTGCTCCAGAAGATATGTGGGTCTTAGTGAGTACAGTATGTCATACTTTTAGCCTCCATTAATGAAGGTTTGTGAACAGTCTTGTTCTTATATACTCGGGGAAAGCACAATGACACAAAATAGATGAAATTAAGTGCTAGTCAGTAAACAAAATGAAGAAACAAATACATAGCATTTGAAATATTTCTTTTAATACCCTAAAACATTTTTTTTAACAGATAATTTGTGCATTTCATGGACATCATGGAGCGGGTTGCTCACAAATTTTAATGACTCTTCTTGTTAGGAGTAAAAAGACATTCGAAAATAAAACTTCTCAGGAATATTGGAAAATATGTAGATAGTCTTGGCCCGTAAGGAAATATAAAAAAAATTCAAGACCTGCATTATTACTTCATCAATCACATACTGAAGAACACTCATACACAGTGAAAATGATCACCCAAAAATGACTTAGTCATTTTGAAATCCACAGCTTCAAAGTTTGGAGACCAAAAAACCCCAGAAAGTTGAGGAAATGGATGTGATCACTGTATGATGGATGGATTACGCAATGTTGCATTATTCCAACAAGCATTCATACCATTTCCAGTATTATACAGGGGAGGTTAAAAACTTAGAAAAATCTGTAAGTTTGTATTAAATGAACTTAAAATACAAGAATCTGTTGAAAATCAATAGGCCTAAATTTCTGAACACAGATTGCCAAAACAACGTTACCCACCATGCTGCAAACAGCAATTTACAAAAATGCAATAGTAAATATTAAAAAGTATTTTTATAAACATACATTTATTCCAAATTGTGTGTGATAAATAATATTAAATTAGATAATTGTTTTCATGACTGTAATACTTTATTTCATAATTTCTTTTCACATCAAATATAAGAAGTGCTCTAAAAAATTAACACAGTACTTTTGTCAAATACACTCACTACACCATTTACCACTAATTATTTTTTGTATAATTTCACCAAATTAGCAACAGGTATATTTTATTTTAAAAATTATTAAACCATTAGACAGTTGCATATATTTATTTGAACAAACGGTAATAATTGATGGACTGCATTCAAGTTGTGTAAATGAAATATAAGAACAAGGTATGTAAAACTTTAATTAATGGACAGGACAAAGGATTTGGACGTTTCAGCAAACAAGACAAAAAGAAGTATGACAAGTAACAGAGCACAGTAAAAAACGTAAGAGATTTCCTTTTGTTGCCGGAAGTAGTATTGCAGGAAGTGAAAGAATATAAATATTGGTGCTGTGAAAAATAGGGTAGAGAATCTTAACGGACCAAAATATTTAGGGATACATGAAATCTAAGGAATAAGGAAAAAAAAGAGCCCACATCTTCTATTACATTACGTGAATATTAAAAATGAGACTAGGCTTTTGTAGATGGAAAAACATTATAAAGTTTAGACTCCAGCAGGGTGTGACAGGCTATACTTCAAGTGGCCAGTTGATAGCCCACATGACAGAGTCATTAATAGCCCACTGTATTTCTCATGCCACGTTTTATGTGCCATGGTTGGGAGCCCACATACTTAGAGCCAAGAATAGCCCACTGTATTTTTCATGTCAATCTTTATGTGGCCAGAGTTTTGAGCCCACATGACAGAGCCAATAATAGCCTGATGTATTTCTCAAGGTGTTAGAGGATTTGGGCACAATGGCTACAAAATAATTAGAAAGGAAGAATGTGTCATATGCACTTGTGTTCTAGTGGAACCATTTTTGAAAGTTGGAATTAAATGAAAATTTATCATTGGTTTCATAACATTCCTGTGTTCATGAGTATTGAACCACAGATCATGATCTAATGGTGCACACAATCTCCCAAACCTTCTTTATCAAACTAAACATTCAATTATTTAACAGCTACGGAACTATAATCTAATAGAGCATAACAATCATTCTTATCTACGGATAAAATCCAAAATTACAACTAATGACCAGGTATGCTAATAATCTTTCTAGTAGTTCTTTGTGAAATGACCCATAACATTGTATTACTAACTGAAATTTGTTATGTAACTAGCAACAGCTGCAGAAGTGGTTAGATATTTTTTCAACATTTATAAGTAATAGACATCTTTTTGCACAAAATTTAACAAGAAAAACAAATGCAGCAAAAACTGCTGTCCTTAAATGTATATCATATCAAGAGGAATCGAGTTATAATTTTTACACCAAACAAAAATAACTTTGAATTAAATGCACATGTTTTTTTTTAAAATGTAATCAATACAAAACAAATAAGATGTGAGTTATGTTGCAAACAATGAAAATTAGAAAAACAGTGATAATATACCTGAGATATTCATGTCTGGCATGAGACATGTTCAAACATGAAAATTCATGAAACTAATTATACACTACCCGGTACTGAACAGTTAGGCTGCCATGATATGCTTTCATTTGATAAGTGTACCACTATGATAACAAACATGGAAAAAGAAAAAAAATTAAGAATTTGAGCAACTAATTAAAGTTATAGTAAAGTCTTGGGTTGAAAATCATAAATCAAATTCTGTTAAACATTAACAATAAATCTATTTTCATCAATTACCTCTGAAACGTTAACTCCCAGAGCAACTACAGCCCTTTTGTAAGGAGTCCGTAGAGCTTTTTGCTCAACCTATCAATTAGTTTCATGCAAAAAGGACATGGGAGTATAAAAAACAAATCTTAAGACACTGCGCAATACTATGAAATGACTGCTTCTGTTAGCCTTGCAACAAATGCATCATAACCAGCCACTTGAAACTGTCGAGCTGCCTCTGCTGGGTCGGGAGCTTGGTATATGCCACGACCAACAATTATGACGTCTGAACCTCGACGTGTGATGACTTCAGATGGCGTCAGATATTGCTGACCCAGATCATCTCGTCCACACTCCAGCTGGACTCCTAAGGAATTAATAATATTACTTACTTAAAATGATAAGTAAAAGAAAGGAAACTACCCATCCATACACCTCATTTATGAGACAAAAAGCTCATACCTACATTGCAACAACAAGTGCTCCTGGCATTCCAATGTGTTCAGGGGCTAGTAATTATGTCAAAGTGACTCTTAACTTTTTAAATCTAAGTTAATAATATTGACAGCTAACATAAGGGCAATTTACACATTTAGTTCTTGAACTTGGCATTCATATTTCAAGTTTTGTGCCACAGTATTTTAACTGTCATGCTTACCAAATTATTGCCTCCCAAAACAAAAAATGTATCAAATGATTTACAAAAATATTTTGAAGGTCATTTGTTTGAAGGTGTATAATATTATATTTTTGGGTATGTTTTGCTAACACATGTTAATTATGGCATATCTTTTATTTTAATAAAACTTTACCTGGTGTCATGTGCACCAATTCTGGATCAGGTGATAAGTTAGATACAGAAATGAATCCAATCACAAAATCTTTGTTTTCTTCTGCCATTTTCACAGTGGCTAAAAGAACATTTAAATTTTGTTTTAAAAAATATAATTTAAAAAAAAAATTAAATGTATGAAATACTTAAGTAATGAAAAGACATGATTAAAAAGTTGGATTTCAAAATGTGGTGATAAATAATGATTAGAGAATAATTTACCTTGGGTATAGTCTCCTGTTGCCAAGTTACCAGCAGAGCTCATCTCAGCTATCAGAAGACACCCACAACCATTCTGAGTTTTCACCTAAGGCAGTAAAAATGTTTCTCAGCTTTTTTTTTTTTAATATATTTTTTTAAATTCTAAAAATAATGAACTATTTAATGTTGCATTTCTAAACTCATTTTAGACTATGCACCACAGGCTGTTCAAAAGTGGAGACAAATAGTAAAATGTACATTTTTGTGGCAATTATTTTATTGATTTTCAAAAAATTGGTTTGGTTATCAAAGCTTAACCCCTTCATTTTACATTTTCAACTTGAAAAATTACCCATTAGCCATAGATTTCCCCAACAACAAACATAATTAGCATGCAACTGACCATCTTTAATCCTTGTATCACTCCAGCACCTGGCACTGTATGAGCATTGATAATATGAGCCCAGTTGCTGATATGGTAAACACCTCCACTGAACTGATGGACCACAGTGTTACCTATGTCTGCAAATTTTCTGAAAAACATAAGAGTCATTCAGTGACAGAACTTTCTATAAAATAAATGGAATAAAAAAATACTTATATAAATAGAATACACATTCACATGTGTTTCATCCATGATTAAATATGGGAAATTTAGAATGAGTTGAGTTTGAAATCTGGAAACAGAAAAGTATATTTCCTTACCTTCCAATTGTATGTAACAAAAACTAACAACACAGCTAATTTGAAATTGTATATCTCAAATGCAATCAAACAATGTAATTGTCAATGAGGTTCAGTTAGGTCAAAAATATCTCAAAATAGTTCTAGAGTAATTTTGACCAAAAAAAGAGTGGGGTGTGTGCTTTGAATCCACCTACCCAGCTTGTCCATTTGACAAAGGGAGATAGCCCAGCTAAAGTTAAATTTGAAATGATACTTTTTGTGATCACTCTTACTTCAGGATGAAGGTCAGGAAGGAGTTGGAAGAGCATTAAATATTATCCTATCAGTACCCATATGGGAAGAAATTTGAATTAATCTTTTTTTAATTTTCTAATTACTTCATTCTATTATCCCTGGATGAGTGAAATAGATATTTCCCTACAATTCATAGATACAACACTGGAAAAAATTATTTTTATACCCTAAGGAATCCCAACAATCCTTGTTCAAATTCACAAAACTCACCTGTCTTCAAATATAAGGAATTCATGTTTAGATGCCAGCTGTGACAATTTTTCAATAAAATCTTCACTGAAATCCTCAAGTATATCAATGTGTGTCTTCACAATACAAATGTATGGCCCAGTTTTGTCAATGAGCTAGAAATGTGAAAATAAAGAAATGTTTCCATCCTTATTGAGAGAAAACAAAATTTTAGGTATTAAATGTGTAAAATGAAACTAAGGAGTAAAATAGTTGATATGAAAAAGAATTACCATATGATACTTATATATGCTTAAATATTTAAAAATACTCTTTTTTTTTTGTTATTACTTTATGAAATTATCCACCATGGTGTAAATAATTGGTAACTTTTGTTTTTAAAAAAATGATAATGTGTTGCTTATTTTAACAAATAAAAATTGAATATAATTTTTAACCAGAAAAAGCCAAAACAAAATTGTTTTTTATTGTGTTAACTGTAAACATACAGAATAAATTTGACAACGGTACTTGGAAAAAATCACTTTTTATGTCATAAAATATTGCACACTGCCCTGGGTCAGGTGCTGTGATGAACTAGAGATGACTTGGATAATTTTACAGCATTGGTAAAAAATTTGATGAACTTTATTCCATTTTTTATCCAATGACTGCTGCCTTAGGTGAGGTGAGGGTGAAAAATAATTTTTGTTTGGCTTCTAATGGGGATTTTTGTCACCTTCTTTGGTATTGTGAAGAAGTCACAAAACAGGTTTTAAAAAAATAATTTATTGGTTGTTTTTTTAACTCATAAAACCTCTGGCTTTTAAAATTTTTTAAAGACTTTTACAAATCTGAAGATATTGCCATAAGATTTAGGACATAGATCATTTAACTTATAATTATAATAACATTTTGAATATAAAAGGAAATTTTGATTTAATACCTAGTTATAGATCTACAGGGGTACAAAAAGTTACTTTTTGGGGGGACAAAATGTGTGACTGAACTCTTTTGAACATTTTCTTTTTCTAAAATAGTTATCTTAATTGTGGGTTATTCTAATGTTTATTATTGGTTATTGTACATACTGTGTAAAATAGTTGTAAGGATATTGTTAACAAAAAATAACAAGAACAAAAATCTGAAAGAACGAAGAAAAACGAAAAAAGCAATGGAAATTGTGAAAAATTAAATATTTATTTTCAGACTGGGCTTAAAACTTTCCAGAAGCAAATCCTTTCCCAAGTCCTCTTGTCTTTTTTCCTGGCCACTCTAATTTTCCTTGCAATGAATTATTTTTCTATCTTTTATTATAATTTCGCTAAAAAAATTATATTTGGCTTATTTTGGAGAATTTCACCATTATATATCCTTGTGCAAAGCCATACATTTCACCATTTAAACTAAGTGACAATGCAGACCCAAGCAGTTATTTTGGATTGGAAATGTAGGCTGAAAAATGCAATTATGACTACTAATGACCGAATGAATATTGCCAGGGGTTATTTTTCTGCTTTCTTTTTTACACCATCTTAGTCACTTTGTGTAGTTGAAACATGTACTTAATATCCAACAACTTGGTAACAGGTTTTTTTTTGTGGAAGTCACGAACTCATTGTGAGCAATTACTCTATTGTAAATTCAAAGTAATTAGTTTTCACCATTTTGACACTCATCATGTGGCAAATCTTTATGTAGGGATACAATACTGAAGCAAGGAAATTATTAAAATGCTCCTTTCAACTGCATTCTTATTCCTTTTATCCCTGAAAAGTACATGATAAGCCTTGTGATGGCATTATGTGTTAGACTTCTCCTTCCTCCTCCACCTAAGGATGCATCCAAATGCATGTTGTACCAACCAGTGTAACATTGGGAACAAAAAGTTAGTTTTTTTCACGTGCACATCAGGGCAATACATATTACTGAAGTTTTGATGACACCCCCATCAGGAATTATAATTATGTTGCAAGACCTGCATTCTCATTATGCTTGACGCATCACCTCAATCATTCCTGGAAAAATTAATATAGTAGTTAGTTATTTCTAGTAAATATCTCCTAATCTGCAAATAATAAAATATAAATTAATGATAATGATATGTCTGAATGTAAAATGGCATGGACAAAAAATTGTGTAGGCCTCTACATTAAGACTCTAATGACTAATCTTTTACTTCAGCACGACACCCATTGGTATTAGTAATTGGTCTCCTTACAAAGATTTTAAAAAACACTTGTCAGGCTTTTATTGCTTTAGGAAAATTTTACTAAGAATATCACCATACTATTAGATTTACTCTATTAGGTTTTATCATTACTACTTCTAACCTATAACCTCAGCCTACCGCATGGTCAATAGTCAGACAGGCTTTAACCACCATGCTGCCTAGGCCTAAAACTACATATATGAATAAAATTTAATTTCAATATTAATCTGGGTGAAGGAAAAGTAATATCAGCAACAACTTACCGTTAATATTGGCATGGAAATTTCCAATTCATAAATCATCTCCCTGCCAGTAAAGTAGTGGTGGATGAAATGTGAAACTGGACTGAGTGTTACTAAGACTGTATCACTGACTGGTTAACATGACTGTCATGATGAAGTAAAATGAATCGTCTATTTTTTCCTTGCATATTTAAAGAAAAGAATATGTTCGGTATCCCATTTACTGGGTATATACTTGTTTACTTCATTTGTTTCTTGCCACATCATTTTATTTGCCAAAGAGAACTAAAATATTATAAACTATCTATACCCCAACAAACAATGGGGGCTGCAATGCATGACATGCCCATCTACAAAAGTTATTTGACAAAACAAGCATTCAAGTAATGCACTTTATAAGATTCCAAGTTAGAGCTAACCCACCCTTCCCCCCCACCTACGCCACGGTCACAGAACTATTAATATTCTAATGTCCCACCCGCTTTTATACTGCAGATTTATTACACTATTATTAACTATTTCCATAAAACAAAAGAAAATATTAAGCATATATATAATGCTGTATTTTTAAGAATCTCATTTAGCATAGTTATCAGCAATTTTATTTATTGAAATCAGTGCCATCTGGTAGCAATTGTGATGACTAGTGTTTGTTCAAGAAATAGCTATTACTAGGTCTAGCGAAATCAAAGATTTCTTCTGACAAGTAACCAATTAAAATGCTTGGCTTTATAAAAAGTCATGGCAGAATCATGTGATACAAATTAGGATAGGAAAATATCACATTTTTCTAGAATATACAGGCGATCGAAAGATTTGGCTGCTTTTGTTAGATTTTGTAGTGACAAAAATCTATATATATCTAAAAGGGGAAATAACCAGCCTTCCAGGTTGGGCAATTCGAAATAATCTAAAGGGGTAAAAATGGGACTAAATAGGGCCATTATGATTTTCTGCTTTTAGACAGGGTCAGGATAATTACCTTTTAATATAATTTATAACTGGGGAGGGGGATTTATTATTATTTATGTTTCCAAAAAAAAAAAAGATTTTTAAAAAACTTATAAATTTGAATTTTTTGTTAATTTCTCACCCACACTTCCCTTTAAAACGTTTAATCACTTGTAACTGTGTTTTTGACACTGTGTTTGTGTTGTATGAATTTTACACAGTGCTTAATTACTCCTGTAGTCCCTATGGGAGCTTTAAGTACTGGTAAATACCATACACTGAATGGGGTCAGTTGAGGTTTGTATCATTAAAGAGTCACTATTTCTTTTATAAATATCATCATGTCAATGTCACATGCTATTTGGTGAATAGCAGATAGCAGATGAAGGCGGATAATAAAAGATTTGGAAAAATACCTGCAGCAATTGTTTAGAATCAGTAAGGTCAGCTGACAATGCCAAGTTAGTCCGCTTTTTCTCCATTATTTCAAACAGTCTTTGAGTGATTGGATTACTGCACAACTTTGCACGTTCTCTATAACCAAGAACCTATCAAAACAATATTTTAAAAATAATTAATGTCAATTATTTAAAATTAATTATATTGATCGAATTTCAATATTTATTTTTTAGAAACCTGACGGATTTACCCATAAAGGTAATAGTTAAAATCATAATTCATTTTATAAAAGAAACCTTTGGCTTTGGGGCAAGCTGATTTGGTTGAAATGTATTCTTCAAGATGTAGTCAGACACTCTTTCTACCATTTCAGGGGACATTTTTCCAGCCTCTCTGAGCACTCTGAGAACATCACCCATTGTGAATATGCTTGAAACAAAAATGTACAATATTAAGGATCTGTATGATATGTGAATTTATTTGAAAGCTATAAATACCCTGACTGATTCCCCTCCTCTGACCGATAAACGATCTTGCTGGCTGCCACCCATCGTTTGCCTTGTAAAAGTTATGTGGTGGGGTGGGTGAATATACATTGCTGTTCTTTATTTCATAAATGTATTTTATTATAATTTCATGATTATGTCTCTTTTGATAAAATTTTTATGTACAGCGCGGTGAGCCCAGCCCTAGGCTGGGGTACCGAGCTATATAAGACCTCTTATTATTATTATTATCATTATATCAAAATATGATATATTTTTAAAGGAAAAGTTAAGAATCTTCTAATGTTAAAAAACCCATTTAAAGTTGTACATGATACCTGTGCCTCAGTTTACTTCATATACCTAGTAGTATGCTTTGGATTCAATGGCTAATAAAATTATTTTAAAGCTTTGAATAAAATTACTCAAACCTGTGCAGTTTTATGCCTTCACTTGCAAGTTTCTCACAACCACCTTGTTCCCTATTTAACAAAACAACAGCCTCTTTCACAATGATGCCTGATGACTGAAGGGCCTGTGTAATTATGAAACATATCATCTCTTAATCAATTTTAAAATATTTTATGAATAGGTAATATATATATATTATTTTTACATTTCAAAATTCTTCTTTGAATGTATCATTCAAATATAAATAATTTTCTTATAAGCTGTGTACTGAACACTCATTTTCATAACTGAGAACCCCTTAAAAATTGTTATCATAAGGTATTATTATATAATTTTATACTTATTGACCATAAAGAGTTAAAATTTTAGAGCTGTCACCATACACCATGCTCTACAATCCTCAATTTGAAAGACTAGCAATTGACAAGAATTTTTTCATACTGATTCAATGTTAAGTTTTTTTTCAAAATATTTTTAAAAATAATAAAAGAAAAAAATGTATTTTAAAAATTTTCTTTAAACTTCTTTAAAAAATATTGTTGGAAAGTAAAGGATTCCAAAAAGGTTGGGGAAAACTCAGTTACACATTTAAATTGATTCAAACTATGTTTTATACTTATACTCAAATACCTGTGCTGTCTCTAAAATACTGGAACCACTGGATACTACATCTTCAACAACAAGGCAGACGTCTCCATCCTCATAAATACCTTCTATCAATTTTTTGGTCCCATAGCTTTTTGCTTCCTTTCGACGTATTAGCATAGGGATCTGATGTGCTGTAGACATCAGCTAGATGTAAAAGTAAAAACCAAAGTTATCAAAACTAAAAATTTGTTTTTAAACTCTTTAAATTAATTTACTAACAAAAGTATAAGAAAAAAAATTAACCATAAGACAACCTTCTAAATCATGTAGGTACTAGATCCAAGCGCATACATATATACAATGCTTACAGTAGCTATTGGAAGAGCGGTGTACGGTACTCCACAAATTGTCTTGAAACTACTTGATTTCACCTTGTTCCAAAGCAGGGTAGCCACATCCACCTGATTACAGAGAATTTTTTATTATTTTTACTGAAATTATGATTGAGTTATACAACATTACTATCCAGTTAAGAAGACAATATAGCATTGTGAAATGCACAAACAAAGAAAAGCTAAGCATGACAATAACCAATAACTCAATAAGTCCAAGTCTAAAGGCCCCCAAACCACCTCATGGTGCAATCCATACGCCACTGTATTAAATCTATATACATAAAAGCCAAATACCACTCACTCGCTCACCATAAGATCTCAAGAACAACAAGCCCTATGAAGTTGATTTTTTCCATTGAGATAGCCCATATGCTCGTGTACAGAAAAGTTTTTTGTTAAAATTCAACTTTTAAGTGGCCTAAAATGACCAAGTCCAAAACATGGTTATTATTGATTTGTGTTCTGTGTGTTTTGGTTTATACTTTGGAATTTTTGGTTTGTGACGTGAACGTGTTTTGGTAATTTATTGAGAAATTTTTATTGTTATTTTTCTTTGATGACCTTTTGAAACTGTGTGCTTTTAGAAATCCATACATATAAAAGTCAAATACCATTGACTTACTGACAGACTCATTCACTGTACATGAGATCTCAAAAACAACAAGCCCTATGAAGTTAAAATTTTTCTTAGTGAATCCTCTTATAGTCTAAGGGGCCTAAAATGACCTAAGTCTGAACCATATATAAAAGCCATGCTTTTTTTATCATGGTATTTTCGGTTTGTGTTTTGATGTCACTATTATTTGTTTTGCATTGCATTTGAACAAGCACTGTTTTATTTTTGTGAATTGTGCACAACCAACAAGAATATTTTATAAATAAGTTCTTAAACTGTAAATCAACTGATGTAGACACTTCTATCTTTCGACAATGTTGAATTACTGTGCTGAGGTCGGCATCATTAATTCTTTAGATGGTAAAGATAACTTGGCTATATCTCTGTATTGATTTCTCTGTTGTTTAGTAGGATTGATTAGTATTATTTTTATGTTTTTTGTGTGCATATTATAAAAAAAAAAAAAGAGCATCCGAATCAGTGACATTGAAATAGGGGTGTGGAGGGGGAAGTCTGCCTCTGATAACATTATTTCTTTTCCTGGAACGGTGTCGTTTTCTGCCAAACGCAGATTTTAACGTAAAAATATCCTGGCCCACCACGGTTGGCACAGACCCTAGAAATGCCCCTGATGGGAATGCAAATTTGAATGCGAGGAGACACATGGCTTAAACTTAAAACTTCTAAGAGGCAGCTAGAAAGATACCATAATGTGTGGCTTTTGTTTCCCCACATAATACATGTAAAACAATTAACTTTGAGACTTGATTACTCTTATGTTCTTTTTATTAATTTCATGAAAAATAACAAGATAATTTTTTATTGTTGAGCATTTTCTTAAAACATTTGATTTGTGTTGTTTTCATTTGATAGTAGATATTTTTTTCATTTTTTAAGGTACTGAAATTCATTTCAGACATGAATCAGGAATGAAGTAACATTGGCGAACTGATTGTTTGCTTATCTCCTTGTCAATTCGGAAGTTAGTATTGCTTATTCCTGGCATTATAATTCTGTTTGTGGAAAAACTAGAAAGTTAAATTTGGTGTTTTTATAAAGCTTATAGTTAGCCCTTTAAACTTTAAAATGATGTCATTTACGGCAATAGTCAACAGGACAATATTTAACGTTTCTGTCAAAGTGCCTACTGTCTCTAAAATCATAGTTCTGACAGGTCTTGGTCTACAATTGTAAAAGACACATCAAAATCATAGATTGTATGCCAAAATTATAAGAGTAACCTGGTCTGATGTTGGATGCTCATGTGTTGGTTCTTTTAATTGTTCTCACACCCAACCGGAAAATATTAAAAATTGCTTACAGGGTCACTGGTCAAACTAAGTAACTAAGTCAGTAATTCCTAATTTTAGCGCTATTAATTATTTTTAGTGAAATAAATTAACAACTTCCTATTTATCTGATGGAACTAAATTTAAAAATTGTAAATGTTACTATAACATATATTTATTGTTTTACAATTAGTCTGTTGTGTATTGTGATTGGTTTAAATAAAGGTTTTTAATATTAAACATGTATTTTAAAAATCAGTCAATCGATAAGTTCACCTGATGATGATGGAACTACATTAAAACATTTCAACTGTTACTATAACATATATTTATTGTTTTACAATTAGTTTGTTGTGTATTGTCATTTGTTTTAACAGGGATTTTTAATATTAAATGTGGGCTTTAAAAATCAGTCAATCGATCAGTTTGTTGATTGTCTATGCAGCCGATGTGTGGCCAGATTTTTTTCACTTTTTCAGTATTTTCACTGTCTCAAAGAAAAAAGCAATATGCATATGGTAAAAGTAAGTTGAAAATAATAGACTCAGAGGCGTCAGCTTACAGTAGGATTACATGATAATGTACATGATTGATGTAACCTAAGCCATAAATTTTTATACTAGTAGGAACAAGGCAAGTTTTAAAATATTGTTTTATAATGTTTAAACTCAAGTGTTTCTTCTATTTTCTAATGGATTTTCAACTTTGTATATATTAATTGGCAATCTTTGGCCAATGGTTGTAATATACTGAAACTGATAGTTGGCATTGCGCCTCTCCCCCCTCAATGTGTTCGGAGTTACCAGATGGTCCCTTGAAGCCTTGCGGGAGGGAGGATTAGAAATTGAGTTCAGACCAATGCAGTGAACGCTTCCTACACTACTGAACAAAGGACAGGTGAACCAACTGACAAGTCAATGCACAAACAAGTGACCAGACAGACAATTAGCCACACGCACAAGTGAGCACATAGCCAACTGACAAATTAGCAAAACAGCTAAGTCCCATGGCCTAGTCCAAACTCACGTCTACCCATTTTGGGTGCACATGCGCTGTCGGGAACAAGCATTGGAAACAACTATTGAGAATACCAGACCCAAAACTGTAAACTCAAGAACATCTTTTGATTCACCATACATTTTTATATTTTTTCCTGCAAAAGAATTAGGGCACCAACGTTGACTGACTTGCCGAAAATTCAGCAAAATCCCAACTCATCCAGCTTGTGTCAGCCTGACTTTGGGGACACTCCAAAGTCGTGCACGGTGATCGGAAATGACTCCCGAGCATGCCAAACTAAAAATCCAGAAAACAGGAAATTTCAGGAATAATTCATCAAATGGTTTCCGTCTCCTAGGGTAGGTCCGAAAATGCAAAACATAACAATTTTTTTTTCTCGTTCGACCTGTCGGCTCCCCAGTTGTTTGTGGGTTTATTTGTCTATGTTACTTTTTTGCATGTTCACTTGTCCATTGGTTTACTTGTTCTCTGGTTCACTTGTCCATTGTTCAGATGTCTTATGGTGACTTGTCGCGGGCTTACTTAACCAGTCACCATAGGGGACACTCACCATCAAGGTTATGCAGCATTAATTATCAGAAATCTGCCTTTAGGCTTAGGTACCACCGTACACCAATACACGGGGAAGCAAAACAGAAACATGGCAAGGCCCTGGAGACTACGTTGCTCCCGCTATGCCTGCGTGTTTTTCATTCCATTAATGTGTCAAAGAACCACATCGTCCTGGTAAGCAGCTGACTAGAGAAGAAGGGCCGGGCAAAAGATGCGAAGCGTGAGACTCTGCTACATAATAGTAATAGAATTCCACTAACATGCGCCAAATGTCTAAGCGTTGGTTGACACGTCATGTGTCCTCATAATGAGCAGATTATGAAAACAAGATTGGACCAGGGATTATGTTAGAGTTAGCAGGTATGGATGAAGAAGAGTGTCTCAGCAGTGTAGCAAGGGTTACTGCCGCCAATTACCACAAATACTTTTAATAATGAAATAACGGTAAATGCATAGTCATCGCTCCGGGGTTTCCCATCATGGCGGTCGCCATCTTTGTTTACATGATCCGTGAGAACGTCACAAACCATGTCAACCAAGATGGCGGGCGAGTAAAAATAAAAAAAATAAAAAAGTAGTGCAAAGATGTTTGGGGAGAATGTGTTTTATCAACTACTTACAGAAATATAGAAAAATAAGTAATTTCACACGAAAATTGAAATGAGAAAAAAGGAAGAACACGCAAATTTATAGCATTTTGTAAAAGTGCGTTTCAAGAAAATGTAAAATTTTAAGAAATTGGAAAAAAAAAAATTCTGAAAAAGCAAAAAAGTCGTCAAAAAATTGTGTTTTTTAACATTTTTGAAAAATGTTTAAAAACAATTAAATGTTCCCTTTTGTTGCTTGAATATTTATAATTTTCAATTATCATTGGTTGGCTAATTATCATATTTTATTTGCGCCACCATCTTTTCAGCACGTTAGCCCAATGTCGGCTGTGGTACGCTGTTGCGCTCTATTCATTTGTGCATGTTATTTTCTTTGGAACGTGAAATTTAAGTGTGTACAAGTGTATTTCATGAAACTGTAAGTTGGGTTTTAATTATTTCATACTTAATAAATATTTTTGGCCACTTTTTTGTTGGTTTTTGTTCATTTTCATAGTTTTATGGCCACTGCCACAGTGTGTAAACTCCATGTGTTATTAATTGTGGCTTTAGGTTTTGGAATAAATGAAGGGACTGCTTTCAAGCTATGTAGAGAGACGAATGAATACTGCTTGAGTTTTCTACTGTGTTCTTTTCTTTGTTATATTTTCATTTCTATTGTTGGCTGAGGAAGGCTTTATGCCGCAACGTCCTTGTTTTTTGTCCTGTTACCTTATTTCAAGCTTCCACATACCTCGTTTCACTATTTCATTCATTTAGGTTTTGGGGAGGGGTCCTGGGGAGGGGTCTACCCTCCCCAGATAATTTATTTCTTTCTGAATTTGGTATTTAAAGTCGGGGAGGGGGGGTCTAAACTGAAGAAGAAATTTACAAACCAAATTTTATACGCAAAAATAGCGAATTTCAAACTTACCGCCGCCAGACACATCAAAGAAGACGACAAGTGACATAATGTTTAAACACTCCTTTCGCCCTCCTTTCTATATACACATAATTTTTAAGTACCCTATAAGAAAATTAATTTCTCTAACAATAATTAATATTTATTTCAGATTTAGCGGCCCACAACGACTTTGTTTTGGATTCACTCCCCTTATTTTTTTATATTTTTTTGTTAAAAAAGTTACATTTTCGGAATTAAAATTTTATTGGTTGATTAATTATAATTTTAAAATTTTGATTGGTTGGCTCATTATCATTTTTATTTGGTTGCGCCATCTTTGATATCTTTGGGGTGCCTGTGGGGTGTGGAGATTTATTCATTTTGTGGCTATATTTGCGTTGGAACCTGAAATAAAGTGTGTAAAAGTGTATGTCATGAAACTGTAAGTTGGATTTTCATCATTTCTTTATGTTATAATTATTTTGGGCATTTTTTTTTAAATTTTTATCATTTTCTTGCCACATTACGTAAATTCCATGTGTGTTTACTAGGGCTTTAGGCGTAGGATTTAGGGATCGACTTTGATTTAGGGTTTGGGTTAGGCATAGGGATAGATTTAGTGATTTAGGGTTCGGGTTAGGTATAGGGATAGATTTAGTAATTTAGGGTTCGGGTTAGGCATAGGGATAGATTTAGTGAGTTAGGATTCGGGTTAGGCATAGGGATGGATTTAGTGACTTAGGGTTCGGGTTAGGCATAGGGATAGATTTAGTAATTTAGGGTTCGGGTTAAGCATAGGGATCGATTTAACACATTTTTTTCATACATTTTTAACGTTTTCTTCCTAATTTTAGCAAACATGAGTTATTTTATTTTTCCATGGCCGCCATCTTGGTTGCCTCGACCCGTGAACACGTAAAAGTGCGCGGGTCGAGGCAACCAAGATGGTGGCCATGGAAATAGACTCGGGCCGCTTTCTCTGAATTTACCAATATTTCTAACATTCAAACATTTCCAAACTCTGAGCATTTCCGAAATACATAAAATTTAACTTTTAAAAACATAAAATTTAACTTTTCTTTTAATCTTCGTTAATTATTCACATGAAAACTTGTTCCAATCGGTTATTAAAATATTAATTCGCCACACAATCATCTTCGTTAATTATTCACATGAAATCTTGTTCCAACCAGTTATTTATTAAAATATTCATCCAATGAAAATTAACAATTAAATAAACAAAGGGGAATGACTCCTGCTCAAAAATTAAATAAACACGCAATGATGTCATGGGGTAAAAAAACTAGGCATTAGCCGAAATAACTTATAAGTTTATTATTGGTAATCTACCACTTGAGCGTCGGCCAAGAAAAAATCCAGTTGTCCCGGTTGGAAGGGCTATTTAAACAACTATCCTAACATTGGAGTCTGTTAATATTTTTGCTTCCATATAGAGGCTATAAAGTAATATAGCACAATACTAACACATTTAAATAATTATTACTGCCAAGCTACCAATATGCCAGGAAGAAAAAGTGACAACAATTATTTTTTTTTATCCAGATAACGCGGATGTCCACACACAGAATGTGGAAAACATGAATGCTCAGAAACTTGTAAACTGAAAAGACAGTTTGGCACAAGAAGCGCCGGTTATCTTTCCCCTTCATAAATACCTGGATTCATGTACCACAACCGTTTTCGTGGAAATTATAATTATATTTTTTTTAAACTTTATTGTCAACTTGGGGGAGAACTATGCATAATTAATAATTCCATTTTCACACATTATCTTCTATTTCAAACAAATTGTTATAGTTTTTCTTTTTAAAAAATATTGTAATATGGGAATGAATACGTACAACCAATGTCATTAAAAATAATATAAGAATAGTTGTTTAAATAGCCTTTCCAACCGGAACAGCTGGATTTTTTCTTGGCCGAGGCTCAAGTGGTAGATTACCTTATTATTTTTTTTTTTAAAATAATTATGGAAATGAAATTTATTCCGCTAAAATGAAATAATAAGGAACTTAATAACTTAACTTAATCAAGTCAAACAAAGTTCAAAGTGGCTTTGACAAAGTTAAGTACAAAGTACACAGTTTACACAGACAAAGTCAAGGTGCTTCATTTAGTTTTAGGAGTCTCACCACAGTTTACACAGACAAAGTCAAAGTGCTTCATTTAGTTTTACGAGTCTCACCATTATTTCAGGGTATGATATCATAACCCTTAAATCAAAGTAAATTGGCGACTGAATGCCACTTTTCAGTGTGAAATCTCCAAACTTCACAACGTTTACATCATGCAAACGTATGATTAGTGACTCTGTAGTTATTTGTGAGTTCATAGATGCCGCCATGTTTCTAATAGGCCAAGATGAGAGCTGCCACTCACTTGTTCGAAATCCCAAGATTTTATCAAAGATTTTCACAAGATTTCCCAAGGTAATAAAATAAGCTATTAAAAAATATATGTATTTTATATAAGATTGGGCTATACTGGCATAACGCTAAAAACCCGAATATATTTTGATACGTTCGGATTCTCAAAAACAATCATAGTTATTTTCTATTATTTTACGGAAATCGAATAAATTTACATGCGCAAAAAAATATTATATTTCCACTTTTATTATAGCAAAAATTTAAGTATTGTTATTATAAATTACAAATATATTTAAAGTAACAATAAAGGAATTATTTTAAGCATTTTATCCAAATGTAAAAGTTACGAAAAAATTATTAATCAAAATATTATGATATTAGAATTGCATCTTAATCACATTTATCGGGAAAACCCAAACATCTGATATTTTTAGTGTGTATTTTAGTGCGTTGTTAATATTGCGAAATAAAAATAAAATTAAGTTTATTTAAATAAGTACGCAAATAGCGTAATAGTAGTAATAGCAAATTGCGTCATAGCGTGATTGCCTATTTTAGCCACAGTTCTAAGTTTTTTAAATTTATCTTATAACCGTCCGTGACACAACTGATAATGCATTTCTTTCTTAAAAGTAAAATTAATACATATCATGGATTGCTTTTTAAATTGCTAAAATTTTCTAAAATTAAATACAACTTAAGCTTTGTATTTTTAACATTTAATACGTTTTTACTTTTATTATTTCAAAAAATATACTTTTATGAAATTTATATAGTAGTCAAAAACGTACCCTTTAAATATACTTTTGGTACGCAAATGCGGGTTAATGCAATCAGTGCAGCAAAACTACATATCCAAATAGCATTCACTAATGCACTTATCACTCATCCAAATAAGAACAAAGCATGTGAAATGCAAAAAAAAATGTTTTTGCGTAGGTAAGGGGTTTAAAAGCCCGTTGATGATTTTATTTATTTCTTTAAAACTCTATTGTTGTATGTTTTTGTTTGTTTTTTTTTTTTTGTTTTTTTTTGTTGTTTTTTTGTTGTTTTTTTTTTTGTTTTTTGTTTTTTTTTGTTTTGTTGTTTTTTTTTTGTTTTTTTTTGGGGGGGGATTTTTTTTTTTGTTTTTTGTTTTTTTTTGTTTTGTTGTTTTTTTGTTGTTTTTTTTTGGGGGGGGGAGTAATACGATAGTTTCATTAGCCCAAGGCAGCACACGATACGCCTCAGAATGAATTTGACAAATAATTAACCTTCATAGGTACATATATATGGGGGTTAGGAAATAGGGTGCGTACAATTTTACGTGGATGGCAATATCTTGAAATTCAATGATGCTACAGTTGGATAAAATACATTTTATATTCTCATTTCATTAATTAAGAAAATCAATGACGTTAACAAAACGTAAGTACATTTACACAATTATACCCATGAATATCAAAACCCATTTTTTTGTTATGTGAGCTTTATAAAATTTATAATATATTTAATATAATTTTAAAAAGAGCTACTGCATGGGTGGAACGCTTTAAAAGCAGCGTTTTCGGTCGACCGGACGTCCCCCAGGCCAGGGAGAAGTTCCTGGTGTGCCGCAGCGTGGTCTGGCGACGGGGAAACCCGGCGTCTGGCCCATGTGGAGGTGTGCCGGGGGGTGGGTATTAAGAGTTCGTGCTCGACGACCCACCGACACCATTAACCAATATGACGTATTTAGTACCTGGCATACACAGATAGCGCTGCTTGGTAGAAACAGCAATGGTATAATTAAATCATTCAGGGAACTTAAAGATGTCTCTGTCAAGTTGGTCTTTGGGTAAATGAAGTGAAGGCAAAATATATGATGATGTCATGAAACACGCACACTTGTGACAACATCAATACAAACAATCACACCTTTGAGAGAGTGGTTACTTTCAAATCTATAAATGAGCACAATGAAATAATGTCTGAGGTGAAAGAAATGATAACAGCAGACAACCGTTATTATTTCAGCCTAAAAAAGCTACTAGGAAGCAAAAAACTCTCCAGGGACACAAAAAAGGCAATATACACCACTATCGTAAGACCAGTGATAATTAAAAAAAATATAAGATATAACTTTCGCAAGTGAGACATGGTCCCTACCGGAAAAGCACAGAACCTGCTCAATACATGGAAGAGGAAAATTCTTGTAGAAATATATGGCCCGGTGATAGACAATTTTGTTTGGGAAATCCGTACATATCAATCCGTACATACCAATTATACTTAGACCTACCCATGGTCGCAACAATAAAAAATATTTTTAAAAAAGGCAGACTGCATTGGACAGGACACATTGAAAGGATGCCGGATTGTAGATCAGCAAAAACGATCTACAGATAGAAAGCTAGGATGTATCGACTATGTAAAGATTAAGGACTTACACCAGTTGGGAGTTGGGATTTCGCGGATGGGGGCGGAAAGACATGATCGATCCGAATGGAAGAATGTGGTAGAGCTGGCGGGGGCCCTACAAGAATCCCCCCCCCCCCCCCCCAAAGTATGCCTGAAAGAAACCCTGTTTGCACTTTCAAAATTAATTTAGATCTATTGTTTTTTGCATTTTTCGTTTTCAATTTGCAATATTTTCAAAAGCTACCGCAACTGGGCACTGGGACACTTCTCAAAATCCTAGGAATTCATGACCCAGCTTGGGATCTGGGGAATAATTATGAAAAACAGGCGAAACCTTGAGAATTTGAACGGAAAATTGTTTGAAAATTCATAAATGTATCATAAACCCAAGTTGAAATTCTTCCATTTTCAGCTAAAGATAATTGGCTTGAAGTCTGTTATCACATTTTAGATTAATATTGGAGAAAAATGAATAAGGTCATCATCAATGTATACCTTCGTGCCAACCAGCTACTTCGGGCACGTTAGTAGCAGCATTGTCGATGTCGAGTGTCTTATAATTCTAATTCCATTATCTGGTTGAAATTCTATTGTTTTCAACATCTTGGAGCCAAAATTCTCTCTATCTTCCTTATCCCAGTTAACTATGACTGGGGTAATGACAAAGTTTGGTCGATCCTCGGTTAACTAAATTCTGAAATGTAAATGCAGTAGTTAAAAAATGTTTTATATTCCTATGTCCAAATGTAAACTATTTTAATCACGGAAACAACTTTATTATATAAAATGTTTAATTTCCATTTACGTGGTCGTCGTGGGTAACCGTTTTAGGGAGAAAAAATTATTTAACAGAACAAAACAAACAAAGAACGCGAATGATAGCTCTCTCCATGTTTCATGCATTTGCAATATATTTAATTTATAAGTCTATAAATTTGTTTAACACCTTCATTTGTTGTTTTAATTAGTTTTAAAAGTAAAATGTTGTTAGCAATATCTTTAAGGCGAGCTTCATATACGCGTGAATGAGTGGCGCTCAATACTCAATCTCTCTGGTGCCATGATCCCAGTCGAAATGGGACTTACTTATGGTAATTCCACTTCACTTTTGTGTCTAATCGTCAGCCTTGTATAAGAATTAAAATCATATCATCGATTGACTAACAAAAGTGCACGAAATTAAATTAACATTGCACCAAAGTAAATTATTAATTTAATGGTGCACCACGGAATATAATTTTATTATAAGTACATTTAATTTAATAAGATTTAATAAGAGTGTAGGCCATAGGCAATAAAAATGTTGTTTTAAATTGAAGTGGAATTTTTTTTAAAGATTAAAGCGTATTCTTTAAGGCCATTAAAAATAAATTATTTCATTTTTTGTGTTAAAATGAGTCTCGAAGCAGATTTAGAACTTTTGGATATTAGAGCTCGAGCTGTTTAAATCCATGACAATGGAGTCGGCTGATTTGAATTCTTCTATTTGTTATGCAACGATCTTGTATTCTTGTTATCATCTGCTCTTTTAGAGTAGATATCAGAGGTTCGCGCCAGATTTGTAAACACATTTTATTTAATAAATATATGTGAATTATCTCAAAATGCCGCTTCTAGGTAAAAAGGTATTTACCATAGGAGCCGATTCTCCAAATAAAGAGACAGAAGATGCACCGTACTTTATTCCGCATACCAAAGAACGGTTCCAATCAAAGTCGTATCCTTTCTCATTTCTGAGTTTCTCAGACGTTCCGGCCTTCACTCTTCCCGGCAGTGCCAACAATTGTTATATCATGAGTTTTTATTATATTTTTCTAACTGTTATCTGCTTGTGTATTGCTAAATTGTCATCTTATATTTTAAGTGTTGAAAATAATAAGATTTAGAATTTAGTATGCTCAAGCCTGTAATAAGTAAGGCAAATTATCGGCACTAATGCTAACTCACACTGCAACAGCCACAATACAATATTATTATAAATAAAATAATAATTATTAATTAAATTATTATATAATTCATTAATTGACATCTAAAAAAGGGTCATTTACAATGACTGTAAAAATGGTCTATGTGTAATCAGTGTGTATACTTCTTAATTATTTGAGTTTGAGTGAATGTAAATACACTCCCTAAATCTAAATGAACTAATTGAAAATGGAAGGCATGGATATGGAGTTAATCCTCACAGAGTGTACTGTTTTTAGTTAGCCTAATTCAGCAGTTTTCCAACAAATTCAGGGTTGTGACCTGGTACCAGGCCACAACAAGAAAACTTAAACCTACCTACCTACATTAGCTACTTCAACTTCGATAATCGTTTGCATACAGTTCTGCGCAGGTAAAACAATTACACAAATACTTTTCCAAGATATTTAATTGGGTACCGCTGGCTATGCATTGGTTGTTTTTGGAAAATTATATAGTAGGCCACATTTGTCCATTTAAAATTGCTTTCATCAGTCATGATCAGTTACATATCAGTTTTTGTGTTCTGGGTGATTCTATGAAATTATATTTATGTTGCAAGTTGATTTTTTGTGTCACGGACAGGATTATCATAACAGTACTCATAACCATTCAGTAAGCATAGATCACATAAATACTTTTGGTAAATTTTGACTACGATTGCCACTATTTTCTCAATGGCTGCCATCTTGGTTAACACGTCACGTGAAGTCATCTATCCCTATGCCTAACCTGAACCCTAAATCGATCCCTATGCCTAACCTGAAACCCTAAATTGATCCCCATGCCTAACCTGAACCCTAAATCGATCCCTGTGGCTAACCTGAACCCTAAATCGATCCCTAAATTAATTTAGTAAAAATAAACAAAGGGAAGTCACTCCCTGGAAAATAAGTCGTGGCAATCGTTACTAGAATTAGCCATACTTTTTTGTTACTTATTCTTTAAAAATAAATTTTAGTTCCATTGAAACAATTTCTGTCTTAAAAGAAATGTAATGTAAGTTACAGACCTGCAACCCTTCCGATTTTGTCGGAATTATACAGATTTTTTACCCCTCATTCTGACCTTCCGACAAACCCCTTAACATTCCGATTTTTCGAACATTATAATTTTTCACCCTTCATAAAAAACCGAAAGGACCAAAAAAAAAAAAAAAAAAGATCGGGTAAAACAGGAAGTGTTGCATTTGTTTTTACGGAGTGTCTACATGTTCAGCGACCGGACGAATAAGTGAATAAATTCTGGAGATATTCGTCCGGCTAGTCATTCGACCAAGTCACATGACCACCGTAACAGAGTTGCGCGAGATATTTGTCCATCAGCCTTGTCATGTGACCGCTAATTGTCGATCAAAGTTTACGGTACTTCATTTCAACAAATTCAAAATAGTCTGGGCATTTACATGAAAAAGAAATATGTTCACTTAAAAAAAAGAAATGCTAGAACCATAAATAATGAACAATTGGTTAAAAAATGACAATGTTTTTTATAAAGCTTGGCATGTCTGGTGGATAAATATCTCCCGCACTTTTTGTCCGGTCGTCTGATGTGTAGACACTGACTTGTTTTTATCGAAGCGAACAGCGATCTTCAAATCATTTTTCAATCATCAATCGATCCCATCGCGATTCATCCTTTTTACAAGGCTAAAAAATAATCCCAACTTTTTTGTTTTTGTTAAAGCTTTTCTTAATTAAATGGTTAAATCTATTCAAAGTGATGGGTACAATGATATTAATAAACATTAAGGGAAATAATTCTATAGCCCTAGCCAACTCCGATGGTTTTGATTTTAATGCCAGAGTCAAAGAAATGTTTCCAGACTTACAGAATGCTAGAAGATTTTAAAGAAAAATTAGAATGAAACAAGGGCAAGCATGAAAATGTATACTTTTTCTAACTTGCTTGTAACCAAAATCAACTGCAATGTTAACCTTCAGTTGGTCCAAAGAGCTGTTGGACAAATGCAAAAAGGCCACTATCACTAGGGATATGCTGGAATACTGAACTCTTACTAAGAGTCTTAGCAGCCTGTCTGTGTGTACATATGTAAATAAAATGGATCTTCTGTTCTGTACTGTATATATCTGTATATAAACATTTCTAGTAATGTTTACATCATGTTCTGTGGTGTTCTATGGACCCTTCAAAGACAATGGAGGTAACTTTATATTTCTTTATTTACTAAAAAAGGCGTGTACATTAGTATATAGATCTTAAACCAATCCCCCCCGGGGTGCCTCCCCTGGGGGGGGGGGGGGCAGCGGCCCCCACTTCCCCTTGTTGTTGTTGATATGTCCTCAAATCAAGTTAAAAGTTCATTTTTTTATAATATTTCTTTATTTACTAAAAAAGGCGTGTACATTAGTATATAGATCTTAAACCAATCCCCCACGGGGTGCCTCCCCTGGGGGGGGGGGGGCAGCGGCCCCCACTTCCCCTTGTTGTTGTTGATATGTCCTCAAATCAAGTTAAAAGTTCATTTTTTTATTTGATCAAGATGCTGAAAATGGATCTTATCACTGTCAATTATGAAGTGATTCATTATTGTTAGTGATTCAATGGAATTTTTAAAAGATAACCAAACTTGAAATTGTTGAGTGCCCATTTTATATGCTCTTCATTATTTAATCAATAATTAAAAGTTTAATAATACTGGGGGGCAAAAACATCACCAGCTCCCCGGGTGGATGGGACTCATCAACCTTGGATGGCAACTCATCTGAGAGAAGGAAACTCTAAATTTTAACCCGGAGATGGAGTCCTGTAGGCGGATAACATTGGTACAATGAAACATTCTGACAACTCCTACGACGCCAAGCTGTATCATCAACATGATGCTCCCTTGGGTTTATCCAACGGCGTGGAGAGAAGGGATTTGCTATTGGGAACCAGCTTTTAATCTTAGAAGAATAATCCCAGGTCTTGTGGATATCGTCCTGCGAATTCCACACCATCGTCACATTGTGCCGGACAGATGCCAGCAAAAAAATAGTAATTAGTAATAGCAATAATCATAAATGTTATTCTCTCATTAATGACTACTCATATGGGAGAACATTACTAAAATTAGGCCTACATTACATATAAGCTATTTCAACAGATCATCAGCTATTATAATCCTTAAGTCTATTTAGGTATGATTTTATTTTATGCTTCCCCCCCAGGGATTTGTTACACAAAAGATATTGTTTTTGATTTGTCTTATAGAGATTGTCGCAACCATCAACAAGAAGACTGTAGATCAGTCTACTCAGAAAATTACAGGTAGATCATCCTCATTACGTTTAATAAATCCAGAGGGTTAAATTATACCTTTGAACTTAATCATGTGTTTGCTCTATAATTTTTCCTTGGTATGATACTTATTTGGGTTAAGGGGTTTGAGGCACTGGCACTGGGTACAGTAAACATAAGGACACATGGTTGTCTATTTATTGTCCAAAGATACTCACACTGATTGTAGTATGCCTGGGCTGGGGCTCCTTTACCTCCATGGGCTGAAAGATTTGAACAAATTGTTATACAACTTAAAACTATTTAATTTGTTTAGTTGAACCTATTCCTGATGGCAGTGCTACTTCCATACCTTAGTTATATTCCCAAGAAAGGGAAGTAACTCCGTTTTGCAATTGATTTACAATGGCAAAATATTTTTTTAAGCTGCTGAATATTAATTAATATTAATGGATTAAGGATAAATGCATCCAGAAATGAACAAGTTTTAAAAAAAAAACATTAACATCGTACAAATAATGAGCAATTGCCAAAAAATGGATTTTTTATATCTCGGTTGAACACATGCTGTATATACAGAAGAACCGTACTAAAGCTCACATAGATTGAAAATGAAACAAGATAAACAAAAATGAGATGTGTGTCGCTTTGTGCCGGGGTGCATCTGTCGGGACTCCCGAATGACGCATTTAGAGGCAACTGTCAGGAATGTGTTAAACTTCTTCATTAGTGAATTAATTTTTTAAACAAGGTCATGATGCGATGTACTGGCACATAAGGGAAGATAATTATAATTAAAAAATGTAATGGTTTGGGCTGGGGACTAATTGTGGATGCCTTTATGACTCTTAAAGTATGACATTAACAATTATTATTAAAACTCTATACGCCCTGGTCTGTAGACAACATATTGAGAATACCTGTCCTAGTCATAATACATTTCATTCAATACATAAAAACAACTTTCAGTTGCTGGATCAGGATGATTGTATTCTAATTTTTCTCACTTCCCACAACCCTCCAGTCACCTTAACCTCTCTCACTTCCTCTCACCTACCATCTCCATGTTCTCCCTTAGTCCTTTCCCATCACCTGTGCTTTTGCAACCACTCTCCCACCCAAACATCCAACACCTTCTTGCCTTTTCCTTCACCTAACTTTACCTTCTCCCAATCCTACAAATACTACAATCTCATCCTTAAATCTCCCCTGGACTGTGCTCTCTACTTGACTTTGAAACCCCCTCCCTCTCCCCGCTATTTCTCTCCCTAACAACTTAATATCTCATCTGTCAACCCTTATGGTTTTGTCTTAACCCCATCTGGTCTACCTAGTCCCCACCACAACCCAACCTATCTACAGTCCCATTATTCTCCCATCCCCACCATACATCCCACACTGGCTTCTTCCACTGCCCCCTCCAACGAACCCTCATTGCTGTCCAATAAATACCCAAAGTTGAGCTGTAGCTCCAAGAGTTAACATGTGGAGTGGAGCCAGAGCTGAGTTGTCACCAAAATTACCTGCTTCAAAGCCCTGGCTTAAAATGTTTTTCCTAGTGAACTAGGACATAAGTAAACATTGGATAAACTACTTAAACTTGAAGTGAGAGAAAGGCTGCACTATTGTTAAACATGTGCACATTTTTTATTTTATTTTTAAAAGCAACTATACATTTTTGTTTGTTACTTATTATATTGGCCTGCATTTTGAAAGTCACTAGCAGATTATCAAATACTAGTGTTGAATTCCTGGTAAGTAATTAACTTTTGATAAATGTAAACCTTGTTGTTTTCCGTTGTTTTGCCAGAACAGTACCATATTCAAAACACTGCATATGTTCTGACAGTTAAAAAATATGATTTACCTTAAGTTTTTTCCTTGACCAAAGCTAAGTGAATATGAAAAAAGGAAAGACCTGTACTCTCAAAATATATGGACATGCCGTGCCACAGGTCATACGAATTTGACTCATGAGGAAGCTTGTAATTCCGAACTATTTGTGGCTGAGCAGCTGGCATCCCAATACCAAAAGTGCTTTGAGAAAGATGTCCTAGAACTAGTACATCATAGTAAGTTTCTATGTTGCTAACAATATTTTCTCAATATTTAGTGTGCCATTTTTAAAGGTATTGATATATGTGATTACCGGTACATTGAAACTTGGCGCTTTGTCTTACTGGTCAATCCCTTTGGAGCTTGTAAATCTATCTGTATTATATATATACACATCCTTTATCCATAAAATTACATATAGAAATATAGATTAAAAAAATGTTAATTATGTTAATTGCTTTTACAAATTAATTTGTTTTTATTTAGACACTGTTAGTTTGGAAACACTTGTTGATAAAGCATGGTGGAAACTGCATCAACAGTTTGTTGTTGGAGAAAAAGTTAATTTAAAAGTAAAGGTTGCAGACAAGTTGTAAGTACCCTTTTTCATAAAAGTAACTATTTTGAAAATCCTCGAGTGACAGTTTGTCAGTGATATTTTAAATTTTTAATATTATAAAATATTTTACCTCCAAGTTTCTGATTTCAAAGATAATTAAGATATGCAATTTTGTTACAATACCGGTATCAATTACAGTTTTATTAGGTTTAAATATTTTACATAAATTTAAATATTATATTTAAGAAACAACAAATTTTTAAAGAGTTCATTACATATTATTAGTTTATACTTTAATAGTATCGTAGGGCAATTAGGGTTAGAGTTAAGCTAGAAGTAAGACACACCCCAATAACTCATTTCTGCTCATTCCTTAGGATTCCTGCTAAAGTGATTGCTATTGACTCTGTTAGTGTAGAAAAGCCATCCTCCAGTTCATGTAACTCTCCTTCTAGTGACAAGGAGAACAGCACCGATGAAAAAGAGAAGGATAATACACCTAAAAAATGGGTAGCTCCTAAGGTAGAGGGAATTGTTTGATAATAATGTATATATTGTCTAGAAGCAATGTCAAGAACCTTGTGAAAAATTAAATTATCCATTTGCTATTTATTCAGTGAAACATTTTTTAATTAAACATTTTTTTTCTCCCATCCCTTACAGATGCTTCCCTACACTTATAGTATTGAACTTGAAAATGAAGCTAAGGTCATTCACTCTGTTCCAGGAAGTGACTTACAGTAAGTAATATTTTTAAAATGCAGGTGATGAAGAAAAATTATTATATTAAATAGCATTTAAAAGTGGATAAAATACTATGCAGAAAAAGATACATTAAAATTTGTAATATATGTAATTTATATAAAGTGGTGTGTGTTATATATATATATATATATATATATTATATATATTTATATATATATATATATATAACTAGTACAATTTATACAGTATTTACTTGGTTATCTGAATTCCTCAATGTGACTCTTCAATGAATAATAAATAATAAAAGTCCAGAAAGTGAAGAAATCCCAGCATCTTGACATCATCATCACCTGTCGTCCCGTCTGGGGCATAGGCCACAAACAAAGGCTCTCCAGGCTCAGGCATCCCGGTCTTTGGCAAGTCTCTTCAACTGTCCCCAGTTGTGCCCATTCTTTTTGGTCTCTGCCTCCAGTTCCCTTCTCCACGTCGTTTTGGGTCAACCTCTTTTTCTCTTGCCCTGGGGTTCCAAGTGAGGGCTTGTCTCGTGATACTTGATGCCGGCTTTCTGAGGGTGTGGCCAATCCATCTCCATCTGCGCTGGCAGATTAACTCTTCCACTGGTTATTGTTTTGTGTGGTGCCAGAGAACCTTGTTGGTGATGACATTGGGCCAGCGAATTCGTAAAATCGTTCAGAGACATGAGTTGATAAATGTCTGTAGCTTTTTTGAACCAGCTGCTGTCGTACGTCATGTTTCTGCTCCATATAGCAAGACAGGTTTCACTGTGGTGATGAATACCTTGACCTTGGTCTATTACCTCCCTCATTCTGTTTAGCAGCATTCTGTTGAATACTTTGCTTGCGATTGACAGCAGGGTTATTCCTCTATAGTTAAAACAAGAACTAAGGTCTCCTTTCTTCGGGAGCTTAACGAGGTGTCCTTCTTTTCATTCAATTGGTATCTGTTCTTCCTCCCATATTTTCTTGAATAGTGTGTGTAGCATTTCAGTGCTAGTCGTAATATCTGCTGTCAAGGCTTCTGCCGGTATTCTGTCTGGACCTACCATTTTGCCTTTCTTTAGTTGTTTAATTGCTCTGCATCTTGACAATATAATCTTAAATGCACTTTATGCCATGGACCTAACAGACTGGTACATCTGGTCTCAAATAGTCCAGATGATAAAATTGCTTTGTTTATTTTTTTGGGCAAAGATGGTGTTTAAATATTCTCAGATGCTTTTGGAGTAATGGGATTCTATCATGTATTCCACACAAAAAAAATCAAATTGTGGTCTTTATCATTGTATCATTATGGTATACTGAGCAATTATTTAAATAATAATCCTTATTTGTTTTATCTGATAGTTTTGACTTTTTAATTAATTGACACAGATAACTAGAATTCCTAAATATAAGATTTAAAACATTACTAACTAAAGTTATATTATTTATCTTCTTCTTTTAACCCGTTGACCTCGTTTTATCGGTCTGTGCATTAAAAATCTACACAGTGACAGACCGATATTTCGGTCTCTCATACCTTAACCTAGATCGACAGTCAGTATATAAAATGTGTTGTAAATACTGAGTTCAGGGTCTGTCATGTGACTTGCGAAAGGGCACACTTATGGCCGCGCCCATAGATGCATTTAAAAAAAAAAAATGTTTTAGTAATGTTTTTGATAGATAGAGGTGACAAAAATACAAAAATTGCTACTCTAAATTACTCAAACCAGAGCAGGTTTATGATGATGCAAATGATTCAAAGAATTATTATCGTGTTTCGAAAAAGGATTGAAATAAAACAAATAAACAATGATAGTAACGATCGATTGACTTCAACTTCCAGTGCTATTGATATTTGCTTTGGGAATAAAATAAGCATTATAAGATCTACCCCTAGTTCTAGCCCTGGCTTTTATGAAAAAACAGGGTCGTATAAATGAACTTTAACTTTGTTTTTTTACAGTTTCTAAGACATTTTTCTTCTTGTGATAAATTTTTTAATACTTATGGACTCTGACAAATTTAGATTTATTTAATTTTATAATCATTTGATTTGGTTTGCTTGTGTGTCTGTGTGTGGAATTTCCCCCTAGGAGCCCAGGGGCATGGGTATTTTAGGCCAAGGAGCCAAGGCTTCAAAGGGTTAAGTGATTGAGGGAAAGCTCTTTTGAAATTTACAATTATACATTTTATATTGTTTTTGGACAAAATAATTTCTTTCCTTAGACGCTGTGAAAAGGCTCCATCTAAAGATCTTCTTCGTCTGTTTATACGTGTGTCTGCTCTGCGATTGGGTACCACAGCAACTAGTCCATGGGTTGTGAATGCTGATCTAGTCAAACAGTACAAGTTGATCAGCAAATTTGCTGATTTCTTCTTATCTCCTGCAAAGGTATAGTGTAAATTTGATCTCCTGCTAATGTACACCAATGAAAATTATTGAAAAATAGGTGAGATCTTAAAATCACCCATTGATACCGGGGAGAGGGGGTGGTTTTGTTAAAATAAATCAAACCAAAAACACTACCACATTACAGTTAGACAAATAAAAAATTATTTTACTCATTCCCAATTAATTCCAGCAGCTGTAACAATTTTTGTTGTGTAAACAGATAATTTTCATTCCTCATCAAGATGGCTGCTTTTACTTGATGTTTTTAAATTTGCCATTTTAAACATGTTAAATGAAGTTCCATTGATGAGATATTTACCATTGCTTTAATATTTGAAATGCTTCTAAAAAAACCAAAGTCCAATTTCAGTTGTATTGTTATTGTAACAGAATTTAATTAAAATTATTATTAGTGGCCCAGATTCTGTACAGTGGGCTGTAGTTTCGACACCCCAGATATTAGTACTATTTTAATATATTAAAATGCATTCAATCAGCTTTCACAGGTCTGTTATCTTTTTTAAAAAATTGACCATATTCTTATGCACAGATGTCAGAAGCTTTCAAGAAAGCGGAAGTAAATGGAAAGAAAAGAAAACTAAGTAATGGGACCACTAAATCTGTTGCCAAAAAACTCAAGCTTCATAAGACTGAGGAGAAGAATAAAAAAGACAAGCAGCAGTTAAAGACAGTTCAAATGAACAAAAAAGTGAAGGATACAGGGTCAGCTACGCCTAAGACCAAAAAAGATCTAAACTCATCTGTAGACCTAAAATCTACTTCTAAAAATAAATCTCCTTCCAAAAAGAACAATAGCACCCCTAAGAAAAATGATGGTAAAAGTGATGCCATTATTGTAGATGATAGTGACTCTGATGATGTATCTCTTGCAAAGTTAAAGCGCAAAAACTCTGTTTGTGAAGCTAGTGATTCTGATGATGTGTCTCTTGCAAAGTTAAAGGGCAACAACTCAGTTTGTGAAGCTGATTCTGATGTTCCCCTTTATCAACTTGTTGATCAAACCACCCCTAAGAAAAAGAAGAAACCTGCTAAAGATGATTCCAGTGATGAAGATAAGCCTTTAAGCAAGATAACACCTGTGATGTCCAAGAAATCAACCTCCAAAAGATCTACCAATGGAACTCCTAAGAAAAAAGGAATTTTGACAAAATCAATAAAGAAAAAAGACAAATTGACAGGAAAAAAGAACAAGAAGCAGGACAATGAGAAAAAAAAAGGGGGCATGAGACAGGTGACTTTGTATGACCTAACAAAAAAGGGGAAGATGGAGCATAAAGTTAAAGCAGACCACACAACACCACAAAAAAAATCTCAGGCAAACACGACCAAGTCTCCACCCAGACCACCACCAACACCAGCAATTGTAAAAAAGCTTCTAAATTTAAAACGTGAGACTATGTATGAAAAAATGAAGTACTCATTGCTGCTAAAAAAGGTAGCCACAACTCTTTCACCTGTGCAGATTAAAAACCTACCAGAAAAGCTGAAGGAAACTGTTGAGCAGAAAAAGAAGAAGATTGAAGAGCAGAAGAAAATATCAAAGATGACACCTGAAGAGAGGGAGGCATTCCTCAAAGAGAAGCGCCTGGAGGCTAAGCGTCGCCAGAAAGAACAACTTTTGCTGAAGCACAGGAATCAGAGGAAAAGGTTCGAGGATACTGAGCTTGAGCTCACTCCATTGCCTCAAGCAAAGCTAGTTTTAACACCAGAAGGCTTCCCAAATGCACTATTTGGTGATGTCGCAATGGTGACCGAGTTTATCAACTGTTATAGTGGGCTCCTTATGCCAGAATCTGAATATCCAATCTACACTGATGCCTTAATGAAAGCCTTGGTTGGTGGCTCATCAGGCTTTACATATCTCTCTCGAGTTCTGAATGTTCTCCTACAAACTCTTCTACAGGATCAGATTGCCAAGGTAAAAAAAAAAACAACAAAAAAAAATAGTTTTATTTAATTGCATATATTTGTAACACTTATATCCACATGAAGTTGATGAATTTTAACCTTCATATCATTGCTTTAATATTTGAAATGCTTCTTAAAAAACCAAAGTCCAATTTCAGTTGTATTGTTATTGTAACAGAATTTAATTAAAATTATTATTAGTGGCCCAGATTCTGTACAGTGGACTGTAGTTTCGACTGACCGACTTCTATATAACTTAGCAACAGGAAGAATTCATTGTTATGCTACCCTCAGCTTACAACCTTTCCAAATGGATAGATCGCAACTTTTTAAATGAAAATAACTTGTTTAAAATCTCATTTTCAATCAAATTTTAATTTTTTTACACAGTAAATTTTAGTAATTTTGTAAAAATTGGTCTTAGGTGATGAATTTGATAGCAATTTTGATTTTGTTATGAATAATTCATTGGTTTACTAAACTAGTTTTAGCAATACAGATTCCTATATTAAAATTAACAAAGGGCAAAAAATATTGTCCATCTTGTCCATCATATCTGGTTGGGGGAGTCATATGGATAGGTTTTTCTCAATCTATGCGCTATGTGGATATAAAGTGTTAATTATTTAATTTTTAAACCCAGAATATTTGGTTTGGATTGTATTATTTTATCTACCCAGAAATCTTCTTTATCATGTTCTATGTGATTCCTTCTAATATAATTAATTAGTATACTTTTGGTTGTGAGGTTATCAACTTTAAATAAAGGTGATCTGTTCCAGGGTTACAAAGAATTCAACACACAGTTATCTGACATAGCTGTGAGTGCTTACACAGCCTCAGAGCTAGTAAGGTTATGTTTGTGCTGTGAGAATGGAGATGATGATCCAGAGGAAGATGTGGTAAGTTTTTACAAATGAAAATAGGGCTGTATATATATATATATATATATATATACACAGACATTTTTTTTTAATGCCTAAAATTAATGTTCAATAAAACATTTAATTGAAACCCATTGGTCTACAAATAACAGTATTTACCTACTTATTATTTTTTCTGTAACAGCCAGAAGAATACATCCAATTGTTGAAGGACTCTGAATTTTACCAACTTGATGTGGAAAAAAAATTATGCGTGCTACGTGGCTTGTGCTCACGTGTATTGGCCACATACTCGGTTCAGGATTATATGGAGGAACAACAGCGCAAAGCTAATGTTCTTATGTATGTATTTTGTTTTAAAAAGATTTTTCTTTATAGTTCTTTTCTTCCCCTGTGTTCCTTCTTTTAAATATATTTTTTTATCACTTGATAATAATGTGATTGAATGAAGATTTACACAAGGAAATTAATTTTAACATCTCTATCTCATATTATACTTTCAGTTTTAGAAAAAAAATAATTACAACTCCTTAAAATGTTTACAATAGAAACTCAATTTTCCTGGACGTATTTCACAAATTAGCAGTGTAACAGTTAAACAAAACTTGAATCACACATGTTTAGAAAATACTCTGTATGCCATGGATTATCCATATAAAAATCTTTTAAAAAGTTTTTATTATAACGGAAATACCACACTGTCAAAAATTTTCTAAATATTAATTTTATCCTGTAATTTTTCAATGATTCACAACCTTTTCTGCAGGAGACAAAAACAGACAGAATTGAAACAATTGGCAGCTCAAAAAAAGAAATCTGGGAAACAAGAGAGTAATGAAGACAAACTGAAGACAAGTGATGACAAAAAAGATGAGAAAACAGTTACAGAACAGAAGTGTAGCCCAAAAGATTGTTCTGTAAATATCAAGACTTTTTATGGAAAAGAAGCTGAAGACAGTGGGGAGGAGGTCAATTCAATAGGATCAATTATCAAAAGGAGGCGGCTCTTGGCTGCAAAAGCTGCTGCAGAAAAGGAAAGAGAAAGGGCTTTGAAGGAAAAGGAAATACGGGTACTTTTAATTTTAACCTTTAACATTTTCTTTAAGAATAAGACCGTCGTTCTCTGAATTTTTAATATATTTTTTTTAGAAAATAATTATTTTAAATTCTTTCAAATGTATATCAAAGAAAATAATTCACAATAATTATTGTAAATGAAATTTTTCCTGGATTAATGATGTGAAGTAATGTAATCATTCGGTGCCATTTTATGATTTAAAGGTTATAAATAAAATTGTACAACAAAAATCTTTTATTTACTTGTCAACGAACAGGAAGAAAGAGAGAAAGAAAAGCTTAAGAAAAAGGCAGATCAAATGGAAGAAGCCATAAATCTTGCACGGATGGTTCTGAGGCAGGAGTCAATTGGTACTGACAGACATCATAACAGATATTGGGTATTTACCAACACAACACCAGGATTATATGTTGAGAAAGGTATTTTATAATATTACTCCCAGTTTAATTTTTTTCTTTTGCAACCTTTTACAGCACTTGATAAAAATGTAAAGCTTCTAAAATTATTAAGCTTTGTTTATCATCAATAAATTTAGTAAAAAATAAAATTGTATTTTGCAGACAGAAATTATTAGATATTTAGAGAAGTTAAATGATAATTGGAATTTCCATTTTTCATCTTTAAAAATATCTATTGATCATTTAAAAAAAAAAAAAATTTAAATTTAATTGTTGGGATATAAATAATGGACATTTTTAAAAAATACCTGCATCTTTTAATAACATTAAATTAACCATCATCAGAATTGAGATGACTGATTGCAGAATCTTAGTCAAATTCACTTGTGTCATGTGCATATTGATGTGTTCATTTTTTAAACAAAACTGTATTACATGTCCCAGATAACTTAGCTGGATAATAATTGGTAGAAATATGTAACGAGTATACTATTTTCAAATTAAAACTACACTGGCCCATGCACATATTCTCTGGTACATCTATTAATGGATATGCGAGAACAATATTCCACAGCTTATTTTAAAATCTTAGAATACAGTTCAAAATCAAAACAAATGAAACGCAATTAACTAAGTTAACTAATTCTTGAAGCTGAAAGCTTCATGAAGTACAACACAAAAACAATTTAAAATAAAAAAATTGGAGTTGCCAGTTTCTATTTCCATACATTTCCTGACTTTGTCCATTTGTTTAAAGTACCTAAAAACCATAGATGAAGGTCTAGAAACACTGGGAAATTTGTTTTTATAAGGAAATCTGTTGGTTTGCCAAAAGAAAATCAATTTCTACATTCTTAAATTAATTTCAAAGAGTTAAGATAATAAATTTAAATTTATTTTCCAGGTTGGATGGGTGAAGAAGTTAATTACACTGTGCCAAAGAATCCCTCAACTGAAGATAAGATGTCAGATAGTGAAGAGGAATCATTCACTGTTCCAGACCAGACTGGCTCAACACCTCTTAAAGTTGTTTACAAGACAAAAAGACATGTCATTGAAACTAGGTAAAAAATAACGAAAAAAAGAAAAGGAAACCTATTTAACTTTTTATTATTATATTGTTTGCACCATAATTTATTCATTTTTGACATAAACCTTTTTTAAATCTCTAACTTACACCGTTTGAAAAAAAGGATTTAAAAGGGCAAGATGATTAATAGTCTAAATCAGGATGCAACTAAAATGTTCATTTGCATTTAAAGTATGAACAGTTTTTTTTTTAAAGTAGTTGTTTTTTCTCAAGTATAAATACTTTTACTATTATTATTTTTTAAAGTCTTTTGTTTGCTTTTGTTTTAAGTGTACCCCATCCAGGACAGAACTTGTGGTTCACCTACAGAACTCAGAAAGAACTTGATGCACTTCTAAAAGCACTTCATCCTCAAGGAATCAGGGAGAGTCTGCTCATGACAGAAATAAAGAGGCGCTTTGATGATATATCGCAATCAATCATTCTTGTTAGTAATAGCTCTTATTCTTTGATTATTGGTTTCTTGCACGCTACTTACTGGCGATAACTTATTATATATTATATTAATTACTTGATTCAATGACAAATCTAAAGATCGCCAAATATCAATGAACTCGAGAAGTATAAATGGATATTTTTTCCATACAAACATTTCAATCAACATAGTTTTCTTGGTATCTAAACGAAAAAAGGTAATGATCATGTTCTCATGAACTTTTAAGGCTCAGAGGACAAAGTTAGAGCTGAGGGATTCAGATGGCGATGTAGAAATGATGGCAAGTTTCAAAAGAGAACTTTCAGACATGGAGCTGAGACTCAGGAATGGTGGACTTGGTGGTGTCCCCAACTTTAATGAATGGGAGGCTCGACTGATGGAAGCTATTGACATATCTGTCTTGGTAGGTACCAGTCATGGGTTTTGACATTAACTATTTCCCTACGGCAGTGCTACTTCTGTACTTAATTTATATTCCTGAGAATAGGGAAGTAACTCAGTTTTGAAATTGATTTACATTTTTGAAATATTTTTTTTAAGCTGCTAAATATTAATAAATGTTAATGAATTAAGGACGAATGCATCAAAAAATGAATACGGTTTAATAAAAAAAAAAACAGAACATTAGCGGCGAAAAAAATAATGAACAATGGCCAAAAAAAAAAAGATTTTTGGCACCTCGGACGAACACATGAATAGACGTGCCATACTATAGCACACGTAGTTTTAAAGTGAAGCAAGATAACAACTTTCGGTTTTGAAATTAAATCACGGCATAGCCGGAAGTCTCGAGGGATGCAAGATTTCATTGCTATTTTTAACTAAAAATGAGAGAGAGGTGTCGCTATGCGACGGGACGCATTTGGACCCATCCGTTAGAACCCCTAAAGGATGCATTTAGTTGCAACCGCCGGGAATGAGTTAATAGGGGATTATAATTTTAAACAGAAATATGCTATTTGATCTTTACCTTAGTTGTATTCCATTTTTTTATTTAGATTATAAATATATATTCTACCAATCTAAATGGTCTTAAGGGGGGCAGGCTACCAAAAAAAATAATTTTTTAATTAACCAACTTAAAGCAACTATTTTATTATGGTCATGTTAAACTATGAATGGAGAAAAAATATATATAGTTGCCAATGGCAACGGCGGCCATCTTGAAAATAATACCCATTCATAGAGTTCTAAAATTTTAAAAACAAACATACCTATTGCTTAAAAAATGATTGATTCATGAACTTCAATTATATTTAGAGGTACTGAGCTAGTTTAATTTCCTTCAAACTTTTCAAAACATTTTCTTTTTAAATTTTTAAAATTTGCCTCTGCAGAAAACGCTTAAAATTTACCATCCTAAGATATGGAAAAAAAATATTTTAACAAAAGTAATTGACCAAATTGACTTTTGAATAGCTCATTACCCACTAAATAGTTAAAGGAAGATACACACCAAATTGTATTACTCTAGCTTGTATATTAGCTGAGATTTTAGAATTCTACGTTACAAAACAACAGAAAAAAACAATTTTGAGAAAAATCAATTTTAAACTTTAAAAGTGAAAAATTTTAAGTTTAATATGAAAAATATGTTCTTTTACATAGTTTTTTTTGTTCAGCAACATGGACATGGTTATTGAACTGTTGAATGCACAAGGAACATGGGTTTCACCCTCTCGAACTTTATCAGGTGCTCTCTTCAAAATCACAATTTTAAAAAAAAAAATCATTTTTCCTCTGGAATGAAGCTAATTTGTGTTGTATAAGAATTTTTTGTTATTATAGTATAACACAAGTTATCCAAAGTCCCCAATCAACCCTTATTGTCCATGATCTTTTTAACGATACTTTTAGATGACAAGGTTATGCACTGTCACCATCACTGAAATTGAAGCATAAATAGTTTCATGGCAGCAATGCTATGTTGAAACTTTTGTACCTATTCTGTGTACTTCTTTCATCAAAGATGTCCCTCATACCAGATGTGAATGAGTTATTTGTCTATTAGAAATGTAATAATTGGGCAGATACTTGCTCATAAATGTTTCATGTCTTTGGCATACTGCAGTTTTTATACTTAGTGCAGGTTATTAAATTTTGCGGTGCAGTTGGATTGTATTTCGCAGATATCATAGATTGCAACTTTTCATAGTCCATGCGATTGTCCTTCAGGCCATGATAGTCTATAATTGATAATGACTTGGTTATCCAGTTGTGGATATGAACAATCTAACCACTCACAATCTAGTAATTGCTATATTCATAGTATTTACTATTTTGTTTTGCAATCAGCTGTAAGTTATGGCTTCTGCAATTTGTCCATTCCACTGCAGACAGAAGAAAATTGGTAAAAGCTTTGAATTATGATCATATCGAAATCAATGTTTAGCAGTCCCTCTGTTGAATTCTTGTCACTGAAGAATAAACTTTTGCTCGGCTCTTTATAACTTTTGGGGGCTGGAATGGAATTAAAAAATTATATAAACATCATTTAGCAAATAATATATTGAAAATGATCTCAATAAGCCTATTAGTATTATTTAGATGTTTAGGATTGCTTAACTAAATATTTATTTTATTATAATTACTATTATTAGTCTAATGAACTGATCTTACAAATAAGAAATAAAATAAAACTAATTAGGCTATTACTATTAATAATTGTATGCAGATAAAAAAAAATGAATAAGGTGATGATTAAACTATTTGAGTTAAAACATTCTTATACGAATTATTTTGCCCATACTGCTAATGCCATAATTATAGTAGTATTACGGCATAATCATAAAAAAAATTAATATTGCATTGTTGTTACTAACCTTAGTCTTAGCCTATACTATTACTTTGAACTACTCGATTATTTATCAATGTTGTTTTGTTAGACAAATATAAATAAATAGGCTTAGGATTCATATACTTTAACAATTCACTTGATTGGTAAATATAAAGACTTAAAGTAGAAACTTATGTAATTCTCCGCATAAGGCATAAGCTAAACATAAACTCACAAACAATCCACAAACACGATCATCATGGCAACACAGTGACAGTACTGACGTCCGAACTGAATAATTTCAACTATCACCGATTGCGTGTTGCTAAATTAAGGTAATTTTTTTTAGTATACTTACCTTGAATTTCTGGCTTTTACCGAATGGGTAAGGTTGTGAATGTGTATTTTAAAATCAAAATATGCTGATGCTTTCGTTTGCAAAATTTCGTTCTGTACACAGAACCACCATCCGGTAAACACACATAAACAACTCGTTTGCGCATCGCGAGTCAACGGTATCTTGGTTACCCTCCGTTTGGACCAATGAAAATCTGTAAAATAATTATATAAATAGAAGCGAAGAAAATCCTACACACATTACGCTTGTGGATCCGATTATTTGTAGCAATTATATTTACTAATTTACTAATTACGATTCTAAATATGAAAAAAAACTGCTTGAATTAATCTTTACGTTGATATATAATAATAGCATATTATGTTATTTAAAACTAGTTTTTTGAGGTCTCAAACATGGGATGTGTATGAATTTTATTTCAAAAATTAGGTCAATTTTTAGAGTGGGGCGGGGTGTTAAATATCAGTTGTTTCACAACAAATCTTTTAAAAAGGTGGTATAAATTGATTTGTAATTGATTTCATTAATGTTCATCTTCGTAAAAATGAACAAATAAAAAAAATGGATAATTTTTTAAAAATTTAGATATTTTCGGGCGTTTACCCCCTTAACCATTGACAATGTTATTCCAGAGTTATAAATAGATATATTTTTAAAAATTACAGATTGAATGTTTGCTACAAGTTAGAGAAGGTATCCTAGAAAAGTTTCTCCAATCTTTTATGAAACCCATCAAGTCAGATGGAGAAAAGAAAGAAGGGAGTGATGCTGATGACAAGAAGAGTGAAGGTCAATATTTATTTGAACTTTCTAAGGCGTCACCGAAGCCGAAATAAATTTCTAGAAATAACTACGAATATTTTAATGTTTCTTAATAGCATGTCTTAAAAACAAATTTAAAAAAAATTGAATTAGTAAGGTTGTAAAAAGCTCAGATTTTACTCTTTTTCTTAAATAAAATGTCTCTCTAGATGAAGATGCCGAAAAACCTCCAGAGAAAGAAGACAAAAGGGAGAAAGCCATCAGAGCATGGAAAGAGTCAGTTGAAGGTTGCCAGACACTCTCCAGGTTGCACGTCTTGATGGCAGTATTAGATACTTGTATCAAGTGGGAAAAATCAGCAGAGAATGCTGTAAGCCATTTTCTTGTTATACGGGACATTTTTAATTTCTCTTTTTAATGTACTGTTTTAATGTCTTCATATAATCTTCATTCAAACTTTAGCTTTTAAATTCTTTAATCTTAAAATATATACACACCCCTTTTATGATATTAAGCTAATGACAACAATTATTTAATAAAATATATAAAAACATATATAAAAATGTAAATAAATTAATTAATTTTTTAAAATGTACCTTTAAAAAAATTAAATATTTAGTATAGATTCTGATTAAAGATTGTGAAGACTTGACAGCGTATTTTTTGCTTTTATTTTTAAAGTTATGATACAAAGCTTTAATTTTTTGGGAGAAAGTTGTGATAATTCAGTTCTAAAATTTTAAGTAAATTCTTATGTAAATGGCTCTGAAGTAAAACTTAATTAATTCACAGAAATGTAAAATCTGTCGAAAGAAATGTGATGATGCCCATCTGTTGTTATGTGATGAATGTAACCAAGCTTTCCATATGTACTGTCTGCGACCAGCTCTTTCCAAACTACCCAGTGGTGATTGGTTCTGTCCTGCTTGCAAGGTATGTCAGCTCAATATAAATTATTTTGAATTGAGATGTTTTCCTTTTTATATAAATGAATTACCTTCCATAATAAACTAATGGGTGACTGATAATATTTTCATCTACTCTAATATATTTAGGTAATTTGCACATAACTAGTAGAAACTGATTGTGTAGTCATGAGTCATATGGTATCCACCCTCCATGACACTGGACATTGAGCTCACAGATGCTTGCATTACCCAAGGGGTGCCCATGGAAAGATACTCCTTAATTTAAATTCATATGCTTCTTATTTAATTGATAAAGAAATAAGTTTTTATTTACATTTTGTTTAATTAAATAAGGTAAACAATACTGTGCACTAACACTGCATTTACACAAATTGTGTTGTTTATAGAAATGGAAGTGTATTCAGACCTTGGGATCAAATCCATTTGCCTGGTTCATAATTTTTAGATCTAATTCATATCTTAATAACCCTTGGCAGCTAAAAGGTTTTACAACCTGACTGATTAGTGAATACAAAATTGTTGGTTGCTTGTATTTTTTTTTTTTTTTTATTAATTTTTTAATAGTTTTGTTTTGTTTTTTTTTTTTTTTTTTTTTTTTTTTTTTTTTAATAATATTTACAAAGATTAGTTCACTCGATCATATTTTTTTAATTTTACTTTTTTTAAATTTCTTTCAGCAACGAAAGCCCCAAGTGAGACATCTAGAGGTATGTTTTGTTAATTTTAAGAGAGTAAATTGTGTAATTATTTAGTTGTGATTTTTGTTTCCCAGAAGAAAATTAAAATAGTACTGTAATCGTAAATATTGGCTAAAAAAAAATTTGCTATTTTTATGTTATTAGTCTGACAGTGAAGCTGAAGAGGAAGAAGAAAGGAATGATGCCTGCATAGAGTGTGGGGGGAAGGAGAAACTCATTTTCTGCTCAAAGTGTCCAGCTGCATTCCATACACAATGCCATGATCCTCCACTTCGACATCCACCAAGGTAGGTCTGGACATCAGTTTAAAGCTTCTTTTACGTTCTACATCTCCTTGTGCAATGCAATTGTGAAACCAATGTTTGTAAGTTATTGTGTGGAAGAAAAAAAAAAGACATTAATTTTTAAAAAAAACTGTTGGTGCACAAGAAGCCTGTATATTTTTGTCCTACTAAAGAGTAGGAAAATCAACTTTTAACCTTAATGTAACATTTTGTAATTTATACATTATGTTTAGCTGCTAGCAATATAACCTTTAACTGATTCAATTAATTTATTATTTTACGTTATATTTCTTAAAATACAAGAAATGTAATCAGTAAAAATTCTAATATTCATGAATAGTTGTCATTCTAATATTACTAATATTTATTTTATGTGTGAAGTTTCCCCTTTATTTTAATAATCTTTTTTTTTAAAATTACTCAACAGGGGTGTTTGGGAATGTTCTGATTGTAAAAATGGGGTCAACAAACGAAGACGGGGCAAGTTTGCTAGAAAAGGTATGAATATTGGTGGCTGTTTAGATCTTTAAAATAATTTCTAAAATGCTTAAAATAATATATAAATATATTTAGATCAGACATTTCAATGAATATTGTAAGAGATATTAATGGAGATATCAGGAGAATTTTAAATCATTTCTGTCACAGTATAATTGGATAACTTTATTAAATAGTTACCTCAATGTGAAATATAACTTCTACTTCAAAGATTTATTTTAAAATGTATGAAATGATTTTTTTGAATTGATTTGATCATCAATATGCTTTTCAATTAAAAAATTGAACCTACCCATATATCAGTAGCCCCAAAAAGAAATTACAGACAAGAAGCATCTGGAAGTGAAGATGATGATGAGGAGGAGGAGGAGGAAGATGATGATGATGATACTGAGGAGGAAGAGGTGACGCCAACAAGGTCAAAAGGTAGACCCAAAGGATCATCAAGCAGCAGAAATAAAAAACAGTCACACTCTGCAAAGGAGGCAAATCATTCAAGCAGGTCACGTAGCCACAAAGAAAATGTTCATGTTACACCAACACTCAGAGGATCTCGTCGTGGCCCATCTGAACTAAGTGTAAGGGGTATTTTGTCACTATACTTGCACTAACTTAAGGCAATTTTTAAAAAGCAAATTATTTACCTTATAATGTTAATACATTTTTTTGTTATTTGGGGGGGGGGGGGGGGGTTAAAAAAAAAAAAATTAATATTAAAAAAAAAAAAAAAAAAAATTTGTTACTTAATAAAACTTATTTTAACTGGATACTGTTCATTATTTTCTTCTAATGGACTGTTACATTTTTTTCAGCTCTGTGAAGAAGTTTTGCAAAAAGTAATGAAGCACAAATCAAGTTGGCCCTTCTTAGAACCTGTTGATAAAAAATTGGTAAATTTTAATTCTATGCTGATACCATAATGGAATAGGAATTTGTTTAAAACATAACACCAAAACCTTGAATTATAACATTCTGCAGCATAGCTTTTTACTTGTCTTATTGATTATTAAAACTAATTTTGGTTTAGGTCCCAGACTACTACGTATTGATCAAGAAACCCATGGACTTTCAGACCATGTTGAAAAAATGTACAAGGCTCAGCTATGCCTCTCCTCAAGAGTTCATTGAAGATGCTGCCCTTGTCTTTGAGAATGCTGAAACCTACAACAAGGTAAATTATGTTAATCTTTTAAAACTAACATTTGACTTAAATTACCTGGTTGTGTTTTAAATTGTTGTGTTTTTAGTGAGAGAATACCTGTCTCCATGCCATTGATTTGTAAGATATTTCTAGTGACAGTCTTCAACCTGTTCACTCGTATGATTTTGGTGTATTTTTTTCGTTTTTGACATGTCATTAACGATAGAATAATGCCAAGCCCTATCAGAACTACGATTTTTAAGAGACCAGGTTTAAAATATATGCATTCTAGTAGTTTTTCTTGATGAAAAAAATTAAAAAGTACATTGCGGTAGTTAATTTTAGCTCCTTTCTACATCCAGTGTTGAATGGATCAAGAGATACAATTGTTTGGGGACCATCTACAATTATATTACTTTTGACCTGAGAGGGGATGGGGTGGTGTTAATTTAGATTTTGTGTACCGATTGGGGGGAGGGGGGGATGTTAAATATTGAAGTCTATAAAAAAATAACACTGCAACATTTTTGCAATGATGGTCCTATTGTTGCTTTGTGTTCTCGCAATGAACTACCTAGATACAGCAACAGTAATATTAGTGTAGTCACCCTAGTTAAATTTTAGTCCATCCTCGCTTTTGTTTGTTTTGGTGCTGTATGATGTAATTTTGTGACATGTCTTTCTGCTTCACCATGGCAGGTGCAAAAACGGAGGAAACTTTTTTTTAAAAAATTTAAAATAATGCATTCTCGACTGTTCAGCAGAGCACCATTAGATTTAGACATATTTTATAGGATCCGGGAGGGCTTTTGCAATTATTTTTCAACACACAAAGCAGCTGTACAAATTTTAATACCCCAGTTTGGCTACAACACTCCTGTTCCTTTCACTTATTTACATAATGTGTTAGTTATCAGACTAAATTTTAACTGGAAATTGACTTAATGGATATTGATTCTTATTTTTTTGTGTGGAAAACCAGCATTTTTTTCTAAAAAATGCATCTCAAGTTATTAGGTAGGCTTTGTAAATGACACCCTCATTTACTAATTAATTCTTCTTCCAATAAATTTTGAATTATACTGGACTGATTTCAAGTTAGAACCAAGTTAAATTTCACCCGTAACTTTATTTTTACCAATGACAAACTCTGATAATGTGATCTGCACATTCACCCAAATGTTCATTGGTATCTATAGCAGATACATTTCTGCAACAAAAAAAAGTCGACCGCAGAATGCAATATAAACATCATTCATCTACTTTTTGAAGTTACCTTTTTTGATGTCATCTTAATCAATCCCACTCGACTCACGATTTTTTTTACTATTAACATACTGGATTGTACTAGTTTGAGACAATATTGTATGATTTTAGTAGTTTGATGGTAGCCAGGTCTGGAGTCTGTGATAAATTTAAATAAAATTCATTTATAAATCATACTTAGATAATTATGTAATTCTTGAAATATTTGTTTTTTTTTCAAAAAGTAGGATGGTATAATTAGGATTTTTTATGTCACTCATACAAGTTGGCACCCGATTAAAAAAATTTTAATTAAGGATTTCTACCTTTTCTTTCTTAATTTTTTTTATTTTTTGCTATAGTACCCATCATTTAATTGATTTTTTTTTGGTTTTCAAATCACTTTTTAGTTATATGCTGCGTTAAACATGCTGTAAAAACATTTTAATGGTACAACTACTTAGTACATCATAAATGTATCGATGCTTTCACAGCCTGGCAGTGAAGTGTTCAATTGTATGAGAGAAGTAGAGAAGGTGCTTAAAGATGCACTGCATAAGGTGCTACCTGACTGGCCATTCTACAGAACAGTGGTAGAAAGAGAGGAGAACTCTAGCGGCAGTGAGACGGGGCGGCGGAGATCTCGAAATAAATAAAAACTTTCACGATGGAGATTGTAATCATCTTTGTTGAGCAGGCTAAATATCTATTAAATCTTGTAAAAAATTACATAACACTTAATTAGTAGCATTGTCCTATTGTCACTTCAATTAATTGAATATTTTAAAACAACCATTTTATGACAAATAAATAGGAAAATTAAAGTGTGGTCTTAACATTTTTTAGTCAATGATACTCAACTATTACCATACAGACATTAAGGATACTCAACTATTAACATACAGGCACACTTAATTTTCTTTGTATTAAATCATACAGTCATATTCGAATAAAAATGAAAAAAATTGGACTGATTTTTTTTTCTTTTTTTCCCATTTAATTAAGTTTGTCTTAAACCATAGAGTTAGTGTTTATTTTTTGTATTAAAACTCTTTAAATATTTACCAAAAATGTAATCTTAATCAGTGCTTCTCACGGACTTTAATTGCTCAGTCTTCGGTTTAAGATTAAAATAAAAATTGACCATCAGGTATATTTTGCTTCTGATCTGTTGCACAGAAAAAGATTGAGAAGCACTGATCTAAATGAATCTGGAAATAGAGGGGCTGGCAACAAATAATTTACAGGCCTTGTGTTCTCAATCAATCATATCCATAGTAAAATTAAAATATAGCTTAAAATATTAAGATATAGCTCATTAACTGTGGTATACATTATCAAGGGATATTATTTTTATATAGCCCTGACACCAAAACGTCTTGTTGGTCCTTACTGTTAGAACCCAAGAATGTCTTTGTAATTTAAAAACTGTTTGCATTTTTGCAATTTAATTTGGATGTTAAGGCTACATTTATTTGTGCAAAATTTTCAATCAGTTTACATCTAAAAGTGTGGGCAGAAATGTTTGTTTTCTTGTTCTAAAATTTTTAGTTTAAGTTGGGTAAGTATTTCCAATTCAATTGAGAGACCAAAAAAAATCTCATTTTGGAATAACTTATGGTTTATTTAAATTATTACTATTTTTTTTTATTCCCTAGATTCATTTTTTCAATGAAGTACATACAGTTTAATGTTTATTTTTATGGAAATCATTAGTCCAAGGCCACTCACAACTCCTAATTGAAATAATGTTTAAAGAAGAGGCTACTTCTTTTTTTCCTTGGTTTTTAATTACCGGTATTAAAAATAAAATCTTGCAACCAATGAAACAAAAGGAGAAGACATTGATATAGAAACAATCTTAATAAAGTATGTCCACTAGAGTAGTCAACTGCAGAGTCTTAAGCCTTTTAAAATGGAGTTGAAGTTTCTCTGAATATTATAATTTTATATTGAAAAAAACATTAGACGTTTTTAAAAAAATTAAATTTTATTTGCAATTCATAAAAATAAGCGTACAAGTGTTTCAAAAGAAATGTCCAAATTTCATACCACTGATAAAGGGAAAATGGATTTCTAAGAAAACATTATTTTTGCAATAATCTTGAAAGTTGGTCAAAACTATGTTCTAAGTTTCATTGCTTCCCATTATGTCCCTTGAAAACCTGTTGTATTGTTTCTTAGTAAGTTTTCTCTTCATGTAAATTTATTCAATATTTTCTGAGAAATCAACATGTAATTTCAGTAGCACGCTCTATGTGTAAAAGTGCCACTAATTTCTATTGTGCCATTGGGCAACAAAGTAAGGTTCCTGTATAATTTATGTTATAGTCATTAAATGAAGTTAATTATATTAATAACAAATACATAACCTTCTGTCGTTGACGACTAATAATAAAAAATTTCCTGCAGTAAACTGGTTGTAAGTTGCTAAGTGTGGCAGTAAATCAATGCAATGGATACATATGAAGTTTCAATTTTGTCCCCATTTCTTCAGATTCGATTATTTTTATAACGCACCCATGGTGTATTTCATATATGTTAATAATCATTAATTGCCTTTTTACCCTTAAATTAAGTTAAATAAGTAACTTTAAAAAATTTATGCAATGGTTTTTATAAGACAAGACAAACTATTAATCTTGATATAAACTTTATTCAATTTTTTTTTTTTTAAATAATAAAAAAATTATCTATCTAAAAGAAGATCACCAATTTGACTTACTTTGGTTGATTTTCTGTTAATATTTTTCTCCTCAAAACAATAAATAGCAACTATCTTAAAATAGCTGTAAATTACAGTAGAGACAGAAAATTTTAACCTTGCACCATAAAAATGCCGTTTATGTTATTATTATTTTTTTCAGTTTAAATGGTCTTGCAAAATATTTTAATACCACTACATTCTTTAACAATTTGCTGAATTTTAATTCTTTCCATGTTATCTGTGTCCAATTTTCTGGATGCATTTGTAAAATGTTAAAAAAAAAGTATGTTTTGTTTTCAGATTGTTTATAATACATCATCTTTATTTAGCCTGAGATCATAGATCCTATATAATTATATTTTTACATTTGTTGTCAATGTTTTCCTTATCTTTTATTTATATTTATGCATATGTTATGGGGAAAACATAAACATCCTGAAAGTTGGAAAATATTAATTATAAAAGAAGTCCACTCTATCCCTTTTCCCCCATTTATTTTTTAACCATAAAAAAAGCTCTGCAGGCGCCTAAATTGAAAAAAAAAACATTTTTTTCCATAGATTTCAAGCAAAAATAATATCCAAGTACTGTTTATAAGTTAAGTTTTGAATATAAAAAATTAATACTAAAAATGTATATGTGTGCTAATATTTTAATGGATCTTTAGTTCATTTTTATATGTAAAAAATGTATGAAGCATATTACAAGCATTTTCAAAGCAGCTAATCCCTAAAAGCATGCATGGCTGATGGACTTCAAACCTTAGCAGTTTCATGAATATATTTTAAACTGCTTCACATAGTAAGATAAAGTGTATTATATTTGTTCATTGTGTAAAGTAAAACCTGTTTTAATTATTTTTTTCAAATTTACCTCTTTGGGGTATAACTTAACCACATGAATTACAAGAGTACCACTTGTTATATTTTGTTAGAGAAACCTTTGGTATTTTTTTAAAATATGGTACTGGTACAATTAAAATGTGGAGCTAAATCAGTCCAATAAAAAAAATGTGTTTGGCTTGTACAATGGTGTGAAAGAATGTACATATATTTTTCTGAAGCCAAAATAATGATTTAAAACAGTACATACATGAATTTGATTTAAGATTTTTTAAGACATGTTCCTATGTATTTTATTATTTAATGCATCTTTTTGATCAGTGTTGTGGCATTAAAATGTAGATGGACCAAATAAAATGAGCTTCATGTGTAAATATAAATATGCTGTTTTCAGAATTCTTATGTTATGTCTGCTTTCTTAACTGCCTCACTGTAGCATTTAGAGGGACAGTAGCCCTGGCTTTAAAATTTCTTTCTAGAGGTGCAAAAATGAGTTTTAATATTTAAAAAGCTAATAAAAATAAATTATAACATAATTTCTTGATCAAGCAAAGGATAAGTCCATGTTTCATTGCCATGCACATTTTTAGAGATGTTAAAAATGTAACATTTCTGTTAGTAATTATTCTCCATTCTAAAAAAACTGCTGCTTACCAATCGGTTCTTACATTGTGAGCCGCTGAAATTTAGTCTAGATTTGCATTTTGGGTACTGGTACCTAATAATCTTGTTCAGTGGTTCCCAGTATTTGAGCCCTTGTAGCTCCACCTACACTCCTCCAGCGGGGGCTCTAGGAAAAAATTAATAAAAAATTGAACATCATAGAGGCTCTTGGCTTGCTTCACCAGATCTTTCCATTTGGACCAATCCATGGCTTTTTGGCAGTCATGGCGGACCAAGTGAGGTTGGTGATTCTAAAACAGGTTCTGAGAGTTAAAAAGGTTAGAAGCCACTGTTCTATTTGATACAATCTTGTAATCTGTCCCGCCATTTCTCTACAAATAAATTTGGGAGACATTTTTTTGTTCTAAACTGGCCTGATAGCTAATTAAAGAATGACCAATTGTTTGTGGCTTTAAGAATGTATATAGAAAATGTTTACTTCTAGAGCTCAATATATGTTGCAAATGAGTATTCCATGCTAAGTTTTTTGGGGATAACACATTTCTTGAAAGTCTTCTTCTATATAATATAAATTAAAAACGGTAAAAAAAAAAGGTCCAATCATAAAAATTATATTGAAACTAATTATTTTCTTGCTAAAGTTTTTTTCCTTTAAAAAGGCATCCTTTGTAATCCAAAATCAGAACCCTAGTGACGAACAGGACCTTAAATTATAATTATATTATATATAATGGGACAGTGGTTCATAAACTTAACAGACTTAACTGTGGCTCCAGAAGGAATAGAGCTCTACTGACCTTTAAACAATCCGCCCCTGCCTGGGTTCCCAAAATATTTTCTTAGCACTTGATTGTTGAACTTTTACAGGACAGATGTGGAGGGGGGTGGGGGGTGGTGTGTGATTCTTTTTCTTTGTTTTTAATATCTTACACATAATTATCTAGAAATATTGTTTAACCAATCCAGACTTTATATAGCAATGTCACATTTGAAGATTTAAATGCAGCTTTTTGAGCATAGAATAGTTTTTGAAGATGATGATATAACTAATAGGTTGTATATTAACTTTAGTTAATCATATTATACACTAAACCAGTCCATCATTAAATAATATGCATGACAAAACAGTGTAATCAATAATTTATTAGCATTGATGTAAATAAAACAATGGGTTTTATACACTCCTTTTTATTAACTTGTAACTTGTAGTCACACACCTAGACAACCACATGTACTGAGCCACTCATGCATACATTGGATCAAAAACATACAAATTTAGTGTACTGGGTGCTTAAACTTAAACAGCTTTTCTATTCATAAATATATTATCTACTTAGTATAATTATAATATAGGATGAGTTAATTGTTAGTAACCTTACATCAGTGTTTTAAACTGGAGCAATGAGTCACTTTAAATCAGTTGTGTGAGGGTTCAACCTGATTATTTGGTGATTGATCTATGGCTGTGAATAATGTAATATAATAATATTGTTGGGGAAAACTATGACAAATTAAAAAACAAGATTGATGCAAGTTACTATTGTCTATTTTGGATGGCAAGCTGGTAGGTAGGTAATAATACTGTTATTCATACAATTTTTAAACACAAGCGAAGGGACAAAATTCACATAACATACTTAGATTTTGATACCCGGTACCGGGTAATGATTTTAACAAGGGATAGATTGAAAATAACGGGTCTCAGGCTACGAGAAATTAAAATTCAAATTATTTTTTTTCTTCTCTTCACCATTAATTTAAAGATATAAAACCTAATTATTTTTTTAATATATTATCATTAACAAGACAGACATTTCATTTACATTAAAAGAATTAAATAATAAATATCCAGATAGCTCATTTGTCATTAATGCTATAAAATTAAATCATCACTAAATGTGTATTTCTTGACACATATTTTACAAGTAATTCTGACATTTTTCTTGAGATCTTTCATAATAAAATACATTTTACTATTTTGTACAGATAATCAGTGTTATAATCATTGGGAAAACTATACCTCATAAATGTATAGTAGATCTGAGATAAAATGTTCTTCTTTAGAGACATTTCACAGACAAATATTTTCATGTCATTCAACAAATTAACCATAATGAAGAGAGAAAACGCCATTCTGAGTCGAAGGAAGGCACAATGAACTCTTTGAGATGGAATAATTGTTTACAAATAATACCCTTGATCATGTTTTCCCCATGAGACAGAGCAATGTGATTAAAGCTAAAATACCACACCATGAACTATAAGGGATACAAATATTAGATTTATCATTACTTTATTGCAAATATTTCTTTTATTCATGTCTTTTCTTTTTTAAAACTTATCCTAACTCCAGAGAGATTCTGATAGAGCTGTATATATAAAAAGGATCATCTCATTTATTCTAAGTTATTTCAAAATTTATCATGAAATTTTAAAGTTGCTCATTTATCAAGTTTTGAGTGGCTTTCTTGTTAAGCTGTTTATCTTTATCAACACTACAGTCTGGCACAAAAAAAAAACTGAGCTAGTTATGGCTAAGGTCACTTAAGATAAGATTAAGGGAGTTTAATGTCACCTAGAAACATTGAAAATAAAAATTGTGCTATCCTGCAAAACCTAAATTCAACATAAAGTTATTGTATTATTAATTTAATTTGACTAATTTGAATAACTTTGTCTTTTCATTGTGCAAATATGTTTATTTCTCAAAATTTTATAATCCCCAGAAAATAAATGCAATTCAATATTACTGATGTGCTCGATCATATTATTAGGGGTTCACTTAGATCACAAAAAATGGTGAATAAACCTTATCTATGAAGCATGTTTTTTTTTCCTAGCTCATTTTTGGAGTAAAAATGATGGCAACATGAAATAATAATTTGCTTAAGGTAAAGGCAGTACTTTGTGGTTAATCAAACAGTATTATAAAGGCAGTAATTTGTGGTTAATCAAAGAGTATCATAATGTTATCAGTTGAAGTAGGAAAAGGTGAGATGTATTCAGATGGATATAAAAGAATAAGATATAAAGGGTGAAGAAAATTGCACAGAAGTAACGATTTTAAAAAAATAAATTATTGAACCTGTTCATTAGAGCAGAAATTTTGAATAAACTAAGCAAAGGTAATTTTAAAAAGTAGACTCTCATGAAACAAAAGAAATCAATAGGTCAAGTGAATACAAAGGTGAACATGTTGGGGAAACGGTTATGTTAGTCCTATTTAAACGGAAAGACTTTGTAGTATTTAACAAACATGTTATATCAATTCAACGTCTTTCTTAAGCTTATGACTTAAGCATACATTTTACAATACAGAAAATGGTTTTAGATCAAATTGTTAAACCATTGTACACAAAAGCTTTAGAGTTGGACGCAATTAACATATTTCTTAAAGCCATGTCGTCATAAACTTAAATTTCTTGAGAAACATGATTCCGACAACTAATGAAATTCCAAGTTAAAAAAACAAAACAATTTTCAATGGGGTTTTACAAGGAATACTTCCAACAGTAACGTTCAAAGTGTTTAGTTTACTGTAAGTTTTGTTAAAAAAGGCTTCAGGATCAGGTTTGAAAAACAGCTCCAAATCTCATTTCAACATAGTATCTTGTTTTAACATAGATTATATTTGATCTAAAATGGCAGAGCTTATACTAGCTGACAATATGGGCTAAAACAAGCTAGCAATAGTTTCCATCGAAAAAAAACAATATTCATTTAATCGAAACAAAACATTTCCTTTTTTTAAAAAATGGCAACCATTAAATAAATAAAAAGAGCAGGAAAATGTTTAAGGACAAAACTACCTATGCAAATCTTTTTCTTTAATAAATGAAAAATGCATCAAATTTATATTAAATCTAACACATCATGACTGTTAATCCCTATCAATGGAAAATGTGCTATTAAATTTTACTGTTCCTTAAACATTGTAAAGCAACAATTTTACAATATAAAAATATGCTAGAGCTATTTAATTTTTAAAAAGATTACTTTTTAAAACAGCAGCTTTGCTTGCAAAAGACAAAATGTTCAGTTTAGATTTATACAAGTAGATATGAATAAGTCATTCGATTTAGAGGGAAGTATATAGTCATCAAAATAGATTTTGCTCTTTGAGCAACTGAAACAAAAAAAATTCATATAACTGAAAACCAGACAGTTTAATTATGCTTAAAAAAATAAACTGGATAAACTATGGGCACAGTAAAGGTGTTAAAAAATAAAATTAAAAAAAATAAAAAGATACCATAATGCATATCTTAAAATTGGCAATATTTTGATCATCAATGAAAAAATGCATTAACAATTAACCCGGTAAACATTTGTTATAAAACTTAACAAATCAGCTGGCCACCACAATCAAGGTAAATGGCAATATCGATTTTTTTTTTTTAAAGCAATTTATGTAAGGTAAATTCTTTTGATAGCCCATGATATATGTATTGAATCTATTTAAAAAGAAACCACTACTTTCTATTGTCAAAAAAATTCTTAATCAAACATAATTAATATCTTTACTTCACTGTTCATATGAACTTTCAAGAGCCGTAACAATTGTGAATTTATATTGAGTTAATAAAAAAAATATTTTTGGGTTAGCCTTATGTATCATTGCTCGATTGTAATGTCATTACAAATAAGCTTATCATTAGAAGCATTTCAAGGAGAGAAAACACACAACTTTTTATTAATTAAAAAAGCACATGAAATTTTATTTTTAAAAAAATGATATATTGCATAGAAGAATTTTTAGTTGATTTTAAGAGAACTGGACAGACGTGTTAATTTTAAAATTAAGTAACGAATTTCAATTTATTCAAAATGTATCTGTCCACTAAAAGCTTCATCAGTATTTATGATTATCAATTTGACAGATTGGATTTGTTTAAATAAATATTACACATTTTAATCAAAGGGCTGAGTTAACATGTTGAATACTGTGGTAAATGAAATAAGGCTTTTTAAATATCCAACTTCATTTACATGGCCCCCCAAATGAATATAAAATATTATTTGGGAAGATGACAAATATTGGATATGGAAAATTTTGTTCAATTCTAATGGAAGAAGCATTGCTATAAAAATTTAATGTAAAAGTTTTTGGCAGCAATAATTATTTTAAAAATCCTAATTTTTCATAAGAAAAAAAAGATAATTTGTTATGTGCGAGCCTTTAAAGACCCCCCACTGGCAGGTTGCTGATATGTGAAAAGGCTTCGAATCACTATAACTTGCACCAGTCCCACAAATATCATTAGAACCAGTTGGAAGAGGGAGAAAAAGTTGACCCTGAAAAAATTGGCCTCCTGAGTGTTTCTATCTTTTGCTTCATGAAGTTTAATGAGAGTCTGAACTTGTATAGAGCGGTCCAAGTTCTTCTTTGCTCTTTCAAGTATTCCCTGGAGAGAAAAAAATTGGAAACAAGTTTATCCAGAAGCCCAGATACCATTCACTCTTCTTTTTTTGTTGTTGTTATAAATTTCACCCTGAGATTAGTATTGTTAATTCAATGTGACAGTGTTTTAATTGAGTTGCTTTGTATGATTAATTAGGATATTATTCAAAGTAAAATTTTTTTTGGGTGTCAAAATTAATGCCAGACCATAATAAAAATCAAGTCGGGTGTTGGGAAATATGTTATACACTCTGCAGTTGCGTATTAATAAAAGCAAAATAAATTTCAAATGGCAAGAATATGTCTGTATTTTCTTAAAATAAAATTTACTGTAGTTCTCCAGGTGTCTCATCCTTATTACGATGGTGCTAATTACCATTACTCTGATTTCAAGTGTTACACCTCTTAACCAGGAGAAAGTGTTAGAAAATTTGTTGAAGCTCCACAACACTGGTGGGATATTTTAAGATTTAGCCAAAAGTCAGGATATATCAACCACCCAGGCCTTCGAATCTGCACTCAAAACATATCTTTTTAAATTATACTACCCTGACTGATTCCCCTCCTCTGACCGATAAACGATCTTGCTGGCTGCTGTCCATGGTTTGCCTTGTAAAAGTTATGTGGTGGGGTGGGTCAATATACATTGCTGTTCTTTATTTCATAAATGTATTTTATTTTAATGTCTCTTTTGATAAAATTTTTATGCACAGTGCGGTGAGCCCAGCCCTAGGCTGGGGTACAGCGCTATATTAGACCTCTTATTATTATTATTATATTGCTCCAGAGAAGGCCACATTCATTTTAATTTTCAGAGACTTGCTTTCAAACATCTCCTTAAAAACAACAAACAAAAACTACTATAACTTCACTCAAACCTTAAACTCCTCAACAGTCATATCCAGCTGTCCTTGCATGTTCTCCCCTTCAAATGTTAGTGTGTTATCATCATCATCCTCATCATCTTTACCATCCTCAATAAAGATTTCAAAGAAGACAAGCTTGTTTGATATTCTACTGAAAGTGTTGTCAAAACAGACTTTATAATCTCCTGCGTCACCTGTCTCAATTCTGAAAATTATTATTTAAAAAGTTATTTTCGTTCCTTTTATGTGTGTTAAATACTGATTGTCTTGACAATCAAATTAATTTGTGGGAAATATACCATTGCTACTCTGTTTATTTCAGTTTCCTTCTTCTTGAAAAGTCCTTTAGCTTAAAATAGAAAACTTGATAAATTTCAGCTGCTGGGTGATGGGATCAGTATCTAAGACAGAAGGCAAGTGCACAATATTATTGGTAGGAGTTTTATTTCACATAATCACAGTCATGGGTAAAGTCAAAGGCTAAGGAAACAAGTTCATACTGAAAATCTTCATGGAATTATCCAAACAAGCTAACTAAACAGTAATGAAGTCTTAAAGTAAGTGGCCATTTTGGTGCAAGAACAACTATAAATAATATAATTTAAAAAGAAAAAATTACAACAGATGTAAAATCTCAAAATAAAAGTATACTAAAATTATTAGTATTAGAAATGTTTTATACTTTTTAATATAATCATAAAAACTAACATTTATTATTTTTAAAATCAGGGGATGGGGAGGAGGTGCTGGGGGAATCCACCTCAGATTAAAAACTCTCTTGTTTTTGTTTTTTTTGCGGGATTGTTGTGAGGAATGCACTAAATTTAATGGACTGCAAAAAATCATACACAGCTTGATGGCTAAAAGTTGATATCTCGTTAGCTTAATGAACAGTCCACTAATTTTCGCTAATTGTCTTCTTTTACAAACAATTTTAATGAACATACCTCATTGTGTTTTCTGTTTTTCTTTGATCCATTTGGTATATTCTATTATCAGGTCCAACGACCATAACATCTATATCCAAATCCCCACCATCAATCACCTGGAACACAAATGTAAAAACTATTAATATGTCTGTATCATTTCATTTTTAGAGTGTGGTCCCCTAACTCTGGAAGAGCGCTATGGGTTTTTATTGTTAAGTGCACTAATTATATTTAATTAAATAATGTTTGTTGGGCTTACAATGTTGTATTTTTAATTGTGATGGTGACACTCCTTGCTCTGACAGTTTCAATGACTTAGGCTAGTTACTGTCAGTTGAAGTTTCTGTTATAAAACTGAATAGCATGATGCATTATGAGCAATTATAGACAGTTTACACAATTTACCTTGTTCATATTTAAATAAATGGTAATTTCCATCAGTGTCCTGTGCACAACTTTGGAAACTATACCTATGCATTAGATTCCGATGCCATTTTAATGGTTCTTTTGTTTACACCTTCCTTAGCTCTTAGCCCAAACGCTATAATTTTATTGTGCTGTCTTTCCATTTCAAGCTTACACATACCTGATTCTGATACCTTGTTCTACTATGACTATGTCCTTCATAATTAACCCTTTCATTACCACTGGTTTTGGGCATCGATTTTTGCTGACTCAGCAATAAAAAAACTTTAAAAGAAGAAATTTCCGGTATTTTTCATTCTCTATCCCAGGCCTGCACAACACACGGCCCACGGGCCGCATGCGACCCGTCAGGACCTGATTGTGGCCTGTGAAGTAACGAAATATTCTTTATTCTTATTATTTTCTCAATAGCTTTTCCCCCCGTCCTATTTTATTTTGGCCCGCACAGGTTTTTCATTAAGTGTTCTGGGCTGCCTTTTCTTTTGAGTTGTGCAGGCTTTCTCTATCCGATTCGCTTATTAACTTCTCTACATATTAACAAATAAAGAAATATATAGTCATTGATGATTGAAATATGACGTCGAAGTGACGTCCTTGGTATTTCAGAAAAGTTCTTTGCCTCTTAGTTATGACGACAATATGACAGCCTTGTTTAATGAAAGTGCGTGATCGTGACGTGACGCCTACATCATCGGTAACGAAAGGGTTAATCACACAGCTTGAACACATTCCTTCATTTATTCTATTTTGCAAAAGGCAGCAACTTTAAGACTGTATTGTCACGTGCAATTTTGAAAGCCCCTTTACTTTCAAGGAAAAAACTGCAGTTGGCCAAAAATGCCCCCCCAACTTTTAAAAAGAAAAAAGTGAAACCCAGGGTGGACCGATCCCTCCCCACCCCACTGCTTGTTCTCTACTAACAGAAACTAACTTAAATTTAATGTATCTAATTAGTATTAATATTAAATTAGTTACTAAGTAACTTAGTAAGTTTCTACGTTCAACAATAACATGACATTAATTTTAATTAATGATTAACATTTAAATTATTGATTATTGAGACAATTTCAAAAAGTCTACCTGATAATCAACTTCAACGCTGGTTTTAGAAGGCAACGTTTCCCAAAAACATTCTTGGCGTCCAGGTGAAATATCAATGGTAAGATCAATATCTGAACAATTGCATAATCTGAACAACAAGAGAGTTGTTGTTAGGATGAACGTGACGTCTCTCTTCTTACTCTCCATCTTTGATGTGAATGAAAATAACTTCCGATAAACTTGGTAACCGATCAAGAATCAAGAGCAGGGCTGCCACTCACTTTTTTTAAATTTCCCAAGTTTTGGTGAACAAATTTCCCAAGATTTCCCAAGATCATAAAAATTATATAAGAGGTTGTTTTTTTTAAGTGGGGTTTTCTATGTAATTAATGTAATAATAGATTGAATCAATGCCCCTGAAAAACATGGTACATTAATGGACTGAAATTTATTGAAAAAGACATTTAAAACATGTTTATCACATAAAAAAAACAATTTGTTTAAAAAAAAATAATTTATAATCCAAAATATCAATACCCACTGGAGTTAGGCTACTATATATTACCTCCGAATTCTCTGATAAAAATATCATCTACAATACATGTGTAATATAAGTCACTTGGAAAAAAAGCATACAAGGCTAATCAACAGAGAATTCCTTTTACAAAGGCAAAAGGTTCTTCATCAAAAAATGATTTTTTTTATTATTGTAAATCTGTTGATTAGAAGTGGGTTTTGCAAAGCAATTAAGCAAAATTTTTTAATAATAATTGTAGTTAAAATGGATTGATATTACGATGAAAACATTAAGTATTTTTATTTTTTCTTGTAAATTTACATTATAACGATTTTTTAACCAAAAAAAAAATACTTGTAAAGGAATTGTTCATTTATAATCCTACAACATAGGCCTAAACTATTAATATCTTAGTTAACCGTGTTTCAATCCACAAATATTTTTTCTAATTGATGAAAATTAGGCTGGATTTTTTACAGATGCATTATATTTTGAACACATTGTAGAAGTAATTGAAATAATAAAATTCTACTATGGCATGGATTCTTGATTGAACACTATCGTTCACTCTTTGGCTTGTACTGTTTTTCGTATGGTTGCTAATGTCTAAGAGCATAATGATAAAGTTTCTGAGCCTCCCCCCCCCCCATTTAATAAACATTCAAAACCTGGATGTAATTTGTAAATCTTCATTTTTTTTTTTTTAAAAGAGAAAATTTAATTTTTTTTTAAATTATTAACTTTTTAATAATTCACAATATTAACTTTAATATCAGAAGAGTTTTTATTTATTTTATGAGTGGATTTAAAAATTAAAACCAGAAAAGAAAATGAAAACAATTAATTTTTTGCCTTGTTACTTTAAAAATTATTTTGCTTTATTTTTACTTTATTTTTTATCAGATATTGTTGCGTTTTTTTCGAAAAATATAACAAAATTTCCCCCTCAGTTAAGATTTCCCAAGGTTTTGCCTGATTTTGAAAATTATTCCCCAGATCCCAAGGGGGGTCGTGAATTCCCAAGATCTTGGGAAATTTCCCAAGGTGTGGTAGCCCTGATCAAGAGGTGGTAAGCGCAAAATTGCAATCGGAAATTAATACGACAGTGTACTACGGATTATTAGAACTCGAGTTGTTAAAAAGTTGATATATATGCCCTAATCAGTAATACTTTCCTACCACTACCACTGATACTGATGTCTACAGATATATGATATAAGGAGATCGCGTCGGTCTTAAATTTCACATCTCATAATGAATGTTCAGATTAATAAAAAAAAAAGTAAAAAATACATTCATTTATTGCATAGCAATTACTTATATTTAATATAAATAATCACGTATCTGATGAAACATTTATAATGAAATGACAATGCATTATATTATTTAGTTTAAACTTCAAACAATGGTTTCAAGACGTTTCTGTCATACTCATACTGGGCCCAAAATTTTAATTAAAATCCTTGCACCCTCATTGTTAAAAAATATTATGTTCACATATGCTTAATTAATTAATTTTAATATGAAATTAGCGAAATAAATTATCGCCAGGGAAAACCAGGAAAAGAAAAGGATACACCAAAATTAATTTTAATATAAGATAACTGTGCCCCCAAATTCTGAAGAAGTATGCGCTTTAAAAGACCGTGGCGAGGAAAAGCTGCGCCCGGGGTGAAGCCTAAAAATGGCGCTTTGCCACATTTCTTCAATAAATGATATATGATATAAACATTACATATATTAAATGTATGTCCCTGAGGCTGGCACCCCGGTTGGTTGCCCCATTCGCACTAAAAAAAAATAATTTGTTATTTTTTTTTAGTTTGAATATTCAATTGTTCAAATTGTTTCAAACAGAAGATGGTATTGGTGCTATATTATATAATAGGCTATATTTCAATTTCTCTGACAGGAGTGGGACCCAAAATATATTTTTCTTAAATAAATTTAAATTTGGATTTATCGAATGGATCTCATGCATATGTTTAAAACTATCTTTATTATTTATTATTTATCAATTCCTCAGTTAAAGGTCTATTTTTTTTTTTAAATTGTTTGCTTTAAAAAAATGTTTTTACTACCAAAACTACAGAAAGTAATGATATGAAAATTTGTTGATTAAACGTTAGCTTTTCGGAGGGGATTTTTTTGTAATTAAAAAAAAAGTGGTCCCCTTCCAGCTCAACACGTTCGGCATGGGTGGGGAAAAAAAGGAGGGGGGGGGGGCAACGGTAAAGGTAAGGGGAGTTTTGGGTACTTGGGGTTTACATTGGTTATAAAACAAGAATTGTTGATTAAACGTTAGCTTTTCGGAGGGGATTTTTTTGTAATTAAAAAAAAAGTGGTCCCCTTCCAGCTCAACACGTTCGGCATGGGTGGGGAAAAAAAGGAGGGGGGGGGGGCAACCGTTAAAGTTAAGGGAGTTTTCGGTACTTTGCGTTTACAATCGTTATAAAACTAGATCACACAGAAGCAGCAAGTGCAAGTAAAATGTTGATTGTGTGAGAAAATGATAGCTTTTTAATTATGTGTAGTAAATTAAAAGTTATGGATTTTTTTTTAAAATATATAGCTTCAATTTGTAGAAACACCCGTGGGTGTAAGGAAATCAACAGTAAAAGCCAAAGCATGATATGTAAATTAAAATAAAAAATAGGGCATCGAGATCAAAACGAGGTTAAACGGAGAACATCAAATTTGCATATTTGACTACGCAATGAAATAATATAACGATAAATCCGTTTACAAAGACCTTATGCAAAAATTATCACATACTAACAAAGTTGATTTCTCTCTAACTGAATTATTATTGTAATTGTATATAATAAATAAAGAATAATCATTTGATAAACTCAAGCTGACCGTACTACTACGCGTATTTTTTTCCGCAATCCCACAATGCAATGTCTTTTAGTCAGAATCTTTTTACAGGTGGAAAGATGTTTTGGAAATCGTGTGTGTTTGCGATCCCAGAAGAAATGCAAGAACATTGTATGCGTGCAGACCAGACGGGATGACACAGTGAGATATATAAAAATAATCTTATTTAAAATGGCAGAACTTATGTGATCAAATTGGTCTGTACTATTTTATTTTTTTAACTCGAAGGAGGGTTTCTGGTTATCTTTACCAAAAAGTGCTTGCTTTTGTCCTTAAAAACTTTCATTTAGTTGGGCCCATATCGTCATACATAGAACTATCCATGAATAAATCATATGATACATACGCGGGACGAAAGTCCTAAACACAATTAATTTCATGAAACCGTTGAAAGTTAAATAAATTTAGCATATCATTTAAAAATGGAAACACAAGATATGGCTACTGAAGAGTTAAGCAATTCAGCTAAATATTTGGATGAAACTTCGGAAAGCGAGGGTGATCGTTCTCAATGGTCTGGGAACTGCCGTGTTGATGGTGTGACGAGTGTAAACAATGAACGGGCTAATATTAGGGGGGCCGGGCCAGAACACATGGAAAACCTGAGGGCAGGGGTCATCGAAGACTGCACAACTACCGACAAAGATGTTGATGGCGTTGTTTACGAAGATTATGATGTAGCTGAGACCGTAACTTCATCAGATAACAATAATACTGTAAATATAGGCCTATATTCAAATGAAATGGACCAAGACAACAGCAATTTTAGCAACTTGCAACACACGGGGTACCAAGAGGAAGTAGCAGAAACAGATTACTTTCAAACGGATTCGGATGATGCCAAAGGAAATGAAAAATTCAATGTTGAAACATTGAGTTATGAACTACAAGTTGGCTACAGAATCTTGAGTAACATGATGAGTGCCAGCAACAGATGTGTCAACAAGCTTTTTCTTTACCCTGTGGATGACAACTACCCTGAAACTTCAAACTACTATGAAAAAATCAAAGAACCAATTTGGATGTTTAAAAGTAAGATATTTTATTCCCTCATTTTAATCATAAATTATATTTACTAAATTACTATTTTGTATTATATGAAAATGTCTTGGTCTTGGCTTTCGAAATCAATCAAATGCTGAGTGTACTGTAGACAATTTTAAACAGGGGTGGGTGGGGGGAAGGCTATTAATAAATTTAAAGACTTCTCTGGATTTCTTTTAACATTCAGTAAGCATAATTCAATGTAAATATTTTAAGCTTAAAGCTAGAAATATTTTAGTGAAAATCAACATTTGCACATATTTTAAAATCATAATCAAGTAAATTCTCTGTCATCTCCAGTGAAAGAAAAGTTTGAAAATCTTGAGTACAAAGATTTGACAGATTTTATGTCTGACTTTCGATTGATGATTGAAAACTGCTACAGGTTTAATGGACCAGACAATTTTGTGTCCAAAAAAGCCCAGAAACTTGAAACCATGATGAAGCAAAAAGTTGCTTTATTGTCAAGGTATAATTGATTACAATTATGAAAGTTTGAATTACAAGTTTACATTACAAGTTTACATTATTAGTATGAATATGAGGTACAGAGAAAAAAATTTTGTGGCTTAAAAAAAAATTGACTTCTTTGTTAAGAAACATAACAATTCAAAAACTTTTTTCCCTTTTGTTCAGAGATTTGAGAGATAAAATTCTGGGTTCTGTATCATCAAATTCTGAGGATGAGCTTCTTACTACAGGTATGTAGAAATAATATGGCACAGAGATGGATATATGCAACACATATTTTCTTATCAAATTCACAATATACGCTATCCATGTTGTGTTTTGTGACTTCATGTTAGTTAATAAAATTCTAAAAATAACTTAAACAAGAATCAAATATAGAGCTATGCGTGTTTCGAAATGATATCTTGTTATTAAAAATCTTCTGTACATTTTGTAGAGGATAAGCTAAAATATTTGTGGCATGATACAAATTGTTAAGTCTTTTAATTTGACCTACTCAATTTTTTAATTTGTAATTGTTTCCTTTTAAAATCTAGCTGGTTTGAGAAGGAGAATAAAAAATCCAAATGTCTCATCTGACGACCCATCTCAGCAACTTCTTTCCCAACTTCGAAGAGATAGAGAGATGCAAGAGAAAGTAGATCGTCGGCAGAAAGTTGAAGACAGGAAAGCATTGGAGCAGGCTAAACAACAAGAATTACAAGACTGGGAGGATAATATGCTTGGACCAGATGTGAAAAAACAAATAAAAACTATGTGGGAAGTGAGTATTAGGCCAGATTCATTGTAAAGTTTTTGATTGTGGACAATAATTATCAGCCTCATTTAAAAATTTATCTTGTTATCCATTTTGCTAAGATAAAATATGTTTAGCTTGAACTCATTGCAGCATTAACCACGAGGCATGTGGCTGGGGCCACTCGACAAAGGGGCCAATTTATTAATGGAGTATTTTGACTAAATACTTCCCAGAGCACATTTCAAAAAGTGCACCCCTCCAACACACATTAGTTAGGTCTTTATCAGACACTGCTTGAACTTTCATTTACCTTTTGGGTTCTAATTAAATTCAATACTATTGTTTTATTATTAACTGATTTGGTATGAGGCATTAGATGATGCCTAAATTTCTACATTAAAAAATCTGTCAATATTTAAAAAAAATATTTGTGCAGCTTCCTCAAATAGGATTGTTTGTTTACCTGTGTATGGAAAGTCTTGGGCTAGAAGAGGAAATTACACAATACCAATTAGAAAGGGGTATTGCCATGCCAAGGGAGTGCTCAGATTTCAGACGTCTTATGACCTGTTTACTCTCTACACCTCATCAACGGAAAAGGTATTATATAATTTAAATTTTGAACTTATATAATTTAAATTTTGAACAATAAGCTTAGTTTAAAATGTTTTAAAGTGTTAAATATATTTTAAAATATTTACCAAAAAGTTTTACATTATTTCATTTGGCCTACTTTATAAATTTCACTCTGAATGACCATTAAGTTGTTATTACTGTTCCAGAATGCTGCCAAAAGTAATTATATTTTTGTAACGTTTTCATAGTTACTCCTATGATTTTAAAAATATTTTTAAATGTGCTGAAGGCCTTTGAGCAATTATAATTGACCCTAATATTTGCTGCATGGTGCTGAGTTGGGAGTGAAACCTTGATTTAAATAATTTAGAATTTTTTAAGGTCTTTATTTTGTGAAGAATTATTTTATTTTTAATTGATATGCAGATTAAATCTCTTTCTAAATTTAATTGTAATTTGTTTTCAGTTTGAAGAGTTTCATGCCATACCAGGTTTGGAACTCAAAACTTTCTATGAAAATAGATTTCTTTTACAAAACGCTTGCAGAGAAGAAAGGAAATCACATTCAGGTAAAAACAATTTTCAAAACATTAGACCAAAAAGAAATCTTGCTTTTAGAAAATCATTAAAAATCTGTCATTTTTGAGTTTGGTAAATGTAAGCTTCTGCTTAACAAATTAACTCAATTTTCATTAAACAAACCATTTTTTAAAATTGCTTTTATTATTTAAATTAATTTTATAATTTAAAGTTAATGTGTTTTTATGTCTTAAAGGCTTGTTACAAGCTTGGCCTAGACTCCAGAGGTTTCAAAATGATGGGTAAGCATTTATGCTAATAGGATTTAAAAATTGTAAAAATATATATCAGTATCTTTATGATTACTTCTTCATTATTGGTTACCCTGATGATGCAGACTAGGGATTTGCATACAGCAACTTTTTGTCACACTAAGCCTGTGAGTGAAAGGGGATTTATATCTTTTACATCTTCACAACATATGTTATATTGTGACTGTGTAGTGCTCATACAGCAATTGTCTCTGCCGTCTCTGTAATTTCACACTCAGCTTTATTCAGTTTTTAATTAACGACGCTGTTATTAATTTTTGAGAATGGGCATCTCAACCACTGGAGAAAAGTGAGCAAACAAATTAGAACTTGCCTGAAAACGAATGTGGTTACTGATTTGGAACAAATGATATTTTCCTTATCAAATCAACCCGTTTACCACTTAGTAATTGACCCTAATTTATTTCATACTTTGATTGCATTGAAATCAACTTTACAGTTTATATCGTCACATACAAGGAATTAGATTGAAGTAGAACCAACAAAATCAGTCTCTTGTGCCTAAATAGCCCCAAAAATTGTGAACTCCAGTGATTCCACTCGAGCTGTACTTCCCATGAATCCAAAAAACAATTCTGAAACTCATCTTTTGGACTTTCTGGTATTTCGTTGAAGTCTGTGGCCATTTGAGGTGTATTGTATTATTAGTCTTGTGTATCTATTGAGCTCCTCCAATTTTTTTTCCTTTAGTTTCCTCTAGTGTCAACTGTTCTACTGCTTTGACTTCCATGCCTTCATTGTGTGTTGTTATCATTTAATAATAATTTGATTACCCACAGCAGCCAGATGATAATAGTTTGCTTATGCTAAGTCTTTGTGAGCTTAGTTTGAGACTGTAATTTTGTAAATTTTATCTTTTGCAACTCATGTGGGAACCTTCAAGTTTGGAATAATATGTAGATAAAAAATTTTGTGGAGCTTTTACAATTATTTTTTATCAAACAAACCTATCTATTGATGATTTAATTAAAGTTTTGATATTTATGTTAAATATCTTACATCTTTTATTTTTAAAGAGATATTCATAAAAATTGATTTACAATTCATAATCTTTTTAAATACCTTATTATGAAAACAAGATGCTTGAATAAGAAGTACGATTTATTTATTTTGACAATTAATTTTTTTGTTAATATAGCTTCCATTCCTCAAAGAGTAATCAATATTTTTTACATATTTACAGGCAAGAGCAACCCGCTGTTGAAAAAACAATTTCATGAACTCAGTTACCTGAAAAGAGTTTGGATTTTAAAAAACTATTGTGATTTTTGCATGGTATGTTGATTAATTCATTTATTTATATGCATTTTCCAAATAAATTTTTAACAAGTTTTGATTTTTCTAAATGTTACCTGGAAAATTTCACTTTGCAGTACTGAATTTTTATAACAAAAAAAATGTACAATTTTGTTCTCAAGACGAAAAAGAGTAAAAGATTGGGTTTATTAAAAAAAAATATTTAAAATATTATTTTTTGGTTAATTAGGCTAAATTTGGTATCAAATGAAGGATAAGACTTCAAAGTTTTAGTAATAATTTTTTGCTGTTATTTTATTATGTAGGAAACACAACAGTATCTTCAAAAAACTATAGATGATATTGAAGCAGTTCGCCCATTAGATGTGAGGGAAGTACTACTTGGGTCTGATGTTAGAGGATATCGCTACATCAACTTTCCAATGTTTACAGGGAAAGATATTCGAATTTATAAACATTCAAAGACTCCAGAACCTAGTCTGGAATCTTTGAGTATGGCTGACTGGTCTGTTGACATTGAGAAGGTAAGAAGGCATATTGTGGTCAACATTTATTGTAAAATTTATTTTTAAAAAGAGAAAAGGAAGTACCCGATGATTAATTTGTCAACAAGAATGGGAGGTGGAGAAAATGATATAAATAATTAATTTTGCCCACAGAGTCAAAAAGGTTGGTCAGCACTGCTTTATATCACTGAAAGCAAATAGGACAGACTATTTTATATCATTAGGTTGTAGATACGTACTAATGGAAGAAATATTTTATTTTCTGTAGATTTGGTAATGCTCAATTAATTTATTTCTATTTAGATATAAAGATAATTTTGCATAATTAAATATGTTAACAGCCTTCTGCTTCATCATCTCGGTGTTCAACACCCGTAAATCCAAGAAAAAGTCGTTTGACAGAAACACCATCAACATCACTCCGAGCCAGGGCACTATTACAGGCAGTAAGTTTCTATACCCTGCCTTTCCCCTTAAGGGTTTTCTTTCATTTTAGATTTAAATAAAAATGCTTAAGATTTGAATAAGAAATTATCTTTAAAAGACAAGATGTTCTCAAGCCCACCAACTTAATGTTCATTTAAGATGTAATTTGTTTTCAAATGATAAATATTTATAATAAAATTCCAGATTACAATTTTGAAAATAATCCAATTTAGATTTTGTGGGATGGAAACACATTCTAATTGTTGAATTTTATCCATCGGTGCTATTTGATCAACTTAACATTGTATACTGTTTTCAATACTTTTTGGAATGATTTTTTTGTTTTCCCCTCTTTCAAGGCTGAATCCAAAGAAGCATCTCCACTTAGAGACACCTCAAGATCAGGATCTGAGGTGCCCGAGTCCAAGAACTCAGTATCTCAAACCCCTTTGTCCGATACTTCAGATCATACACCTTCCAGTGGAAAAACTGGAAGTGCTAAGAAACGAAAGCGTGCTAGTCTTTTTACGGGTAAGCGGAAGCGCTTGAAACCCAGAAGTAAAAAGACCACACCCTCTGGCAAACAATCTGTAGATTCTTGTAATGTGATTGAGGAGGAAGGGGATGAGAATGACCTTGACTCTAGTGATGTTCAAAATGATGCTCATTCCATACTGGAAGATGCAGACTCAAACAAAAGCGATACTGTGAATTTAACTAATTGTATCAAAGACGGTGACTACTTACTTGTGGGTAAAAAAGCATCACCCTTAGCTCTTTCTAACTCTGAGAGCACAGTTCTGGAGAACAAAAATAATCCTGATCTAAATTCATTCAGTAGTGGGGGTTTACAAATTGGCAACAAAGACTATAACCCACTCAATGGTACGAATTTAGAGTCTATACAGCAGTTGCCATCAACACATCAGGACAGTGCATATCTTTCATATGAGAGTGATAAATCTCTAAAGGATGATGAAGGGGTAGTAGGGAGTGGTGAAGTAAGTAATTCTGTGATACAAAATGGTGTCTCCAAAGTAAGCTCTGTTGTCAAAACTGAAATTACAGAGGATGTAAAGAGATTGAAAATAAAAGATAATGATGAAGCCAGCACTAAACAAGAGATGTTTGATAATATAGAGAGAACTGTCCTTACTGAAATCCAAACTGGTTCTGAAATGCAGCTCAAGACAGAATTGAATTACCAAGATGGTGTCAAAAAGGAGATCAGTAAGTCTCCAATGAATAAAGACAATGGGATTAAGCACAAGAATGTTGTGAATAACCACAGTGATGGTCAGGATGTGAAGGAAAAGGTGGAACTGGATACAGTAATAGAGTCTGTGAAAAAAGAATGTGACAAAGATAAACTTGTGACAGATGAGAAACCTGTAAATATAAAAAATGAAGAAGTGAAAAAAGAAGAAGCAGAGGATGAGGAAGATTCAGATGAAGATGAGGTAAGTGAAAACTGTCCTATTAAAAGTAAAATTAGAATATTTGAAAAAAAAGATTTGTTTGTGAAATGATAAAGTATACAACAATATTGTCTGAATCAATGGGAGAAGTAATGTATTAAATTTTAATAATTTTGGTCGTAAACAGCTTAATTGGCATGATTCTGTTACATGTTCGGCACAGATTTTGCCTAACTCATTGCAACACAAAATATGTTGACTACAAATTGTAGCATTTGTTTGCACTTCATAGTTCTTTTTAGCAAAAAATTTCCTTTGTGTTTTTATAATTTTGTAAAAATTTAATTTTTTGATTAGAGTTGAAATTTTAAAATAATCACAGTTTCACTGTTAAACTAAAAAAATCAATGTCATGTCCTGTTTACAAGTACAGAGGCTGACAAACAAAATTGTCAGGTGGAAAAGTATTCTCAATTATTTATTTGAAATTAAATTTAAACATGGATAAGACTGAAGGCTTGGAATATGTTTATAAACCCCAAAATAAGACTCTGATATTAAACAAAGATAATTAAAAGAAACAACACTCAAGCATGCTGGTAATGTACTAATCAAAAGATGTATAATTTAAATTATGAATGTTCTCCTACTTAAGATAAGTAGTCAGTGTCATGAGATAAAAGAAAAAGGAAAGGAGAGAAAAAAAACAAAAAAACTAACCGGACAATTCATGGACAATTCATGTACAAAAAGTTTGTTAAATTTTTATTTAATTTTGAAATTTATATTAATACCTTGCAAGCAGATCTCTGCATTCAGAAGTGAGTTAAAACATATCCAATTCTATTCTAATAGCTGGTGTCCTGTAATTCTTCTTTTTTTGAATTATATATATTTCAAGAAGAAAAAAGAGTCTTCACTGTTTACAAATGTTTTCATTATTAAATACATTTTAACATTTTTTGTGTGGTTACTCAATACTTCAATAATTTTTTTTTACCTTTATTTTCCTTTATGAGGTGATCCTTGACCGTAATGTTTTTTAAACTTAATAGCAAATGCTAAAACTTTATTCAGTGGTAAAGTTAATTATGCACTGAGTAAATATTCTTTAAAATGTAAAAGATATGGTAAAATCAGTGTTAAATTATAACCCTTAATAATCTTGAGTTTAAGCAGAGGTTCAAAACAATTTTTTAAAAATTGTTATTGTGTATAATATATCTGCTATAATTAAAGATTTAACCATCATTCCTCAAACTTAACACTAATAAGAAATCAAGCACATTATTAAGGTATTAAATCAAATATGCTTCATTTCAAAATCAATTTTTCAGCAACAATATTGATTCCGAATCAGGCTATAAGCAAGCAGGGTAATTTATTTGAAGATATTTAAGAATGAGCTATGCTGACCGTAATGCCAAAGAAACGAAAAGATTTAAATACGTTTGGATTATTTTAAAAAATCAGTTATTTTATTTTATTTTACGGAAATCAAATAAATTTAAATGCCCTTAAAATAACGTAAATACGCTTTTATTTTAGTAAAAGTTTAAGCATTATTATTATAAATTACAAATACATTTAAAGTAACAACTAAGGAACTATTTTAAGCATTTATCCGAATTTAAAAGTTATGGGGGAAAAAAAAATGTATGATCTAAGAATTACAATATAATCACATTTATCGGGAAAACCAAAACATCAGTTGTTTTTAGTGTGTTGTTCATATTGAGAAAAAAAAATTAATTTGTTAATATTGATAAATAAAAATAAACATTAATTTGTTCTATATAAACAAGCAAATGACGTCATAGCGTCAATCAGTGCAGCGAAATTCCATAGGCAAATTTTATTAATTTTAATTAAATGGGGTGGGGGGGGTCATTTCGGCCCAGGCAGCACAAGATACGTCTCAAAATAAAGGAATGAATTTGATAAATAATTAATCTTTTTGGATACATACATATCAGATGTAGGAAATAGGATGTGTACATTTTACGTGGATGACAATATATTTACATCTTATGGTATAACATTTGTGAAAGAAGAGATGTTACATTCTCTTTTTACAAATACACATACGTTTACCAATGAAGAAAATCAATGGCGTTAACAAAAGGTGGGTACATTTATATAAGTATACTCATGAATATCAAAACCCAATCATTTTACACACTTGAACATTTAATTTTGAAAAATGGAAATGGGTTAATATGCTCTTTAAAAAAAAAAATGAAAATATATTTCTGTTTTTACTTTACGAAATGCAAAGTGGGAGTGTATTTTTATGAAATTAACAATTTTAAAAATAAAAAAAAAAGAGTCTGTTATAGATGTAAAAAACGGTTGCGAGATTCTTCTTTAGATAAAAGAGTTTTTTGTTTTTCTGATAATGGTATAATTAAAAAAAACAAGGCTAAAGTGTTTAAATTTGTAAATGAAAATATCAATATATCAAATTTCTTTAATATAAATATTTTTATGTCATATATAGAGTTTTTGTTGTAAATTTAAGATTATGTTTTTTAACAATTTTTAGACCAAAAAATGTCAAGAGCACGAAAAGGGGAAATTCATAAGTATTTCTCTAGCTTAGAAATGGTCCCTCAATTAACTTCTTTAGTGACAAAAGTGATATATTTAGTGATAATTTAGATTGTTTTATTTAAGGTCATGTTTAGAGGGGGGAAAAAGGAATTTAGGGTCGTGAAATGGAGTAGGGTAGGCGTATAATATATAGCAGATAAATACTTCTCAAAACTTAATGATGTTAGAAGCATATATATCATTAGATACTTCTTTTTAAAGTTAGGAATTGTGATGAGTTTTTACAATACCAGGTAGAAATTTCGCAAAGGGCCTACCATTATTATCCCAATAACATTGGGTCCTTTTTTCTAGTTAACTCATAAATAAATTGCATTGCTTGCTTCTAGTCTTATTTGGAATCAATATTGTTGCTGAAAAATTTATTTGGACAATTTTATTTTTTCCTGTTACAAGTTACTTATCTAACTTAATTTGTAGTCATTATAATCTTTGAAGATTAAAAAAAAAAAGATATTTACATTAGGGCATGGAGTTTTTGTGAAAGCTTTGAGAAAGTTGAAATGTATTATATTGTTTGTATACTTTTGTTATAATTATTAGATTCCTGATGTGGGTCATATTGAGTTAATAGCAGAGAGCATGGAAGATATTCGACAACTAATGAATAAACTCTCTAATCCAGAACCCATAAAGAGAGGGAAAAGGGTAAATATTTAAATATTTTTAAGTATTGCATTAAATTATTCACTCATGAAACACTTTTGGCAAATAAATTGATTAATTAATTTATATCATTCCAGCAAGCAAAGATTTTTAAAAAATGGTAATGTTTTAAATGTGCAGAATAAATAATTATTTAATGTGCTGAAAATAACTTATAATCATGCATTTTTTAATAATTGCAACATATGTTGGGTCTTAATAATTGATTTCAAAATGCATTCTGTAGACATATCCTGGGGTGATGAAACCATGTGAGGAAGAACTGCTGGCAAATTTGACCAGGTTTCATGATGAGCTTCTAAAATATGAGAAAAATCTGGCCAACGCTAGAGTCAGCATGCAGTCAAAACTCCGCAAAGAAGTGGATAGTTATGTGGAACCTAAAGTTGAGGTAAGGAAAAATTAAATTTCATTAATTTCAGTTTTACTTTTAATATGAGTGGGATATATAGCAAACTGTTCAAGTTATTTCATTAGCAGTCAGCAGTTTATTCTGTCTACCGTATTTATGCTGCCTGTACAGCGACATTTATTTACAATTAAACTAAAAATTAAAGCAGGAGTATATTTGAAGATAGTAAACACAATTATTTTAAAAATGGGTTCATTGCCATATGCGTTTAATGAATGAGCATGCCGTACATAACAGTAAGGATTTAAATAGACAGTCATCCCCTTAGGAAAACTTTTCACTAAAATGACCAGCCAGACCCCCTCATTGTAATTAAACTATAAATTGATGTTTAACATACCAGGGAACCCGTAATTGTCTAACTTGTATTGGCAACTTTTATTTACTGTGGTTTATTTTTTTATAGGAGTCTAGAGGTTGGGACAGTGATCATTCCCAGAGCAGCAAGGACTCAAGTGATGAAGAAGAAGTTAGTAAACCAGAGCCAGACACCACCAGGCAGTCAAAAAGAATAAAAATTAAGCAAGTCACGGCCACTACCGCCCTTTTGTCTTCTGCTGCTTCTAAGCTGTCTTCCATCACAGGTGAAGGGAACGAAGACAGCAATGACAGCTTTGAGCTGGACATCAGCTCGCGTGGGAGGTTGAGAAAGCGGCGGATCATCCCGAATAACACAGAGGACACTGGGTTAAAGAAGAGAAAAAACTTACCCAATCAAGAGAGCTTTTTCTCGACACCTCAGAAGGTCTCAGAATCAGTAACCATTACCCAGAATTCAGTTACATCTCTGCAAGAAAAAACCTTGCCAGCCAATATTATATCTATGCTAGCATCTAGCCAATCAAATGCAGCAATCAAAGCCCAGTTGGCCTCCCAGACTGCCAAAGGACCTGGTCAGATTTTGCGCTTTGTTGCTCCAGTTTCTGATGGCGCCATTAAAACATTACGGTTGACTGGTAAACCTAACATGATTATCTCGCCTCAAAATTTATCAAACATCAGGTTTCTAACAAGCACAGGGATTGTCACATTACCCAGGAACAAAATCATCTCATCGTCATCTGCCCAGACATCTCACCCAGTTATCCAACAGTTGTTGCTCAATCAAGCTCAGTTGACCACCTCCACCAACACGGTTTTCTCAGCGAAAAGTTCCAACTCCTTGCCAAGTTTGCAGAAGCAGCTGTTGGAGACCGGCGTTAAGCCGCCAGCCGGTGGCCAAACCGCAGTCAAGGTGTCTCTTGTCATCACAGCCCCGAATTCACTGAACGCCATGTCCAAGCCATCCTTCGTTATGGCGCCTCAGTCAAGTGGTGGTGTTGTAGTCACACAGATGTCCACCACATCTCATACTGGCAAGCCGGTGTTGGACCTTGGAAGTCTGTCCATGACTCAGATTCAGCAGCTTATCAAAAGTCAGGCCATTCAAATCAACACAGGAGCAGGAAACCCCACCACTTTGTTACTGACCTCAGGTCTACAGCAACTGGCCATGAGTCGGCCTTCTGTTCTAGCTTCTAACGTACCCTCAACTGCAACAGCTCAGATAAAAATTCCCAGCAATCTTGTACCGGGACAGACCAAGTTCATTGCCACAGGAGCATCATCTCTGCTGACGATGATCAACAAAAGCCAGAAGGTGGCATCGACAACCCCATCACAGATTTTACTTAGCAACAAGCTCAACCCCTTGCTGACCATATCAGGCCAGCCATCGCATGTCATCAGATCACAGACACTGGGAGCACCACAGCCAGGCACTGTGCTGAGAGTAAACACACCCATTGCAACTGTTGCTAACTCTGCTCCACAAGGGATCCTGCCGATCAGAAGCAGTACTGCAGCCTCTCATATTGGTGGGAAAGTCACAGCAATAATGAACCCTTCGGTTTTGAGACCAGCAGGGCAACCACAAAAGCCCTTGCCATTGCCTAGAATTATAAGTTCCCTCAACCCTTTTTCTTCCTTGAGGGTCACAGTGGCCCCAAACAGTAATGCCACCACAGCCCCAACACCTTCAACGCCTCCGCAAGCACCAGTAGCTGGTCAACTGACCGAAGCCAATAAAGCTAAAATTATTAGTGTGCCAGTCATGTCCCCTGCTAAAAAATATGCAAGTAATGTAACAGTCAAGGCTCTGCTTGAGAACAGAGGTTCCAAAAGGGCAGGGGAAGAAGACTCAGAATCCTCACAGGTTTCCACTACATCAGTCAACGGAGAAGGTGGAGAATTTTTAGCATATGGGTCCGAAGAGATAGAAAATCATGAGCTTCATGACACCACACCTGGTTTCGAGGAGAGGACAACAGGTGTCAAAACTGCTGGGGCTGCAACAATCATCAAAACCCTCCAGGCTAATAAAATGGAACCAAATTTCTCAGTCAATGGAATCTTTCCGATGACTTGTTCTTCTGCTACTTTAGGCAGCTTTATCCCTCACACACATCCTCTGTCGGTTGACACTGGGATTCACTCCCGCTCTTCATCAACCACTTCATCTGAGGTCATAGTTCCAACAGTCAATATTAAAGTTCCATCTCCTAATACTCTTCCCTCTGTTCTGCATAATAAAAATGGAACAACCATTGTCCAGTCTACCAAAGTGCCCATACCTGTGGCATCGGAAGCAAAGACAGGTGACAGTTTAAGCCCTATGGGATTGACATCAACGATTCCATGTCAAGGTTCAGCCATTCAGTCAATCAATGTAATGGCCAAAGTGGGTGGTTTAGCCAGTAATGGTTCCTTAATTACGCCTGGGTCGAGTCAAGGCTTGCCTTCCACAATAAAGCTTGTGAGCTCAAATCCAGCAGGTCCGCAGCTGACAAACCAAGTGACCACAATGAAAAATGTTATGGTGAAAGTCAGCCCACAGACTGGTGGATCTGGGCAGTTTGTCCAAGGATTTATGACGTCTAGAGGATTAGTCATTCCCCAAGCTGCTTTACTGCAGCAGCAACAAGGCAGCAATGTTATCCTCACCAATGTCTCACAAACTGGTGGTTTAACCCAAATGCAATCCAATCAAATTCAAATCCAGCCCTCCCAGGTACTTGGTGCAGGTAACCAGGCGACAACATTCACCATTTCAAACAATGGACAACAGGCGATTGCCATAACCCAGCAAATGAACCAGCAGCCTTCCCAGCAACTTTTAGTCGCTTCTCCCAACTCCTCTATTGGACTAACCAGTCAGAACACCAGCCCGAGTATGAAAGTGATGTTCTTGAATCCCACTATTTCCTCTAGCCAGCCTTCCTTTACCACCAGCAGTATTATGTCGTCTAGCAACACCCCAGCTTCAGAGTTGGTCAAGCAGCTAGCAAGCAATACACAACTCCAAACTAATGCACAGAAGCAGCAGATAACTATTAGTCCTGTGAGTAGCCAGCAAAATGCTTCCCATTTGCTCAGTAACATTGTCCAAGGTGTGAGTGTCCAGCAGGGTAGCAACAGTACAATGATGCCGGCACAGAACATCGTCAATGCCCAATCTGGTGTTGGTTCACAGTTGGCTGCTCAGATCTTCACCATCCAACAAGGGAACCAATTACAGCAGCAGCCCAACATTGTCCTCACCACCAAACCTACCCAGGCTCAGGGTAAACCTCCGGTCGTGGCTCTCCAGCTTCAACAATTGGGGCAGCTGCTGAATCTTGGTGGAGTGACCCAGCTTCAGCTTCCCCAGCAGCAGTTGGCCTCACTGCAGCAGCAGTTGAACACTCGAGTAGGACAACCGAACCAGGTTCTTCAGCTGTCCATCAATCCTCAAACTGGAAACCAGACCATCATGGCGGCCCCACAGACATCGCAGGTTGTTCGTGTGGCGAGTCAGCTGAGCCCACAGAACCAGGGAATAGCTCAGATGCAATCACAGGGTAATCTTGTCATCCAGCAACCACAGCAGCAGACACAAAACATTGTCATACAGCAGTCTAATATTCAGCAGGGAGTTATGGGATCTGGTGTCAACCTTCAACATGCAAATATCAAACAGCAGTTAACCGCTATTCCTCAAAAGTTCGCCAAAACACCCACTCTTCCAACCACCAAAGTCCAGACGTCGATGGCAGGCCATGTTCAGAACAGCTCTAACGTGGTTTTGTCCCAGCTGCAGTCCCCAAGTGTGTCCATTGCACCCAGCTCCGTCAACCAGTTTCAGTACGTTCTCAACCCATCCATGGTATCACAACCCAGTCTTTCTGTTGCCAATGTCTCAGTCATGTCTTCCCAGCTCAACAAAGTTCCTGCTGGTTCCCTTACCGGTAATGTCAGTCGAATTATTAGAGCAGATTCGAGTATTTTGCAGAACAGCATGAACTCACAGAACTCCACGCTGCAAGGTCTGATGCCCTCTCTGACACAGGCCAATCCCTCTATGCTGGTTAGCAACTCTACACTGAGTGCATCCAGCCTGTCTAATAAAGGGCTGTCTCAGATGATCATTCCTAACTCAGGTGCTGGGCAGTTCCTTATCTCCCCTGTCAAACTGACAGCGCAAGGGCAGCAGGCAAACATCATCAGCCCCATCAAGTACATCAGTGCACTCCAGAGCCCTAATTCCTTAACGGGACAGAATTCAACCCAGTTTGTAATTAATAACTCAACTCTCCCAGGGATTCAGAACCAGATGTCTGTAAAACCAGCTGTAATTTACGCTGGCCAGGCAAATGCTGCTTCAGATAAAAAAGAAGGAAAAGTTGCTCAGATTCTACTCAGCCAACCCTTGGCGAATCTAAATTCAAACCAAACACAACCTGTCAACAGCCGCCCGACCAGCAACAACACTCTTCCAGTCTCAGTAGCAGTTGGAGTTGCTCCTGTAGCTTCCAAATTGGGAAATGACAACACTACCAAGACAATTTTATACAAAATTGGTGACCAGTATTTCTCCCCCGCCAACAACATCGCCGTCAGTAACATCCAGCAAGTTGTGCCCACCCAGTCTCCAATGACTACCACCATTTTGTCAACCAATCACAACCCAGGCCCCAAAACTGATGTTCAGCTCCTTGTGCCCCCTGCTTGTATTGAAGCATCGGATCAGATTCTGAAACAGAATAACACATTACTGGCTGCAAATCCTACGTTATCAACAGGAACTGTTGTCACATCATCACTGGTTCAAAATCTCGGACAGATGAGGCAGTTGGGAACAGGCGGCCGAAGTCAAGACCCCCAGAGTGGTTACAACACCACAAACCAATTATCAGCAGGTTCAGTTAATGGAATCCACCAGGGCAATACACAGTTTTCATTTTCTCTGTCTGGGCCATCCACACTTCACAACAAACAACCCATGAGATCAGATGGAAATCCAATGTTTAATGGCCAGTCATCTGGTATCATTGGCCAGCAACAGTTTACAGGTAATTCCTTGATGACTCAGGATACTGCTGGTGGGACAGCTCCGCCAGTCAGTAACACTGATATGCCACTAAGAAGGAATGTGTTTTCTGGTGATGTGTCAGTGGGACAGCAGCACAGACAAATGTCAGATGACAACTCAACTCTGAGTGTTCAGGAGCAAAATGAAAAGGAAGCAGCGTTGAACCTTCTTACTTTGGCCAACCAGCCAATTTAGAATAAACTTTGTCAAAACATTCTATTTAAAAAAACACTTGCCAATCAGCCCATTTGAAGTGAACATTGTCTGAATTTTACCTTAAAGTAAACTTTAGGTCAATAATTACAATTATTTGGTGCTTTGTGGCTTTTGAACACCACCTGTGCTACATGCCATTAATATTTATATTCATAAATAATTACAATAACATTGGTTTTCAGGCTGGAAATTAATTACTAATTATTAAGATATACATAAAACATGCATATGTAATAATGTGTCACAAAATGTCACTTCCTTACATGTATCATATGAGTAAAGAAGAATAAGTTACTCAAATTTGATTGTGCACTGTATGATTTTAGCCATGCATCATTTGTATTTGGTCAAGGAGCTATCCTATTACATGTATTTATTTGTCTTTTCTTATTGTTAAAAATACTTTAAAAAAAAAGAGAATGACAAAAATGCATTTTGGGAAATATTGGTAAAACTTTTTGATATTTTGCTATAGAACCATCAAAATTATTTGTCTCTGTTTATGGTTTGAAGCTATGATAGGTTTTGATATTCTGAAGCTTTGGAAATCATGCATCGATATAGTTGGAAGCAAACAATAGACTAGACTCTTAAAAAGATCTAGAACCATTTACTTGAATGTAAGATGTATGATAAATAGTACAGAAATAGCAGTCTTTAATAATATCAGAGTTTTGATTTGTGTGTGCATATATTACAGTTGGCAATCTGTGGCTGTTAAAACTTAACAATCTTTGACACAGACCAATCTACCAATATGATTTAATAAGTAATATTTACCTATTAATCTCTAGTCTCTCAATGATTTAATTTTTACATATACTTAAATTTAAATACAGTGGTGGGGTTTTGGAAATATGACTTGTATTTTTGTTGTCATTTTTCTGATTGAAAACAGATAAAAATAGTATATGAATGAAGATCACACATAATTATAGCTTTTTGGCACTGATAATATTTTTCTAAATCCCTGTTTGCTTATACTTGTATAACAATTTTTGACTTAGACAGGAAAATAGTGACACATTTTTTTGTAATTAAAACAAAATACTTGTCAGTGCAATATGTATCCTATCATTTAGTCCAGTCTGTTGGTCTTTTTTTTTTCCTTTCTTCTCAAATCCTTTGGTTACAAATTTTAAATAGCCTAACTCCATTTATTTCCACTCCATAGAACAATTTCATTTTTTAAGCCTACTGTCAGTATGTTATGTCAATGAACGTCAGCTTGTCATGTCAATGTCTTATCTTTACATTAGAATACCGTTTTATTATTATTTATTTTTAAATTCATCTTATTCGTGTGTACCACAGTTCAGTTTTGTTAGGTTTTTAGTGCAAGTTCTAAAATTAGTATGTTGTGTTTTGGAAAGTACAATTCAAGTCAATTTTAATTTAAGCCATTTGTTTTGTAATTAGTTACATGCATATTATATATAAATGGTTAGAAGGTAATTATTGTAATTAATATTCTAACCAAAAATTGTATTTTGTGTACAGGTCATAACTTATTGTGTACATAATGTAAAAGTTGTACATGAAAATTCTTCGTCACCCAAGCAGAAGTTATTGGCCTCTTAATGTCCATTGTGGCATCACAAGCTAAATAATCTAGCCAGCAAAATCTAACTTGCTGTTTTACCACATTTCCCTGTTTAAAATATTTTTTGCAAGGTTAATTGCAAGCTGAGAAATACATTAATCCTGGCACCACTTCAATTGTAAAAAAAAATAATTCAAATACAGAAAGTAAGCCCCTTGATTATCATAGATCAGGTACTAAGTGAAGAAGTTTAGGCTATTTGTAAATATGTTTTATTGTAAAGAAAGAGGCATACTTTTTTTTTTAAAATGTTGGATGCAATGGAAGAGTTGTAAAAAAAAATAGTATCATAGCAGTGACTTTTGAAACCAATTATGTGGTTTCATAATATAAAACTTCATCATTTTTCTGTCAATATTTTAAAAAAATAAAAAATGCAAATGTTAGTGCCTCATTATGCCATTTTTCTGGAATGTATTTTCTCTGCAATTATACGTACAGAGGATTTCTGCAATTAAGGGTAGTTTTGTTGCATGTTTCTCTTCTTTTACATAGCCTTTTGACTTTATGACATGAGACATCATAATGTACATAAATGAAAGTGTTGCCATCAGATTGTGTTTGTTGATATTTGCCAAGGTTTCAACATAATGTTACTGCTTGCAAAATTGTGGTAATTCATACATAATTCATTATGTAACACTCATAGGACATGTGCCTTCTTAGCATTCATTTGCATAATTAAACTATTGAATATGCACAGCATTGGATGTTTTTGTTTAACACATTCATTTCAGTTAGATATGGCTATTATACTGATTAGAATGTCAAAAAAAAAAAAATCTTTTCTGACATTAGTTGGTGCAATTTTAGTAGCCATTTTACTGTTTTTAAATGTGCATCAAGAATGTCCTTTAAAGTGACTTGTTTAATAAAGTAGGTCAACATTTTATTGTAAAGTATTAGTCTTTGTAGATCTAATGGTTACTTAAAATATAGGGGCCTTTTTTTCCTTTCTTCTTCTTTCTGTCCACTGTTAGGGTTTCCTGTTTCCTTCTCGTCACTGGTCATTTTTGAACCAGTAAATTGTAAGATTCTTGAATATAAATACATGCAGTATAATTTTTCACGGAAATACTGCTAAGACTCATTGGAGTAAAATATAACACTACCAGTGCAAATTTCAAAGTGGTTTGAAAAATATACCCTATATTTAGAGTTGCTACATTTGATTCATATTAACAGTGCTGATAATTAACGATATTTGACTCATATTAACTGTGCTGATAATTCACGGAAAGAGTTGGGAAGTTATTTATTTGTTTTAGGTCTCTCCATTTTATTTTGAACTTTAAAACAATGGTCGTGTGTATTTAATCAAATCCTTTTTGCTTTTTATTTTGTCATTTGGATTAAATCAAAGAAAAGTTCAGTGTTTATAAAAATTTTCAATTCTAACAACATTAATGGTAAGTTTTATTTAATAAATAAAATTGTAAAATGTATAGTTAAACTTTATGTTCACAAAATGTTACTTTGAATGATTACATTCCATCATCACCCTTAACTTGATTGTGAGAGCCTAAGGTATGTGGCCTCTGACAAAACAAGCTAATAAAAGTTAATATTCCATGAATTGGACATTTTTTTTTTTTAATTTTTAAATGTAAACAATGTTCCCTGTCTTACTGCTTTCAACCTTTACCTCAATTACGTGTTTTTTTCGTCCTTTTTCCAATTATATTTAAAAATAACAAAAACTCAGAGATAGTAAACAAAATGTGTATTCTAAATTTACACAAACATCACCATCAAATAAATTAAACGTGTTAACGATATGTTAAAAATTAATTTTTAAAGAAAAAAAATTCACAATGCAATAATACATCATAAATAAAAGAATAAAGCTACTTTTTTTGTGTTAATAAATACTAGCTGCATGAATTAAGCAGACCTGGTTACTCTTACAATATTGGTGATAGCAAAAACTGAAAAATAAAGATGAGAATGCATTCTCAACTGTCTGCACAGCATTAAATTTTAACACATTTTATAGGATCTGGGAAGGCCTTTAAAATCTTTTTTTTTTTTGAGAATGCACAAAACAGCCATAGGATTCTTAACACCCCAGTTTTGTTCCAACACTCCTCTCTCTTTCCCCGATTTACTGCTTGTGGTAGTTGTATGCTATGGGGAAATGGGCTTTATGGATATTAATGTTTATTATTATTAAAACCAGCTATTAACTAAATTAAAAAATCTCAAGTTCACTAGTTACCTTTTGTAAATGACCTCATTTGTAAATTGATCCTAACATCAAGCAATATAAATGTTATTCATCTACATTTGGAAATGACCTTTTTAACTCGATCCCGCTTGACATGCAAGACATTATATGGTTTATTTATTCACCATGAAGGTAAGATTTTGAAGCAATCTTGTACGATTTTAGGAGTTCGAGGGTAACCAGGTCTGATTGAGTAATTTTTATTCATAATTGTGGAAAAAGTGAACAATTTAGAAATTTGAAAAGGTTATTTTTAAGTGACAATAGCTGTGACTTTTATTTTTATATAGAAAGTCAACATAAAATAATTTAAATTAAAGTTTGTGATTTACTTTCAGCATGGATGAGGATAATAAAATTATTGTGACATAAGATTCATAAATCATTTTAAAAATAAAAATTACTACAGGGTATCTGAAAATATACAGTAGAATTAATTATTGCACAGAGAATGCAAGGTTTTGCAATTACATGGTTAACAACATGGCACCTGAGAAAATGATCATTGTTATCCACTGACAAGACAATTTATTTAAACATTTATAATTAAACTTCAGAATAATGTAATTTTTTTTTTTTTGTTAAACTTCAGAAAAATTGAATGTTTTTTTTATTTTAAAAATAATTTTTCAGTACCAGTTTTTTAAAAATATCATTTTTATTTTCCAAAATATTTTAAAAAAATGATAATTGGAACATTGAAATCATATTTTTTTTAAATGAATTTTAAATATGAATTGTTCATAAATGGGTCATATTTTTTCTTATTTTTGTGTAATTATTTGACTGTACTGGTCACTCTCCCTGTAAAATATTTTTGGTATATTTAATTTTCACTACAATTCTAATATAACCAAAGAAAAAAAAACAGCCAGTTTAAGTTGACGGGGTTCAGAAATTACTACAACGTTGTAAGTTGGTTAATTATTTATCCCAGTAATGAAAATTTACAGCCTATTATTATCAGAATTAAGTTCATAAGCTTACGATATCCAAGAAATGTAAAATAGCAAAAAATACCATAGACAGAACAAATAATTTAAATTTTAATCATTTACTCTGGTGTCATTCAGGACATTCCCAGCCAAGAATTGTCACCCTATTTCCTTTGCATCCTATTGATCTGCAGAATAATTAAAAGTTCTCCACTCGTTTTAACTAATCATTGCCTTAGAAAAGAAATATTTTTGCCATTCAATTAATTCCTTAAGATTAAAAACGTCATTGTCATAAACAAAATTTAAAAATATTTCTAATCAAAACAAAAATTATATATTGTACACATCTAAAACATTTATGATTAGGTTGTAGAGTGACCATGAATTTAAATTAAATAAATAAATAAAACCATTTTGAAAAGTAACACAAAATGTTGAATTAGAACACTATATTAACAGTTATGAAGTGCTCAGGAGTTAAATAATCAATTTCCATATAGCAAATTTAAAAAAAATATAGAACATCTATTATGAAAATAAAATAGTTTTCTCCCTATGCTTTTAATTGCTTTCAACCAAAAGTCCACATGTAAATATTAATGATGAATGAAAAATCTTAAGAGACACACAAATTAAAAGAAAGGAAAACAAAAGGTTCTTTGAGATTCCACATGATATTGCTGGGGTTTTTTTAAAATAAGCTATAAAATTGTACATTTACAACTTTTCTAAACCAGAATGTACATCCCAAAATACAGAAATAAAAATGTATCAAAATAAACCAACCTATCAAGTTTATACAAATATTAAAATATAAACTCTATAGTTAATGAGTATTTCATAAATAAAAATCACATCCATGATTTGAAGCACAGGCTGAAATACCCAGAAATGAAAAAATATAAAATCTTGAATGAGAATCCTATATTAAAGAAACAAAGCAAACTTAAAACAAGTTGGGATTTTTTTTAATCGTTAAAATATCACAAATAATAAGTCCATGTATGTATGGTTGTATCGCTGTGTGCAAAATAAAATTCCCAGAAGTTAGCACCGATTGGGATTCTTATAAAGTGCGTTACTCGAATGAATGTTTTGTCCTGTAATAGTAGTAGATGGAAAGTTCAAGCACTGCCGCAGCCATTGTTTGGTTAGTTATTTCTAGTATGGCAATAAATAACTGCATTGGTTAACTTTAGATACTGTAAATAAAGATAATTACAATCTTAAATAAGCATTTAAAAAAGCAATATTGTTGCTTTTAGTCAACTGTAAAGAAAAATGAATCAAATTCCTAAATCTGGACCAATCAAGAAACGTTACTTTTGGAGAGAAAAAAACCCCATCTATAATATAATTTATTGCGTGTAATGTGAGCATGCCTGAGTCATTGCTAAAGATGCAACACAAGCCAAAATCCAGATCATAATAACTCAATAATTGTTTAATTAGCTCAAAAAGACAACCCCTAATGCAAAAAGAATGAAGATGATATTATTTCTAACCACTTTATCACTGAAAGCTTAAGCTGTGGAAGTGAAGGCCCCACCAGGAGACAAGATTGTTGGTTATTCTCTTCTCGTTTAAGCAGCGAAGAAGATGCCAAGCAAAAAATATTAAAAATATATCATTTTGAAAACACAAAATCAAGACCAATAGAAAACAAAGAGTTATCACATTTGGGGATGATAATATTGATAACGAAAGATTTAACATTTTACAGGTGTAATCCATGTGTATTAAATGTTCTCCTTTAACTGTTGACCCATTCAACCAGACTCAACATTAATAGCAGAAATGAAAGTATAATATGTAATAATTTGATTAACAAGACAATCTATAGATTCATCTCACATGTAGTTACTCACATGTGTAACATTACTAAAACAAAAAAAGGTGCCAAAATAGTTCTTAAACAGGATTTTCAAACTTTAATTGCAACATGCAAATTAAGTAAATTAAAAAATTAAACATAGGTATGTTAAACAAAAAATTCATAAACTGGGGTTAAAAGTCATATCTTTCAGACAAAAGCCTTGTATTGCCTTCAACAAAAATGTTGGGATATACCACAATACATTGAATTTAATTTTCTTCTTGGAATAACAGAACAGTAATTTGACATGATTTATGAAACAGAAGAAAGAACAAAAGAAACAGAAGCGATGTTTGATGTTTTCTTCAAACTTATTAAAATATTTTCACCAACTTTCAAATAGATTAATAAAAAGCATGTAAAATAGCAACTTCTAAGACAAAAATTAGCAAATAATTACTACCAGTAACTCTAGTCTATTAGAGTTCTAATGTAATAACAAACAAATAAGTTAGGGATTGCTCTTAGCATTGAAAAAACTTAAAAAATTTATGCAAAAGATGAATTAAAAAAGATGTCCAATAATCATTTTTTAATTTTTATTTTTACATCATTGATGCATTGAAAACAGGATAACCGTGTACCAATAGACAATACCTAAGATCAACACAATACTTTAAGTCAAAATAACTTGAACCGTGAGCACACAAGTTAAAAATGAAGAAGACACAAAAGTCTGGGTAGAGCCATGAGAAAATGTGAAAGAAATGAAAAGGCATTGTTATGTTGCTTTGAATCATAGTAGTTAGTACCAGTTGGGGGTTCAAAACTACAATGTTCAGTAAATGCATTATTGTTAAGGTGCTCTGCAACATAACAAAAGGATGGCTTGCTGGATTTAATACAGTAATTTCATATTTTATGATTTTCATAAATACTATGCAGTTCTTTGAATAAAGTCAGTTATCAATCCCAACTGTTAACATTTATTCTTTCTACTTATATTTTAAAGATTCATCTTGTTGCTTCTTTTGATTTTCCCATCATGTTTATTTGAAAGTACTGACTTAAAATTTTGTGTACAACTGTAAAGCATGATAAAATATTTTAATAAATCTGTAATTAAAGTCAATGATATGACAAATGCAGTTTTCTTTAAAACACTCTTGAGAATTTTAAAGTGGTTTCTTTATGCAATAAAAGAATATTATTATTCCTTGTTTTTACTGTTTCCTTCTATGGCGCACAATTGAGTCATTGTCCTGCTCTGTGCTGCTTTTCACTTTATGAACTTCATTGGTCTCTACTTCTTCATTAGAATCCACACTGTCAACAGTCTCCTCATTGTCGTTGAAATCCACTTTGTCACCAGTCCCCTCATCGTCATTGGAATCCACATTGTCACCAGTCTCCTCATCGTCATTGGAATCCACATTGTCACCAGTCTCCTCATCCTCATTGGAAGCAGCTTGGTCAATAGATTCCTCATCATCACTGTCCTTGTCAATACTGTCTAGATCCACATTTTTTATCAGCCTGTTCTGTCCACTTTTTGTAAAATGACCATCAAGATTTTGCTCTTCCTTATCATTTGATGCTTCCTCTTCTTGGGCATCCCAATCTCTATTACCATTGTCCCCAGTCTCCTCTGTTAAATCATTGTTGACATTATCTTTTTCCTAGATACAAATAAAACTTTAGTGTTAAATTACTAATTCATTACATATTTGATTTTGTAGAAAGTTTATAAGATGTACAGAATTGCAATACTATCTTTCGGTTGTTTAGTGGAGGTTTCTTCAGTAGCAGTTCAATGAGTTATTATAGACATCATCTTCATTTATACCCTGACTGTATTGATCTTTTATCTTGTATGTGTGGCTGCCTCTAAATTTATCACTTTTGAGATACGGTATAATTTTTCTTTACACAAAAATTTACATTTCAGGTAAAGAAAAAATCTCTAAGAAAATGTATAGCAGAAATGTGTTCTAGTTATAATAAATAATGCCAATAAAGAGAAGAAATTTAAATATGGTGCAATGTTTCTATAAACCTAATAAACTACCTGAGTCGATGGAAAACTTTCAGGTCCTGTCATTCTATCCACATTAGTCTGTACTGATTTCATAGCTTGAAGAATACGAGTCATTTGTGCTTCAGTTTCTTCCAATCGCTTCTGCAGAATTCTCATTTCCTCAGTAGCTATTCAAATAGACATGTAGCCTACAATAACTCAAGTTTCCCCGGCTTCAGTGACTTTAAATTAAGTATCTTTGCTGATGACTACAAAGATTTTTTAAATTGAAAGTACCTTTTCTCTCATGTCAATTTTTTTTAAATATTGCTCTAGCTCCCTTTTCCCCCATCAGACATAATTAATTTAATTGCAAGCACAAAGGCACACTTGACTTTTTAATGAATCCACTTAATTTTAAGTTAACAAAACAAGTTCCCTCAAATAAAATTAATCTGAATAAAAATAGAAATCAAGTCAACACAAAAAACACACCTCATTTCTCAATCTCAATGTAAAGAAAATTAGATGTCTCTATCAAAATGAATACTTACAGACATTCTTCTCATCAACACGACTTAAGAGATCCTCCAACTCTTTTCTCTGCTTGTTGTCATGGAGGAAGTTGCTGACATCACAAGACCCATCGAAGTCAGTAGGGAAACCCATTCTGTCCATAGAGTTGTCACCACCACCATACTGGTCGCCTATTTTACTCCAAGAGTTATTTTTAGACTTGTTGAACACCTGGCAAAAAGTTAATTTAAGCACAATTATAAACTACATAAATAAGTAGAGTAGCTCAAAAACAGATTATTGGATCTCATAGTTTTAGCCCCTACACTGTGTTTTCAATGTTAATGTTAAATAATGGATAATCATATAATTGTTCAGCACATAATTGTACTACAAGTTTCTTAGAATCAAGCAAAATTAAATTTTCAGAAAAGTCTATTTACAATATTCAATGGTTCTCAAATTCATTGTCCTAAAATTTAATTTTAACAACTTATAAAGTGCTTAGAACAAGTGTAATCCATAAATATTTTATATAATTTGGGATCATGAGCTGAACTATTTGAGAATCTCTCGACTGAATTTTTTTAAAAATTGTTTCCCACTGCTGTTTTTCAATTCCATTTATAAACTTGGAGTAGAAAATTCTAAATAGACCATACCTTGAATAATGTGTAGACCAGGTATAGCACTATACCAATGGCATACATAGGCAGTACAACACCCATCATTCCCCGACTTGATCCTTGCTGTGCCTGCTGTCTCTGCATTTCAGCAGCTGCTCGCATCCCTGGGTGTGGTCCAGGCTGCACAAATTGAAAGACAACTTAGCATGCACTATTTGGGAATTTAAATTAATAATGATCTCAATCATTCTTGTCATAGAGAACATTTATTCCTGAAATTGATCAGTAGCTCTATCTAGCACCTTTTAGACCTAAAAAACCAAACAGGCTCTTCCACCTTCTGGAAGGCTCTGTTTTTTGTTAGAGATAATCAGCTACAATTTAATAAAACTTAAAAATACCCTGATATGCTTTCGAATGTCATCTGCTCCTTGCTGAGTTTTTCTGGTATCAGGTGGCATAGGTTTGAAGCCTGGCGGGAACACATTTTCATCTGTGAAGATACAACAATTTAGGAACACATTAAAATGACAATTATGGAGATTAAACCTTTTATCTTAAATTTCTTTAAGGATATTAAAACATTTCCTCTTTAATAAATTTACCTGATGCCAGTATTACACATCTGACATGGATGCATGATCACAGTTGTTCAGAATTAAATTCAAACCCTGGAATATTTTTTTTACATAATTAAATTCTTATCCCCCTATGTATCAAATACATAATTTTTAATATTTGAAAATAGGGTTATTCACTGAAGAAACTTGAATGATAGGTTTGAGGAAGAAATCACTAAGAAATTGGTGAAGAATCATAGTAAGTAAATTTTCAAAACATTTAATTTAATGGAGAACTGAAATTCAAGTACCGGTACTAAATAATTTTAATGAAAGATTTTTCTATATTATTTTAACAATTATTAATTATTTATTATTTAAATTTAGGGAGATGTTTGTGCTTGATGCTTGCTGCAAAGAAATTTTATGTTCGGTTCCAATTTAGTTAGCTTTGGTCTCAAGTCTCCCCGTTGTATTATATCTAGCCGATTTCTGGTTTTTTATTCTTTTTTTTTTTGTTGGAACGAATCATTTATGGCACTAAATCTACATTCAGCTAAATATGAAGATGGAAACGGTAATAATGATTTTCTTGCATATTTGGTTGAATTTGGATATTTGATTTCTGTTTCCTCACAAAGCCATGCCATGGCTCCTTTTACATTAAATAAATTTTTAACTGATTCACCATTTCGCTTTTCTCCGCATTCTATTCTTGATACTGCATATTTGAAATATCAAACAAATCCAACTACATTGACTGCATCATCCAAGTTGGAAAATCAATTTGTTTCAAAATCAGAAATTTTTTTATAAAAAATTTGGTGATAGAATTTTCAGATGATGGACCATAACAAGTAAAGCGGTATCAGTCAATTTACATTTTTGCAGGCAATGAAACTTTTCAACATTTTTATTATAAATATTTTTCTGACATAATTTAATAAAAGTAATGAAACCAAATAGCTTCGCTTTTGCATCGGCCAGAGTTTTATTTGTTCCTTGAATTTGGTTATGCAATATATTTAGTTTTTCAAAGCTATTGGCTAAATAACTTACAAATGCTTTACCATCAACGGTTAATAGATACTTCATATCAGATTCATCCCTTAAAAAAATTGCAAGAGTATCAAATAGTTCCATAAATCTTTTCAAGCAATTCCCTTTCGAAAGCCATCTTATTTCAGTGTGAGGTAAAAGTCTCACATAGTCTACATTTTGTTCTTCATAAAATAGCTTGAAGTTGAAGAGACGTTCACATTTGGCACTTTCTTTAATAGCATTGATACACTTTATAACTGAATTTAGGACTTCATTTAGAACACGCAAAATGTTTTTAGCTACTAAGTTTTCCCTATGGATAGCACAATGCACAAGTAGCATTTCTGGATTCTTATCTTTCATCAATTTTAAGCTGCCATTTCTCTTGCCCGTCATATTAGTAGCACCATCAGCAGTACAAGATGTTATATTTTTCATTTGGTATATTATTGACATCTAAGTAATTTTTTCCCTTATTATATATATATTTTTTCGGCGGTAGTGGTGATTTATAATGATCCACAGAACAAAATTTCTTCAGCAAATTACCCTTTATTGTTATATCTTATGTAAGTTATCAATACAGCCTCCCTGTCTCTCAAAGTTGATTCATCCATTTGCACTAGAATCTTATTGTTTTCAGCTTTTCAACAAGTTGTATTTCAATATCTTTGCTCATTTCGTCTATTCTTCTGCTAACAGTATTATTACTGAGTGGCATAGCTTTCACATCTTTGTCATCTTTTCCAGAACCGTTTTAAGAAATGCTGATATTGATGGTTTAATTATATTCTCTCCTGCAGTATGATTTTTCCCATATTTAGGGGTAAGGACATTTCATAACTAGCCTCAAGAGTAGGATAAGCAGTTGCAGCATGAGCTCTTTCTTAAAAATACAAGTAAAAATTACAGTAGACGGTCGGTTTTCAAATTCTGAACAGTGTATTATCCAATTACCCCCTGTGGAAATTTTGGGAAACACCGCTATAGAGTATAGGGCAATAACTAAATAGGCCCAAGTGATAGAAATATAATTTTGGTGTCTTTGGGAAGCAGAAATCAATTTTTTCCAGTGATATAACTGGCATTGGCAAGTCACAGGAGGACCAATTCAGGCAAATGTAAATAAAAATAATAAAATTGCCTGTAGGCTTATAGTAATGTAGGACATCAAGTTGTCCACCAAATCAAACCAAGTCCCATATCCATGTTAACTTTAAATTTAATTTTAAAAAACAACAAAACAAAACAAAAATTTAAAAATAATATTAGAGAAAAAATAGGTACTTCACAAATCAGTGCACTGATCATTTACCAATATGGGAAACAGATTATATTTCTGTAACAGGTCAATGACCGTAGTTCATATAGTCATTTGGAAATTACATTTTCTTTGTCTGTTTAAACTAGTGAATGATTCTATTATTAGACTGTTTTACACACAAGGAAGGAAATCACCACGATATAATTTTTATTGTCCGCCTCCCAGAGTTTTGTAGCAGAAATTTTTCATTGCAATATAGTTAATTTGGCTAGCACTATATTTTGAAAATCATACATCTATTGAAATTAATTTTTTTTTCTTTCATGTATGAGAAACATTTAACTATTTGAAAAAGAAAAGATAATGATAATTGGATCCATCACATTTTGTCTGGACAAGGTATTATTTTATAAATTGTTTAAATCTGTACCGGTACTCTTTATTTTCAATTTTCCAACATATTTTTACAGTACAGTCGAACCCCCTTATCTCGACCTCGGTTAACTCCCCAACCCTCTTATGCCGACGTTTTTGAATTGGAACCACCCAATTCTCTCTTTGTCTTAGCATTTTCTCCTCGGTTATGTCGATTCTTTTATGTCAACAAACCCTGATATCTCAAGCACAAAAGGTGGCCAAATTTGCCACTTAACCTCGGTTATCTCGATCCCCATGATCAATCGCAGGCTTTTGAAAATGATATTCAACAGAAACGTGGCTACTTCAAACTGTAGTAATTGAAATGAAAATATCATTGTCAGTGCAATTAACTTGACACAGCAAGAAGCGTGGAGCGCGAGGCTTACAAATAAAAGGTCACAGTACCTGTTCTATTTATAGCGAACCCACTGGTCGCTTAATAAAGGCTTTTATGCATTCTTACAGGTTGATTTTTTTAAAACCCAGAATCCGTATTTGAATAAATTGAACTGGGGAATCCGGAGCGAGAGAAAATAAAAACTCGCAAATCCGAAGCTGAAAAATATTTAGCCTCACGAATCCGGAATTCCGGGGTAATTCCACCCTCCCCCTAACCGGATGACTCGATGGTTCTAGTTCATTTCGACGGACGAACAACAACATGTTCATATTTATAGCATACTGATTGGTTCATGAAACAAATTGCGGTAATACTGTTGTGTAAAAAAATATACAACTCCGAAAACATGTGCATGTATTTATCATTTATAAACGCACATTGCGCACATAAAGAAATTTAAAGCACATGTTAATATATTGCTGCCATATTGGTTTTTGTTAATCTGGATCATCGGTTATCTTGACAATTTTTGGCAAACCCCGAGGCTGTCGACATAACCGGGTTCTACTGTATTTTGATTCTATCTTTTTTTAAAGTTGCATTTTGCCAAACTGAAAGTCATTTGTCAAATTAGTCATTGCCATTTTGAAAAATATTTATTAAATAAAGAAACCATTTTATATCTAAAATATAAAAAATACCTACTTTAATTCAGTAAGCATTATATAAATGACTACAAATAAATATTTAATTCTTGTCTAAACAAGCCTATAGAAAAAATAAATATATTTTTTTAAAGAATGTATATATTCATTTAAATTAATCCTTTCCATCTGAATTTCCATCTCTACCTATTCAGTTTTTCAAAAACCTGTTGTTATTTCAAATATATATTTAGAGGTTTTATACTTTGTAAGTTAGTATTATTTACCTTTTTGTTCGAGTTCAACTACCGTTAGCTACAGTACATCAGCCTCATTTACAACAATAACAACACTGAAGCATGTATTTAGATTCTACAGTGGATTGATTTTAATCTAACAATCATTTTCATGTTAGTTACCGGCACTTGTAAATATATATTTTAAAAAAAATTTATGCTGGTAGTTATGATTTTATTTTGTATTCTTTTGGAAATTTACATATTATTTCTGTAGCCCTGTTGGTTTATTGAGTCGAAATGTATGTATACAAATTTGGAAATTTGAGTCTTTTAACATTCTTTCAGATAAGCTCAACTTTGATCATTTGACCACATCATCTACACAGGAGTATAAGCAAATTATTATTGTCAAATCACCCAATCCAGAGAGTTAAGATCTATGTCAACATCAACATCAATGTTCCTTAACGTCCAAAATTTGGGTGTAACCTCTTGTCAACTATATTGAACATATCAAACCTCCTGGATTATGGATTCCTTCATGTACATATGCATACAGTTCATTATAAACACCACTGACTTGTTATCATCAGCTTTGTCATTTGTTGCTGACAAATACATCATTATTCTTTATGAACTCAAATGCTATACTCATACGCTATTCATCTATAGTAATAAAGCACTAGCTTTAGTTTATCACTACCATTTAATCAATGGATTAATCATGCATCAATACTGCTCTAAATTGCAATGGACTTGAGAATCATATCTTATCATCATCACTTTGGGACTATTAAATTTGTTTTATCAATTCTTCGGATATACTATGGACAAATCATGATCCATATTATCTTTATGGATTAAATAATCAGTTCAATTTTATGTACTGGAGCAATGTACAAGAGCATCTCCATAATCATGATAGCTTTGTCATTGCCGGTACTAAAAAAATTACAACATAAACAATAATTTTCATCTATTATAAGGACCAAAAAAATCTTTTAACATAGTAGTAAAAAAGCTAGCTATTGATGCAAAATTACACCAATGGGTTTCTTTGTTACTACACTTGACTAAATTGTACACACAAATACTTTTAAAAAAGTCACCGAATTGAGGTCAGACTAATAGGGGATATTTTCTTTTAACAGAACTATCGGAAGCGATACTTTCTATTGTAAACATTATACATTATGTCTCATAATGTTTTGGGTTTAAAAAATCAAATAAAATACTGAGCAATATAATGATAAATAGCCCTTTATTGTGATGTGCATTATCATATTCAAGACACAATTCCATATTTATTTTATTTTTTAATTTACAAATCTGCCCATGACCTCAATCTCCTGTCCCATCAATTATTGACATTGTTACTGGTATGTATTATAAATTAAAGAATATAGGCCATTCAACTAAGAGTCTTAGGTAACCTAACAGTGTTATTTATTTGTTAATTATGAAATTAAAGTAAAATCTTATGATAGCTGCTTTTGTTATGACACTTTTATTTGCATTTTCACGATAGGTCTCTTTGGAAAAATTGTAAATAATCAAATGATAACTACTTTTTTTACAATAAATCAGAAGGTCTCAAGCATTTGGCATTTGGAGATGGTAGTTGTTTTGTTTTTTTAATTTGTATCGCTCATCAGATTTAGTTTATGATGCAAGTAATGCTTTGTAAATGTACAGAACAGGAAAATTATAAAAATCATCATTCAGGTCCTGCCAGTGATCTATTCACTTTGAGTACAGTATTGGGATTTCCCAAAGTGACTTCACTGCACTTAAGTTCAGACAACTCTTGGTGAAACTCATACCGTTAATGCAAAATTTACCCAGTCTCTACTGACTCGGTCTCAGTTAGGTACTTCACTAAACGGCGTGCGCCGATTGATTTTTTCGGATGTCGAAAACATACCATAATCCGATGACCGGTCAATGCCGGTAGGTCACGGGGTCATATTGAAATCTAGTTTCCTTTGTCTACATAAGGGAGAGACAATGAACTTGTTATAGTCTGTTTTGTGCACAAGAGGACGACGATCATAACAACATTAACCTTTTCACTGGACTTATACCGCTTGTAGCGGATATCTTTCGTTGAGTAAACAGGTAAGTTTGCTAGCACTATATTTCAGGTAACCATAATAGTTTTCCAATTAATTCTTTTTCTTTTCAATTAAAGAAAAACTTAACTAATTGAAACAATCAACATCTTGAAATTTAGATAGAACTTAAATTGTCTAGACGTTGTTTAATTTGGGAATATTTCGTAACCAGTTATCGATTAGGCCAAATGAACCGGAAGTGATAGTCTTTCTCTGTTATTCTTCTTCTTATTACATGAGAAAGTATTTAAAATCTTTATTAATCCATTGTTTTTAAAAGCCATCCAGTTCATTAATCTTACTTAATTTGTTTTAATTTTATGACTGAAAACAATTTTATAAATATTTTATGGAATTTCATTATTATTTTTTTAAATAATAAAATTTATATTCGTGATAACCATCATGTCAAATCAACTTACTTTAATCATTTAAATCTTTGTTTTACTTGTTATAATTATCAAACTATCCAACTGTAAATTATATTTTTAGTAAAGGACTTGTCCTTAAATAATGATATTGATATAATGTATCTTAAACTCATTTCATATAATCAATGAATTGTAGGCTTGGCAGCTACTGAACTTCATTGTCAATTTTTACTAAGTTACATAATTAAATAATTTTATTTATATTTATCTTCTGAATAACCTGTATCCCCTTTTAATTTCCCTTTTTTCTTGCGTTTTTAAGCTTTACTGCTTTATTTCAAAGCTATTATATTTGACTTTTCAGGCTTAGTCCAGTCTTTAATTCTGGTCATTGAATAACTTTATTTGTTATAAGCTAAGCTGGTAGTTTGGTGTTAACATTTCTTAAACATCTTAGTCTTATAATTTTCCATCTTTAAATAATCAGCCATGTCACCATACTTTTTTGAGGAGCTGTTAAGAGTTATAATTCTAGTACTACCAGTACCCACGATTCACACCTGTCCATTCCATGTGGACGAGCTGTAATCAGGACTCAAGTCAAGACTACCAGACTTTTTCATATAAGTAAAATTATATTCAGTGAATGAATAAGGTTCCCTAAATGATATGTAATTAATACTTGGCTTACTCTGAATACTGAATAAAAATATTAGAACATCATAATATAATATCTATATCAGATAGACAGGATAAATAAAATCACCATCGTCTTAATTAGAAAATAATTTTATTTCAAAACTATCACACTGAAAAACACAAGCTTTACTTAAATCTAACATATGTAAAATTAAAATATAGGAGGTACCTTTTGTTACTTATGTTGAAATGCTTATTTTGTGTTTAATTAAATCGATTTTCTATCTCTATTTGTTGCTCAAATGCCGCTGATTTAATTCATTTTTATTGATGTATTAATATTTAAATTGCTTATTATAAAAGCCCAATGCCTAATTAAACTATGTGCAAAATTTGAAGGCTTTAACTTTACAGGGAAAATAGTTATGGCAGTTTGAGTATTGAGAACGGGCGCTACATTTTTAATGAAATTTACTTACCCTCTGTTCTTCAAATCCCGCGCATTAATTAGGCACTTTGATTAAAATTTCAAAACATTTTTAAAAATATAAAAACACTACAGCTGTATAGAGCCTGGAGAATAGATTACAAAAACACCAAGATCAACTTTCTAGCTCAAGTGGTTCAAAAGTTATGAATTTTTTAGTAGGGACCTCAAAGGCACTTTTTTACTATGGGATTTTCCTCCACATTTCGTGACCCTCAATTGGCTTTTTTTTGAATGCCTATAACTTTATTATAAAATGAGACAAAAATATAATATTTACAGGGAACATAGTTAAATAAGAGTACTTCTAAATAAAGCCACAAAATATAAGTTAGTTTTTGTTAATATTCCGCAAATTTTTTTTTAAAAATCTTGATTTTTTCCTTTTAAAACATGTATAAATATGCTGACTCGTCACTTATTTAAAATTTACTTAATTAATTTTGTTTAAATATTTTTTTTTTAATTTCCCTAGAATCATAATAATAATAATATTCTTTAGATATAAATTTCAAATTTTCTGTGGAATTGTTTAACATTTACAAGTATAAATTAATAATAAAGGGATTACTTGTTTCATTTAGTTAAAATTTACGATTACACTTTTTATTTTACCATTTTCTATATATGTATTTTAGTCCCATATCATATGAATGTTTGAATATGACAAAAAAATAGTATGTCATTTTTTTACAAGTTAGTAATCTTGTTTCTCAAATTAACATGCATTGATAGAATCAACTTTGGTGGTTTATACAAACTAAAATAAGTTCTAGTCATTTGCTTGTGGTAAGTATAAGTTTTTATGATTGTTCTTTAATATTATTAATAATATCTTAAGTAATTCTTGGACTATTGTGGCAGAAAGTGTGTTTTTTCTTTGAGAATACAAGGATTATGTAATAATTCTCTTGTGAAATATTGTGATATGTGATTAAATATAGGATATTTCAATATGAAAGGTAAGTGACTATTTTTTTGTTTACATTTTTGCTTAATCTATTCATTAAGAATCATAATATTCATTAAAATATCATTACAAATAACAAATAATGTGTCACACAAATAATGAGTTGGGCAGGAGCTAGGCCTATACTTAAAATAGGCTACTATACTTTTCTAGGCCTGTATATATATTAAACGTTTATATTTAAAAGATTAATTATAATAAAAATGAGGCTAATAATAATTCAGTTTAACCCACTACCCAAGTCAATACCCTTCAATAAAAGCATCAAAACAAGTTAAAAAATATATTTATGTTGTTTAGATAGGTATCTGTGTTATTAAATTATTTGTTTTTGTTTTTGAATGAGTTATTTTGGAGTAATAAGCTGGATTTCCATTGTAAATCAAGTTATTTACTTTTTTTTAAGTTATTTACTTTTATTTTTTATTATTAAAAATCGTTATCGATAATAGGTCATTTTGGGACACACGTGACAAAAATTTGGTAGGCATTTTTAGACCATTGAACTGGGTGCTAACCTCTTGAATTTTTTATATGTTGTAATTTATGCTATTATCTCTAGTCGTCTTTTTATTTAAGGAAGACACCCTTTCCAGAAAAAAAATATGAATGAGTAAAATAAGCATTATTTTACCTTCAATTTTCAAAGTTAAGACCTCAAATATTTTTTAGAACAAAAGTGTCTAATCATAAAACAACATGTCTACTCAAAGTTGTGGGCGGAAATAGAATGTTCTTGCTGGGCTATAATTAGCAAAAAAATCGTAAACAACGAGGGTCTCGGTAAATTAAAAAGTGGAGGTCGCCATTTTGATAATGAAATCACGATACCCGGTTTTCGGCGATTCTCGGATCTCATCGAAGTGGCTACATTAATATATTTATTGTAGTATTTGCATAACAATAACAATGTTTTATTATTAAAGCCCAATACTTAATTGAAACGCGCTGAAAATTTCAGAGCTTTAACTATGCTGAATAAAAACTTATCGCGTTTGGAGTGTCAAAGATGTCTATTTTCAGTCACAGTATTTTAGTAAAATTTGGAAATTATCTAAATCTAAGGCTAAGGCTTCAACTAAGGCTAAATAAGGAAAAATTCTGACATTAAAAATCCCATAAGTTTTGTTCTAATTAAGATAGAAAAATAAACTAGGTATCAATGAACAATGGAAAGGAAATACTGAGTCCTTTCTAATGATATAAGTGTCATTAATATATAACAACTTTAAATTTGTAAATGAAGTACTTGTGTCAGAGTCAGTGTCTCAGTCACGAGTCTCAGTCAATCAGTCTGCCTGCAGAAATCCTAGTATTCTCTGAGGACCAAGAATTCGTTTACTACTTATGCTGATAAGTAAGCAAAACTTACTTGACATATCCTTTTGGGGGGGATCATTCATTCCCAGTGCTCGTAATACTAAAGGGTGCATAAAACGAGGATAAATTACAGCAAAACATGCTACCATAATAGCAACCGTTCCAAAAGCTTTGAGAGTCGACATCTTGAAATTCCAAAATAGTCCCAAAATAATTTCGTCCAAATACCCAGTACAAAAATAAAATTTGAAAAATAATAAATAAATAAAATTGTTATTTTGATATTGTAAATGAATGCATATTTAAACTCAAACCAAACTTGATGAATTTAAACAAATAAAACTAATAAATTTCAATCGAAAAATAGATGTGTAATAAAATAACGATTCATATTTCATAACATGTATAATGTATGTATTTCAATATGGCTACTTCCCATAATGATAATCCATTTGTTATATACTGTGTAGAATTAATGCTTTATTATTGCATTCAAAATAAAATCTGGACACTAAAAATGTGCTTTATTTAAATAACATAGGCCTAGCACACTCACTAATTAATTGAAACCAAATTTGAGTTGAGAATAGAACACGCATTTAAGTTAAATAGCAGAAGGTTTAAAGATTTGTCAGTGTGATTTCTATATTCTATATCGTATTAACATCTTTCAATTAATAATAAATATAGCAATGCAGGCCTATTTTTATTCCAAAATAAGATGAAGATGTTAAAAGTTATAGTTAAAAAGTGATGACTAGGATTAAGATCGGGGTTACGCCAACCTTGTGTGCAAGATGGCATTGCATGGATTGGGGGGAGTGATAATATAAAATCTGCAATTAAAAATGCAATTTTACTTTAAATTTGTAGGGGGCGCGAGACTTAGTTTAACAATGCTTAGAGATGAAGAATATAGAAAAGTTAGAAAACCATGATACATTTGTTGATTTTGTTAGTGCAAGGGAAGTCAAAAGTTGGCCTCTCTTCACCTGTAGATTCTGTTGCAGATATGGAACAAGAAACAGTTCTAGTGTCGTGCAGTCAAGAAAATGGTATTGATAGAGTAGGAATACAATATTTTGAGAATTAGGGGAAAGTTAAGTGAGTAACAATAATAACACCGCTGCTTGAACGGATTTGCAAAATCTGTAACATCTGTTTTGCATCACAAGTCATGTTGAAAAAGCATGTTCAACAGCACCGACAATGCCCTCTTGAGCAGAAGAAATTACCACCTACTCCTCTACAGAAAGATTAGACCAATGCGAGTTGCTTCAAGGAGATAGAGAGAGGTTATGGCAATTATTGCTCACACCGATAATGCTTCTATTTTTAGTGCTGAATGGTTAGATGAGGATGATTTGACTTGTCTGGTATATCAGTGCCGCAAGATGAAAATGATCAATCAGCTACTATAGACTATGCCCATCAGGGGCGTCATTTCATTTTTTTCAGGGGGGGGGGAACCAAAGCTTGGTAGGCTTGTCAAGTTGTTTTATTACTATTGTACAAAACTTCTTGTTCACCTTCCTTACTATCTTTGGTGGGTGCATAGAACTGTATTACATTCATATTTATTTTATTCTTCTTGTTTCGGAAAGTTGCTGCCATAATTCTTGGACCATGGGCTTCACATCCTATCAATGTCCCTTGTGTCATCATGAGAGCGACTCCTTGTGTGTGTGGCGCATTTGCCTCCTCATGCCCTGAGTATATTATAGTTTTTCCGAGACCAACGTTATCTGCCCATCTTGTGTCCATCTTGTTTCACAGATGCCGAGCAGTGTGAATTTTTTTGTTCTCTTTTTCCTCCCCCCCCCCCCCCCCCCGTGCTGATTTTCCTGTTTCGTACGTGGTTTTAACATTCCACGAGCCTATATTTATTGCCTTTCAAAGGAGGGTCCTCGGCTTTGAGGCTTCCAGTATGACCTGACTTTGGTCGCAAGGCTTCATAAATCTTCTGGGGGATGAAGAGCCCTCTCTTATCAGGACTGAAATTGTTTTTTTGTGTGTTTTTTTCTTGTTGACGATTCTGTGACAGTTTGTTTTCACGGGTGAGGTAGCTGGCCTCATGCGAACCCTCCTGCTCTTGCACCCGGGCTTGGGGCCGGCCATGGTGGAGTTGGGGTGGGGGTGGGGAGAGAAATCAAAGGCACAGAATGCTTCCGAGCCAAACCAAAGTGCATCTTTATTAAATGCCTGATTCTCCATGGCCCCAACTTGGAGAAGTTGTATTTCTCATTTCAAAAAACAATAATGGAAGAAACATTTTGAAAAGTTATTTAGTGGTTTAAAAAAAGTTATGTAATTTTCCTTCAAGTTCTATATATTTCAACGTAGATATAAAAATGATGAAAATCTCATTGGGATCTACAAGTTTATGGAAATGTCAATGGGATCTACAAGTTTATGAAAATGTCAATGGGATCCACAAGTTTATGAAAATGTCCATGGGAATCTACAAGTTTATGAAAATGTCCATGGGATCCACAAGTTTATGGAAATTTTAGTTTAGTTTGATACACTTCTAGACTTCCCGGGAAATTCTTCGATTCCGGTGAATATAAAGTATCTTTTATAGTTTCTTGAAGTTTCTATCTTATTCTAGGACGTTCATTTTTTTTTTTTTTTAGAAGGGTCTGAAGATTATATTTATTTCCTTTTTATTGTTTCTCGTGTTTCTGTAGTCTCTGTGATTTTACTTAAATGTTGTGAAATTTAATTTAAAGATATTTTTGAAGTTTCTAGAAATGTCCAAATAAGCTGGGGCTTAGCNTGGGGCTTTGTTGGGCGGTTTTTTTTTGGGGGGGGGGGGGTAGGACCACTGTCAACAAAAGTCGCCTACACCCCTGCAAATACGTGTAGGCTCTAGAACGAATTTTCTTTATAATAGCGTAAGCTATACACGAAATATAAGGACTTAGATGACAATTCAAGATTCTAAGTAAATTGTTGCATCGCGGGCAAACTAGGTAAACATATTTTTCATAATACCTTTAACATATCGGTAGATTACAAACTAACAATATCCACCCCCTTTTCCGCATAAACACTTCAAATTTTAAATAAAACGCTCTATCTTTGGCGTTTTTCAAGCGATTTTTAAAGGTAAATTAAAAAAAAAAAAAGTTTGTACGTTATCCAACCTAAAGTATTTACAGCTGTAGAATATTACAGATTACGTGCGAAAAAAAAAGGAAAAATGGGAGGGGGGAGGGTGTGGGTGTGGTTTAAACAGTTTTAAAATGTCATTCCGAATTTAATTGGAATAAATGTAAAAAAAATAACTTGAATATTTATCACAATGACTTATATAAGTGCCCCTATCTTAGGGATGGCTAAAATTGCCCCTTTTGGAATGGATTCCTGCCGCAGTTCCTATGTATTTCATTTTAACTGAATAAACGGCCATTGCTTTGGCATTGATCAATACTTTCTTTTAATAAGAATGAGACGTCTTTTAGAAGTTGTTTGTTTTTAAATCATGGTCTTTGGTTGATCCCAGATGGAAGATTAACTGAAAAGGGTTGAGCCCCAAATTCAATCTTTACAAGAGTTACTATCAATCCGGTTTTTCACATGAGAATCTGTTGGTTTTTATTCCTTTAGCGAAGCGGGGTGGGGGTGGGGGTGGGGGGGGGGG